TATTTTATATCCCGTTTCCTGACGCGTGTCAGAGTTCTGTTCCTTTGAGCATTCATGTTCTTTACATGCGGTATTCGGATGTGTTGGCTGTGTGTCTCCTGCTGGGCATCCTTAAAAATAAGGTGGTAGCACGCAAACATAAGTGCGAGAAACCAAAGCTTTCTGGCTGAACTACTATCGGAATATTCATCGAATGGAACTCATACGCTCTTTGCAGCCAAGCACATTGTAGTTTCAAAACGGGTGCTTATCTTTTGGGTGGCTTGCGAACCAAGAGTATGCTATCTAAAATTTACAGCGTCGTTTTTGGACGAAGCGTAACACCACTTGGATTGAGAACCTCTGTATAGTTCATTTGCAGCTGAAAGCCCCCGCTAACTCTACCTCTGTATCCAATTGGAAAGAATCGTCTTACTGGGTCTACGTAATTAATCTCAGAATGTAGCCTTTGCGTTCACACGCTCCTCCTCTTCGCTGTCGTCAGGATGAGCATCTTTCAAACTCTGAACACTCTCGAGCTTAGGATCTTTCAGAAGGAATGCAAAAGCAAGCAGCGGAACACAGAAGCAGAGCCCAACAACGACCAGAATCTTCTGGACGTGTCTGTAAGAAGCGACCAAGGCCATTCTGTCAGGATCTCCCCAAGGATGCTGATAGATCCACGTCAGCGGAGATCCATAAGCAGCGGCTGCCTCGGTGGTATTGGAGATGCGCTTGTATATTTCCTTTGGCAAGAGCTGGGTCCAAATGGCTCCTGAAATAGAACCACCGAGAGCAGAACCAACATAGTAAAGACAGAGGTACAGAGACAACAGTGAGGCCATATGTTCGTGGTCTGTGACAGTCTGAATGGAGGCCTGAGTAACGTAGGTGAAGAAACCTGCACCAAAACCAAAAAGACATTGAGCACCGATCAAACCGTCCTTGGTGCCGTCTCCTCCTCTGTATTTGACCATCAATCCCATGGCAATAAACCACATAGCAATACCAAAAATAATAAAGGCCTTCAGCCTTCTGATGTATGCGATAGCAAATCCAAGGATAGTACCCGTGATCACCGAGACGAAAGAGTACAGACTGGTAATTCTGGTAGCAGACTTGATGGACTGGTTGAAGCCAACCACAACAACCGTGTACAAGTAGTCACCTTGCATGTACCAAACCATATCAATGAAAATGGCGATCATCAAGGCTCCCCACACAGATCTGTCCTTCATGTACTTAGCCTCAAGGAATGGGTGTTTTGCGAATTTTGCTTCCCAAAGGAAGAAAAATGGCAGCAGGCAGAAACCAACGACCAACGGTGCAATGACTTTAGCCTTCTGCCATTCCGTCTTGACTCCTCCGGCCAGAGTGAATGGGGTCAGAATGAGCCCAAGACTGAGCATCACGGAAAGCAGACCAATCAAGTCGATTTTCCAGAAAAACGTCTCAACAATGAAACGCTTGAAACCCAATCTTCTGAAGTCGGAAACCCCCTCAAGTCGGTGAATGTCTCCGCTGCGGTACGCAAGGTAGTGCATGTGCATAAAGCAGAGTATCAATGGAATACAGGCCAGCGGAAAAATAAAGGCCCACATACCAATACCCCAAGACCAGCTTCTCGAGCCCAAAACTGCTGAAGTCACGTCACCAGAAATCCATGTATTGATCACAAAAGGCAGAGCTGCAACAAAGGAGGCAAGCACTCTCCAGTTCATGTTCGAGAAGTCCGCGGAAATAATTTGCAACAGGACAATAACTCCAGAGTAGCCAAACTGGTACAGAATTGCTCCCGCAGCAAATCTGGTAACATCATACGCCTGAGACTCGATAATTGTACCAACGACATAGAGCAAGATCGCGATGAAAAGGAGCTCGACTCTACCGAAAATGTCCGAAAGTCTAGCGTAGAATAGCTGGGCGACACAGGCTGCCACCGAACGCACAACAGTGACGGTGGAAAGCAGCGAGTGGTTGGCATAAGAAGATGTAGCGTACGATTGGTACGTGGATCTGATTTGTCCGTCAAGACCGTAAGCATAAGCAACCAGGAAAATAGAAAAGAAAATTGCAACTTTGCCGTACCAAACGTTGTAGTGCTTGTTCAGGGCTTCCGTCCGCCTCACACCGTAGCTTTTCTGCTCATATTTGCTGTGAGAGTTTGTGACGACGTCACTTTCCGTGTCTTTTTCTCTGTTGGTGGAGGAGTTCATTGGGGAATTGGGGCTGAAAAAATTTAGCCTTTCTTCTTATATCTATCTGAAGTCGGGTCCTGGTGAAGTGATCAATTTACATTAGGAAAGATAATTTTTCGGCTGCATGAAACAATAGCCGAGCATTGCTTTTTACCTCCCAATAAGGCTTCACGGTAGAAGAAACACAAGGCCATCCGAAATCGCCTACGTTAACGTGCATTGCCATCTATAAGGGTTTTTAAAATCGGCATTGATGCGACGATAATGCATTAAAAAAGCGTCAGTTTTCAACTGTGGGAATTATCTAGTCCATCACAAAGCCTGTTTGCTATTTTTTTTTTTAAACTGGCTCTACTTTGGAAACAATAATGCTGAGCTCGTACGGCTCAAACCATTTTTGCACCTAAATAAAAGTTGAGATTGTCAATGTGTGGAGGCGGACAGTTAGCAGTAAATTTAGAATTTGCCAGCCTCTTCTTGGCCGCCACCGGGGGGCGTTGCAGCTGCAATAGAAGAAAAATTTGCGAATTTCAGTGCACTAGAGTTAAAAGTGCTGCAAGAGTATACACAGCCTCACTTTCAAGGCGTGGAAATTCAGGATGCTATTCCAGTCGCTAAGTTGATGAGCGTATCAATAATGCGAAAAGCATGACTGATTGCTGTTTAGCTAGAGCCTCCTTGCTTGATACATTGAACCTGATTTGTGAACACACTTGGTGGCTTCTTGATAGCCACACCGCAAAAACAGCACAACTTAAAGTTATATTGTTGTGATGTAATTTCCGATAAAATTATATTCCCGAGAAAATTGTCAAAAACAATTTGCCGGTATGGAAAATAGTGTCACTAAAAATGAGTTGAACCGCGCCCTCGAAGAGCTCAACAAAAACTCTGATGACCCGGATTTGGTAAAAGAGGCAACCGGTTTGCTCAAAAGACTGTATTCACAGCTCTCACAAACAGGATCTGAAGGCCTAAATCTGATCCCGGCAATATTGGGGTTTCTACCACATGAGAACCTCAACTCGGTTGTGCTTGCCATTTTGATAACACTGCAAGCAAAAGGTGGGAAGGACTACAATGAGAAACTTATTGACTCTCTAGAAGATCTGATCGAACTTTCACCTCGACAGCAGGTATTCAAGGTTCTGACCCAATTGTTTGCCATTGCGCCCGCAATCTGCCACCAATTGTTCATCCAGAACCAGACCCTAGTTTCTTACATCACGACGGAGACAACAGAGCTCATTAATGACACAATTCCAAAGTCCAGGTTTCACACCCTTTTAAATCTCTTTTCTGCAGCGTGCGTGGACGAACTGTGTCGAATTCCCATTGCTGACCACTACTCGGTGGTTCCCATCCGCGCTTTGGAGTCTGACGATCTCCATGTGCGAACTCTTGGGGCTTTGGTGATCCTCAAGATATGGAATAACATAAAAGAAGAGACGTTCAAGGACCATCCTAAATTGCTTCCGAATAACTTGGAAAATGTGCTTTTGGAAGCTCTTGAGCACAATGATTCTTCTGCAGTTGAGGGACTTGCGTATTTGTCTCTCAATAGTAAATCTCTGAGGGACAATCACTCTCTGATAGCGAAATTGGCGGAACATCTGGATGCTGAGCCATACGGAGTAGTTTGCGTGCTTGCAAACCTAACAAGGGTTGCCAAGAAAGACCAGCTCAGTCAGCTGAAAAACATGAACAAAGAGCCGGACAACGAGAAGCAGCTTGGTGCTTTTTCCAAGTATCTGCTGGATTCTGAAACTATCGGTAAAGTCACGAGTCTGAAGTCTGTGTCTTCCAGGGTTCAAGAGAAAGCAGTAGAATTGCTTTACAACATATCGTCGGACCGGAACTGTCGTCCCCAACTTATACAGCAAGGAGGCATTGGCACTGTGATCACGTATCTCGTTAAATCGTCTCAGAACATTGACTACAAGAATGGAATTTCAATTAGCAAACCGATCGAAAACCAGGAACTGCGTCTCATCGCCATCAATACGCTGGCAAACATTCTTTCCAGCAGCAATCCGACTGTTGTTTTCACGCGTTCGGAGCTTGTGACACCGGTTCCATTTTTGCTTGAGCCAGTAATCCAATACGACATCGAAGTCAACGGGACCAAGACTACAAGCCCCCTTTCACGGCTTGAGATCGATAATGCAGAGTTATTTACCACGCTGGTTGCTTTAATCAACCTGTCGTCTGTTGATGACATGGACGTGAAGCTTGTTCTGATGAAACTCGGATGGCCAGCCATTGCCAATCTCATGCTCTCTGCCAATGTCCAAATCAGACGATGTATCTTGGAGCTTCTGGCAAACCTCATTGTGGCTCCGCTATGCATGGAAAAGTTCTTCAACTGGACCTCAGAGAAGGATGAGAATTACAGAAACTTCAAGATTCTTGTCCAGCTTGTCGATCTTGACGATCGTGCATCACAGTTGGCAGTATTGAATATCCTAGCAAACTCCAGCGATTTTGAGCTGGTCGCTACCGTACTTCAAAAGTCAGAGATGTTTCTGGATCGGCTATTTGGCATACTTCATAACCAGTACGACACAGATTATCTTGTACGTGGTTTCTACATCCTTCAAAACTTGGCAGGCTTATCTGACCATGAGCTGGTGGCTTCTTACGCACAAAAGCATAACTTGAAAGGCATACTAGGAGACCTCTTCAGAAACGTCGGTGACTTGGAGGTGAGACACATGGCAATTGATGCTTGCAAGCGGTTGCAACAATGATATTGTCATACACATAATTAATTTTCGCAGAGATTAAATATTTATCCTATATTCTTGTATTTCTGTGTCTCGCTGATCTTGTCAAAAATGTACTGGTCTAATTCAGGGTCTTCAGTCACGTCAATTTGTGGCACCTGAGAACCGCTCAGTAATTCCGCGCCTGTTTTTCTGAGATACTCTAATCGGCCTGTTACAAGAGAGTTATTGCAAATCTGCGCCATGTCTCTGTCTCTGAACCCGGCAAACTCCAGTTTCCTCTCGCACAGCGTTTCCAGCACCAGCTCCCATATCCATAGCTCAATGTCATATCCGATCTGGGGGAAGTTCTTCCCAAAGTTACGGAGCTCCTTATCATTTGGGTCTGTAAATAAATTTCTTTCAACATAGTCGAAAGGATTCATCTTCGGATTATGGATATGGTAGAAGAGAGGTTTTCCAGGGGAATCTTCAAACGCAAAGTTTCCGAACGCATGCATATAGCTGTAGACATACGCGCTCTGCAAATTGTCCATGTTCTGTATGTTCTTTTTCACAGCTTTCTTGAGAGTTTCGTAGTCGACTACAGGATCGAATTGAACAATGGTGGAGTCGACAAAAAACTTGGCGTGCTTGATAAATGTGCCGTAAAGCTTGTCAGGCTTGCGATAAACCTGGTAGTAAGGTTTCCTGAGAACGTGGGCTGCCAGAACCAACGTCTCCTTGTCGCCTTCTCCAGCTCCGCCCTGGGACAGCAGCGGGTGGTAACCAGCGGGGCCGTCGAAATTGTAATACAATGACAGCAAAAGCGTGTTGAAATGCTCTTTTTTGTTGATGAGGATTTGGCCGCTCTCCGAGCTCCACTCGGGAAGCGCACCCAGTCTATCATGGAAATTGATCTTGTCCTCGACTTCAATCAGTTCTTCCTTCGTAACGTATTTTTCTGTTGGCGTAAAGAAATCGTTGAGTCGCCGCACTGGAAGATTGCCAACCTTGATGTTGAGGATCTTGTACAGAAGCGGAGAGCTGGTCCTTCTCCAGAAGTCGGGCCAGGTCACCATGCGGAACTTCTTGTACAAGTTCGACTCAAATAAATGGTCTGGGTTTGACACGGCAAAATTGTCCGAGTCCAGGTACATCATGTCCTCGAACGAGCTCGCCAGCATCGCAAAGGACTTGAGCTGGTAGCCTTTTAATTCTCCCAGCGATTGCAGAGTGTCGTTTCCCAAGACCTGCGAAAGTCTCACGCAGGATGCGTTTAGTTCGTTTGGAAAAATCTCGTCGCACAGTTTCGGCTCGTATTGGCTATCCTGGGGAATGACCACCTCGACCGGCAGTGTCGAGCCGGATTTCCTCAGTGATCTGATCGACAGATACGCATACCACGTATACATTCCACCGCCAACCATGGTGTACCCTGCTCCGCGGTAGAAACCCACCGGGCGTTTGGAAAGACTCGATATAATGTTGCGGTGCTTGCGGGTAAGGTCTTCGACGAACTGGGGGTCAAACTCCATGAACTCGAGAAGCCGATTTTCTGAGAGAACGTTGTAAGGGGTCTCTTCGAACTGAGTTTCCCAGATGACTGGCTTGCCATCGAGCGTGATGGTGCGCTCAGGATGAGGAAAAAGCATCCTGTTCAGCTTAAGGACCTTGGCAAACTTTTGGAACACCTTGCTCATCGGAGCACGCACGTTTATGGGTTTGTACGTATGGCGATCCTTATTTTTCCGCAGCAAAATCTCGCGGTCCTCGGCAAACATGGCGTTCTCGTCCTGAATCATCTTTCTGATGTCATGTGCGGTGAGCGGGCCTTTCATACCGTTCTTGAAGTACTGTTCCTTGATGTGCTGGGAAGTCCAGTAGTTCTTCAGTGCGGACCCCGGAAAATTCAGTATGTCCACCTCGGAGCCCGTGGTGCGTGCCTCGTACAGAAACAGCGTGCTGTAGAATAGCACTGCACACGCCAGGGCCAGCAATATCCATTTTTGAAGTCGGGGACGCAGCATTACACGGCTACCTTCTGATCCGAGGCTGAAAATTACTTAGCTCCAGCAAGACGCGTCGATCGTCGTAAAAGCTGTCGTCCCAAGAATAAGCCCTGGTAAATTTGCGACAGCACCTAACTGGAGCGTAGGAGACGGCACAGACTTACCTTGCAAATGCTAGAGACAGGGTTGCGCGGCTTGGCTCGCGGAAGAAATCTGCTCATTCTCGCGATTCCCGTCGCGTACATTGTTATCCATATCTTGGCGTCCAAATACTATTCTGGCCTTGTGCACAAGATGGTCGCGGTGGCAGACCATTGGGCATCGTGGGGGGTCCGTGGAAAGCTGCTGCTGTTCATGTTGGTCGTGATAGTCAGTTTCCCGCCGGTTGTTGGCTATTCAGCGCTGTCATTGCTGACAGGCATGGTCTACGGGTTTGCTGGCTGGCCGATCATTGCCTCTGCAACACTACTTGGCTCGACGCTGTCGTTTCTGCTCTGCCGTCGCTGGCTGCAACCGTACGCCGTTTGGTGCATGCACCAAAACGTGAAGCTCAAGGTGTTCGTGTCTGTTCTCAACGACGAGAATGCTCCGTACTGGCACAACTTCGGCCTGATGTGTCTGGTCCGGCTGTGTCCACTCCCCTACTCACTCTCGAACGGGGCGCTGGCAGCAATTCCGACCCTGCAGCCCAGCATTTACGTGGGAGCCACGGCTGCAACGAGTCCCAAACTATTTGTCCCCATATTTAGCGGCTACCAACTACGAAAGATGATGCAAGACGGACGGAGCCCGGGAATGCAGACGGTGGATTTCCTCGGCATGGTGATCGCCCCGTTGTCGTTTGCGGCCGTGGTATACGTGATTTATAAACGTGTTTCACGAAAATTAGAGTCACATGAAATTGATGAACTTTCCAATCTGGGCTTGGAGGATGCTTAGTGTCGCGAACACGTTAATATGAAAGTGTTTTTTTTTTTTTGAGAGGTAAATCTTTCATTTCATGAGCTACAAAGATCTTCAACCGCCAGAACTGAAGACTCTGCCGGAGTTCATGAGGACCCCAAGCCCCCAGATACGGTTTCACTCTCCGTTCCCGCCACTGACAACCACCAAGAGAGTGCGCTCGGTGATGGAGAGAGCGGGTTTTGATGTGTATCGTCCAGACCGTCCCCGATCCTCAGGCAACCGCTCGACGCCGAATCTGAGTAACCACAGAAACTTCACAGCGCCAGGAACGCTCGCTACACAGCGTCACCACGACTCTGATCCGCAGATCCAGCACAAAATGATGGCCAAGGACGGAGACAAGAGCACAACCTCACTACCCCTTGACGCGCGGCTCGACCAGCTCAAACAGAGAACTGCCTCTGCAGGAGCGTCCTTCCCAAACACCCGCAGGGACCCGCTTGCCAAATTCCAGCTGGAGGACGCATCTGTGGACACCAGTACAGGGTCATTGGGGCACGCATCCAAGGCGCCTTCTGGCGCCGATCGTGCCAGTGCATACAGCGCCAGTCCGTCCAGACGCTCGAGGGGCCTATCGGGGATGTCCCAGGCGTCCGAGAAGTCTGGAAACTCTCTCAACTTCGGACCAAAGCCCGTGGTTCCGCAAATTATCACCTCCTCTGCAAGCTCGCCAATCCATAGCACGTCTCCGGCGCCTACATCCAACCCGCCACCTCAGCCACCCCCAGACGTTTTGGCCACTCCTCCTCTGGGGCCCTCGACGTTGCAGCCCAACGATACACCTCTGTCGAAGTCGACCATGAACACGACGGAGCAGGAGTTCGAGGACGCCAATTCGTCGATCGACGCTTTCGACGCCAAGTTCGAGGCTGAGAATGACGACTCGGTGGAACAGCTGCTTTCGATGCGCAAGGAGCTGTCGCCGACTCTAAAGGTCGACCTCCAGATCCCGCAGCTGAACCCAAGACCGACAGACAGCATGACATCGTCCATATACAACGCACAAGACATCCAGAGGTTAAATAACATGCAGAGTCTGGAGTTTAAGATATACAACACACAGGAGGAGGACCGACAGAACGACATGTCGACGATCCAAGAGGACACAGAGTACGACGATAGCGTGGCACAGGTGACCAATAGAATGTCGAAACTGGAGACCGAAAGCCAGAACTCTGTCAAGTCCCCGAGAAAGGCTCCTTCTGTAATCAAATTTAACCCGGGAGAAGGACCGTGCAGGAAATGCGGGCTGCCGATTGCGGCGGGACAGAAGTCGATCTGGTCCAAGGACCAGCAGCTGTCTGGCCAGTGGCACAGAAAATGTTTTTCGTGCACCACGTGTTCGAAGCCGTTTTCGAAAGGCGAGTCCTGCTACGTGCACCAGGATTTCCCGTACTGCGAACTACACTTCCATGAGAAAAACGGCTCGTTGTGTACGTTCTGTGGACAGGGAATCGAAGGGGAGTGTCTGTCGAATGAACACAGCGAGTTGTTCCATGTACACTGCTTGAGCTGTTCCGAGTGCGGAGTGACAATCAGGACTGATTACTTTGCTTTCCAGGACAAGATCCTGTGCGAGAACGACGGAGCCAAATTATTAGGAGAGTCCGGCGGCTTGGACGAACGCACAGCAAGAAGACACACCCGGCTATTGTACTTATAAATAGATTTGGTGACATGAATGCATTATAGAGCTGGTATCATCTTGTAGGAAGCTTGAGCAACACATCGATCCCTGTGCCGAGTCGATTTTCGATCTCAAGACTGCCATTGTTGAACTTTGTGAGCAGCGAGCACAGCGGGATGCCCATGCCGAACCCGTTCACCTCGTCTTTATTCTGTTCTGTGGCCGTGGTGAAATGGAACTGCCATATTTTGTAGGCGATATCGGGTGGCATACCGCCGCCAGAGTCTGTGATCTTTATCGTGGTGGTCTCTGGATCGTTCAGGATGTTGATTCTGATTGGGGTGTTCGTTCGGAGCGCGGGAATGGTGGAGTTTTTAAGCAGTTCGAAGAGCACATGTTGGATTTGCGGAGCAACACACCGGATCTTGGCATCATCGGAGCCAGACTCCAGCAGGATCTGCGGAACAGGGTAGTCGTTTAGAAGCAGGACGTCCTGTGTGTATTTGATAGCATTTGTAACAATTTGGCGCGCACCGATTGTCTGCACCAGGGAGTCGTTATGCAAATAATTGCTAATCTCAAAGGTGGTTTGGATTCGGTCGGAGTGATATTTTTCCAAAAAAGAATGCGTCTCCCTGGTGTAGTGCTTTGCCAGCCACGCAAGGTCGGATTTAGTAGGCTTGGTTGCTATCTGGGCCAGCTCTTCCGAGCGCGCATAGAGCTCGTCCTTCAGATAGCTCACAAACCTGAACTCCACCATCTGGGACGCGGTCTCCAGCCGCTTATGACTCTCTTCATACTGTCTTCCGAGATCGTGATAGTATCCCTTGATGCTGTCTCTGGTGATTGGATTATGCAAACACAGCAGCACAGCCTGGTCTTTGTAGAGTTGGAGCAGCTTGTTGACCAGAGTGGCCCTTCTCGACTGGCATTGTGCTTTTGTAGAGCCTACCCCCCACGTGTTGAAGAATGCCGGCTTCAGACTCACAAGAAATGTCATTTCGAGAAATTAAACCATCTTTTTGGTACTTATACTAAACCCTATCCTTTTGGCCGGGTTCCGGGACAGGGGAAATTTGGGTGAGCCCGAGGAGCGACGCGTCGATCGACGCATACAACTAAACCGGGTAGTCGAGCGTGTTCTTGACGTCGTCCTGGCCGATCGAGCCGTCTGCCGAGCGCGGATCCATCATCGACTGCGTCGGGTTCGGAAAGGCCGCGCTGGTGTCGCTGAAAATGCCTGTCTTGGGAGTCCCGCACGAGGACGTCGACAGCCAGCTGCTTGAGCGGTGGACGGCGACACCCTTGGATTTCACCGCATACGGCGATGTCGGCAGCGACCTTTGCGTTTCTGACGCGGTTTTAGGGACGCTCAGCAGCGGGATGCTTGGATGGCGGCGGATTTGGCGTTTTATCGGCGTAGACGTGGCAGTTGGTCTGCGCGACGGGAAGACCGTGTTGGAGCGCGTTCTCTGTTCTCTGAGGCTGCCGACGGCCAAAGACTCGGATCTGCGGCGCTGGTGGGCACGACGTTTGCGCGGTTTGTTCTGCTCTGTGCTCTGGACAGAACTTTCGAGGTTGTTGATGAGCGAGACGGGCAGATAGGTGAGCTGTCTGCTGGGCGTGGAAATAAGTTTGGAGCGCAGATTGGAGATGGCCTTGTCGAGCGCAAATTCGAGCGAGCAGTGGTTCTTGATGATGGAGATCTTGGGCCATGTTGCACGGGCACCTCGTACGAGAGCATCGAGCAAGAATTCCGGGGTCGGATTGACCAGCAGCTTGTTCATCTCGTTGAAGCGGATCTCGGGCAGGATGGTGATGTCACCTGAGTAGGGCTGCGACAGGATCTGGCGCATTTTCGTGGAGAAGTTGGTGGCAATGCCAAGCTCTGCGGCAAGCTCAAAGTAGTGGATGGCCTCTGCAGTGAGCAGCTCGCACGTGCTGTTGAGGATCTGTTTCAGTTTTGCGCTGTACTCGTTTTCGATCTCGCCGCCAACACACTGCACAGACATCTTGAGAAACGGCACGACGTGCGGGTTGACCTGGCACGCAATCACGTGGTTGACGTTGAACATCTCGGATAGCCTTCTGATGGGCAGGTCTGAGTGGACCGAGCCGTCGAGAAACTTGACCATGGTGTCGGACCACTCGTGGATTTCTCCGGTTTTCACGCTTTTCTCGTAGATGGCCGACGACGGGAATATCCCGGGCAGCGAGCAGCTGGCGCAGACAGCGGACCAGATAAGCACGTTGGGCGCGGTGAGGTAGTTGAGCAGCGTGGGCTGCTCGTGCACGGACACGGGCGACACGGTGATGTTGAGAATGCGGCCCGTTCTGTTGTATGCTCCGCGGAAAGTGAGATCGCCGAGAATCTCTCGCATGGTGGCGCGCAGATGCGAGTTGTCGAACCAGGTGCCGTACTTGAGCAGCCGTGCCAGACACGTGAGAAACGTTTCTGGGTTGTCGTCCTTGCCGAACACCTCGAACTTGCTGGACGTGATCGACTCCAGCAGGCTCAGAATCTCGGGCGTGGTCTTGGAGCAGATAATGGAGCTCAAAATCGAGCCGGAGCTCGAGCCCGACACAATCTTGGGCAGCAGGTCTAGCTCCAGCAGCGTCGAAAAAACTCCCATGCCCAGCATCCCGAAACAGCTGCCGCCGCTCATCGTGATGGCCACGCGGCCGTAGTTCTTGCGCGTCTGCATCAGCATTGCCAGCACATACGTGTCGTCCAACGGACAGTCCTGCCGCGTAAGCGCTGCCAAACACTGCTGGCACTCCGAGATGTACTCCTCGATCAGATTCTTTGTGCCCACAAACGAGTGGCGGTACAGATTGATGTTGTCCATGTTGGCCATGTTTCTGGTCCAAGTGGTGCGTATTAGGTAGAGCATCCTGGAGTAGTCACTCTTGAGACGGGCGTCGCGCAGCTCTAGCAGCCGCATCTTGACCAGCTGCCAGTCGTACAGGTCGCTCTCCTCCTGTTTTTTCCAGACGTCCTTTTCCATCAGCGCGTCCAGCCTGACGCTGGTCTGGTACCACTCTGCGTAGCTTGTGGCGGCGCGCTGCTGCGCAGTCAGTCGGTTGATCTGCGCGGTTGCCTCGTCGGGCGGGCCAATGCAATGTTTGATGAGGGGGACGTCGCGGAGGACCTTGGCAACTTTGCTGAGAACCAGCCCCCACAGCGAGCCGGACGCCCTGTTCTGCTCCTCCAGGTCGGCAACGCGCTTGGTGATCAGCCGCTCCGTGATTCGCTCGAACGGGTTGGCTGTGTGGTCGAAGGCCATCTCCTTCACATCCATTGTCTAAAATTTAATTTGAATTATTTTGGTAGCACCGCCAGCTATTTATTCTATAAAAGACCTGATAATATTCATGGGCAAGTAAACCCGCCATCGCACACCATCGCAGAGCCGGTCGTGTAGCTGGAGGCGTCGGACGCCAGATAAAGGTATGCACCGGCCAGCTCCTTGGCAACACCCTGTCTGCCCATAGGAGTCATCTGGTACCACACGTTGAGAATCTTCTTATCGAGGAAGTCGGACAGTCCGGTGTCCATGTAGCCCGGACACACGCAGTTGACTCTGGCGTTGAAGGCGGAAAACTCGACACCGAGCGACTTGGCCATGTGGATGCACCCGGCCTTGGCAGCGTTGTATGGCATCTGGTAGTTAGGCACGTTGACGATCATGCCCGACATCGAAGCGGTAATCACGAGCGAGCCAGACCTCTGCTTCTTGAACACCTTGCCGACGTTCTTGGCGCAGTAATACACTCCGTTCAGATCGACGTCGACCACGCGGTGCCAGCTCTTGTCGTCGTCGTTGATGTCCTCCAGAATCGAGCCCGTCTCCCAGACCACGCCTGCGTTCGCCACAAACACGTCGATTCTGCCGAATTCTTCCACCACGGCGTTGGTGGTCTCGGCAACGTTTTTCGACGACGCAACGTTCACTTTGTAAGCCTTTGTTTTGGTTCCGTACTTGAGCGCCAGCTTCTCGCACGTCTCGGTGGCATCGGAGTAATCCCACACGCACAGAACCTCGCAGCCAGCCTCGCAGTACGCCTGGGCGGCCGCGTAGCCAATTCCGTTCTCTCTAGCAGCACCTGTCACCACGCAGACCTTGCCCCTGAGCGAAAAAAGGTCCATGATGCTCCTTTCCATGATATGGGCGGGAGGCGGTTTGGGAAGTGGTGTAGGGTCGTTGGCGTGGATCAGAGAGGTGACGATCTCGTCTTGGGTCATGTTGCAAAGCGTGGGAGCATGCTCAACGGCGGATCGTGGGTATTTATACAAATCTGGGTATCCCTCCAAAGGAATTCCGAGTGCAAAAGCAATGTGTGCACTGCCAGGGGTTGATTACGTTTTTTTTTTTATTTTGCAACGGGCAGGAAAAGTACAAAATGGAATTCCGAACTAGTGTGTCTATCAGTCCGCCTTTGCTAGTAGCTGGTCGATCTTGGCCTCTAAGGCGGCCAGTCTCTCTTCTTTGGCTGTGTTGACCGCCTGTAGCTGTTCCACAGCAGACTCCAATTGAGTCACAAGAGCGTGTAGTTTGTCCATGGAGGATTTGAGGCCTCCCGCAGCTCGGACGGTGGAGGAGGAAATCGAGCTGGATGAGGCGGATTCAGGAACTGTCTTTGGAGCTGCAGCTTCCTTGTCAGACACAACCTCGCTGGAGATATTCTTGACATCCTTGATTGCTTGCTTAGGCTCCTCGACTGCTTCCTTCGAGTTTTCTGCGGCAGCTTCCTGAGTTTCTCCCTCGGGCTCCTTGGCCTCAATCTCCTGCTTCTCTTTCACCTCCCTCTCCGTCACCTCCTGCCACTCCTCGTCGTCCGCGTCGACGTCCTGTGTGTCGTCGTCGGACATTTCGTTGACTTTGTTCAGAAGCGTCGTCACCTCCTCCTTGTTCTTGAGGTCAGGCTCGGTAGCAGGCAATGGCCGCAGAGGCTGTGGTGTCTCTTTCTCCGGCTTTGGCTCCGGCTTTGGCTCCGGCTTTGGCTCCTCCACCTTCTGCGTCTCCCCCACGCAGGTTGCAGGTTCCTCAGAGCCCTCGTACAGATCCCTCATAGACACCAGAACCGGACCGCTCGTCTTGCCCCCAAAGAACTCCTCCGCCGTAAGCGCAGGAACACCAGCCGGCGCGTCCGGATAGATGTCGTCCTGGAACATCTCCGAGCGTCTTGGAACAATAAATGAGATCGGCTCGACAATGTTGTCGTTGTGCAGCTTGTACGCGCGCACAATCTCGTTCTCTCTCACGTTGACAAACCGCTTAGGTCCAATGGCATAGCCACGCTGCGGCGACGTAGATGGGAACTCCGAAATCAGATACAGCTCGTCCTTATCGAACTCGTAGTATCTCACGTTGCCGTCGCCCTTGCCGGCTACAAACAGGATATTTGTGGAGTCGTCGAAAAACGGCATCAGCACACCCGACGACGCGTCCACAGAGTAGAACCCACCCACAGGGCCGTCCTCGACCTTATCGGCCTTCCAAACACCCAGCTGTCTCTCGGAGAACCTGTCGAAGCCGGTGGTGACAAATCTGTCGTGCTTTCCAAGCCAGGCCACGCGCGGCGCCTTGGCTCCTGTGTGGCCTGGGCCCTCCGAGAGCACCTTGCCCGTGTGAACGTCCCAGACGCGGATCTTCTTGTCGCGAGACGCGGTGACAATCTTGGACCCGTCATAGTTGAAACAGAAGCTGGTCACGAGGTCCTTGTGCTGCAAAGTGCGCTCACACTGCTTGGTGTCCAAGTTCCACAGCTTGACGCTGTAGTCGAAGGAGGACGACGCCAAAACGTTTTCGGCAACCGGATGGTAGAGAACGTGGCCGACTTTGCGGGAATGGCCCGTCAAGGAAGCCACCGGCGCAACGTCCTGGATGTTGTCCGGGTCTACGTGGGTGAAGGTGTAGTCTGGCGGGATCTCCCACAACAGGATCTTGCCGTCCTCGCCTGCAGAGGCCAGCCTGTTCTCGTGGAACGGGTCGAAATCGGTGTCGAGCACGAGGCCGCCGGTGTGGCCGCGGAACATCGGGACCTTGTCGGGGGCTTTGCCGACCTCGTCGACGGGGATCACCAGAAACGCACCGATGCCGTTGGCGTTGACACTCAGGTACCGGCCATTGCACTTGACGATGTTGCTGTCGAACGCGGAGATCGTGACCTTCAGGTTCTCATAGCACATCTCCTTCTTAAACGGCTGACCGTACACATGTCTGTATTTGGACGCTCTCACAAACCGGCCACTAAGTGTTAGCACTAACAGCGTGACAACTCACCTCATAATTTATTTTTGAAAAGTACGGTATCGTCGCGTCGCAAGAAAAATAAATAAAATTAAAAAAAAAAAATACCTTTTTGCATGTCGCATCTCATAGATCTCATCGAGAGCGCGCACAACAGCCCCAGCGACGACGCGGTCCAGCAGCACGTCTTCAACGAGTGCTACCAGTATTTTGCGTCGCTGGACACCGAGCACTACTTTTGTGACACCACCACGGCGCGCATTGCATGCTACTTGCTCGTCATCTGCATAGCGTTCGAGGACTCGGAAATTCTGCGCACGCTCAAGACGGCGGCGCGCAAGGCGCTCGACAACTGCCCGAAGTGCATTCTAGGCTTCCACGAGGCACGCGCCGCTGCGCGAAATGACCTCCTGCTCAAGCGCAATCTGCCCTACGACAAAATTGCCATAGTGATCCAGCGGGTGTTCGACTGGGAGGCCCAGTCGCTGGTCGACAAGCTCGGCACGCTCAAATTTGACCGCGACGAGGACCTGCTGCACAGCTCCGATGTGCACAATACCCTGACTGAGTGTTTGGTGTGTCCGCAGCTTCTGCGCGCCAACGACCGGCTGCGCACGCTGTGCTCGCACATACTGGCCGTGGTGACCCAGAGACAACCGATTCGGCCGAAAATCGACCTCTTCGCCGGGCTGCTCTACTTTCTGTTCGAGGGCTCCGACACAGAGCGCGCGTGGGCGCTCTCGTGTTTGCCCGCGCAGCTGAGGCCCGCCAGCTTCACGGCGTCCTTCATGGAGGAGTACGAGCTCCATTTCTTCAACATCCAGAACCCAGCGCTCTTCAGCGCGGATGCCTGTGCGCTTTTCTGGGCCAACATCGTGCCCCTGCTGCAGCTCGGGAACGGCGAGTGCGTACTGCAGTTGAACTGGCCCGTGGCGGCTAGCAACTTTGAAAAAACAGCACCGTTTAAGGTGGTGCCCCTTGTGCGCATCTTTGTCAACGAAATCATGTCGTACCTGGACGAGCCGCTGCCGCTGCTGCTGCGTGCGTTTTCCGTGCTGCTCACAAAGCTGGGAGCCGAGTTTTGGGAGCACGTGCAGCCGCATAGCTACCTCAACTTTTTTGACGTTTCCTTCAACAGCCCGCATTATAGCAAACACCTAGACACGCTGCGGCTTGCAAACGCGGCGCCGGGCGCGCGCACGCCTTGTCTAGAGGACCTTATCAACTGGATATACCCGCTGTACCGATCTGTCACGCCGTCGCAGAAGACACAGACGGCGTGCATCGTGTACAAATATTTCTTGGACAAGTTGGGGCGGCCGCACTGCGGTGCACTGCTGGTTTGCGTGGGGGCAGATTTAATCACCGACGAGATCCGGCTGCAGAGCCCGCTGTTCGACGCCAAGCTGACGGTCGAGCTGTATAGCAAGTCGGATGCGCGCGCGCTGATCGACCGCAAAGCTATCACGCTGTTTGATGCAATGGTGGATCCGCAGGTAAAGATCAAGGCGCTGGGCGTGGTGGCGGCGTCGCTCGTGTACGACGTGGCGTCGCTGGCGCAGGCGAGCCATTTTTTGGCCAAATACGACGCCAGCACGGTCTCAGCGGTGAACATGGACTTATGGATCTTGCTATCACGCAAACTAGCCGCAGACGATAGAACGTTTGCGCAACAAGTGCTGAGCAGCTTAAGCGAGGCCAGCTATGTGTTCTCGCTCGACATCACGTTGCTCAAGATCACGTTCCGCGACGCACGTGACTTCTCCGACGAGAAGCTGCGAGAGCTGGTAGCCGGTTGCAGCAAGCAGAACAAGAGCGTGGCGATGTTTGCGAGCAGCGTCGAGGCGATATTCAGCCGCATGGCCGATTTCTTCAGCGGGCAGACTCTGCAGCAGATCCTGAGGGACCTAGCCGCGTCGATCGGCGTCTGGAAGTGTCTGTGCTCGTGCGAGGAAAAACTCTACGAGAGTGCTGTCGGGCTGCTGTACGAGGCGTTCGACGTCGACGGCCGGCTCGAAGCGGTGCGCGAGCTGCTGCGTATGGACACCGCCGTCACCGTCGAGGCCGCAAAGGACGCTTTTGTGAGTCTGACGCGTCTGGAGCAGTTCAACGCCAGTAGGCGCGGGGTGCGTGTCCTAATGGACCTCGTACAGTGTCTGCTGGACCCGATCGACGGCGTGCTAATTGATACGGCGCGGCTGAGCAACGCCACGCGCGCCATTCTCGCGCAGTTCTGGGCGCAATGCTGGCGGTTTCTCACCATGATCTACGTCAAAACGTTCGACTGGTCCAAGGAGTACGAAAAGGTCAAGGCTCACGTCCAAAATGCGCAGCACAACGAGAAAATCACCAGGACGCTGATGGACTTCACACGTGACGTGCTGGAGGTCTCGCAGACGCTGCTTGGCGGATACAAGCTGCTGGTGGAGTCGATGCAGTTTGCGGGTGTCTCTGCCGAGCAGAGCCGCGAGATCCAGCAGAGCCTGATTCAGCCCGTGCTACAGGCGTTCGAGCGCACTGTGTACTGGCTGCGGCTGAGCGACAGCGCGCTGCTGTTTCTGTGCGTGCGGCTGACGCTCGACACGCTGGACCTGGTGGCGGAGCAGGGGCTGGAGTTCACGCACACGTCGCTGGCGATCCTGGCTAAGCTATGCGCGAAAGCCCGTAAGTTCAACAATAAGCTGTCGGAGGAGCAGCGCGGCGAGATTCTCGTGCGCGTGCGGCGGTTCAATAATGCGCTAGTCGAGGAGGTGTTGGCCGAAGCGGAGGCGCGCAGCGAGCCTCGCGAATCCCGCGAACGAAGCGAGCGGTCAACGCTGGAAGAACAGTCGCCTAGTGTTTCCAGCGCCACTGTCAGGGCACCAAAACAGTCCACGCTTGCCAACTTCCTCACCAAACCGGCCCCTGAAGAACCGCCCGCCCCCAAACGCCTCTCCATGCTTGAGCAGGCAAGGCTGCAGCTGGCCGAGAAGCGGCGCCAGGAGCCCGTGCGCCAGGAGCCGGCACCGCCGCGCCCGGCCGGCTTTAATAGACGCTCCAAAACTTCGGACGCCGAGTCGTCCACGTCCGAGTCCGAATCCGAGGACGAAAATGGTCTTTTCACAAAGGAGCAGGTAGTGGCCAAGATGAAGAAGACCAAAGCCGCGCTGCAATCTCTGCAGCCGCGCGCCAAAAACCTGGCGGTGCGGCCGAGCGGCGGTGCGGCTCGAGGTGTCGACCTGAAGAAGAAAGCAGAGGAGCTGATGCGGCTGCGTTTGAACGTCGACATGAACCCGCTGTACAAGGAGATACTCACGTGGTCGTACTTTCGCGATGGCGATTATCCCGACGACGACCAGAGCAAATACACCAGCGTGAAAAACAGGTTTGCGAGCGCAGACGAGTACCAGCAGACGTTCCGGCCGCTGCTGCTGCTGGAGTGCTGGCAGTCGATCCAGCGCGCCAAGGAGATGGCCCAGGAGACACCGTTCCGGGTGACTGTGGGCTCCCGTGCGGTCACAGACACTTTTTACGATGTTTTTGCGTCGACGCGGCGCGAAGTGGTGACGGAGCAGCGCTGTGTCGGCGACAGCGACCTAGTGGTGCTGATGTACGTGGACAATCTGGACAGCGACACGAGGCTGACGCGCAAGCATCTGGCTGGGTGTCGCCACGCGTGTCTGGGCCGTGTGAAAGACATCAAGAACAACAACAACGGGTTTTCCGACCTGACAGTCCGCGTGGCCACGAAAACAAACATGAATCCATACTTGAGTCCTGGCATGGAGTTGGTGTGCATGAAAGTTGTGCAGATGACGACGATTGAGCGGGAGTTTTCGTCGTTGCAAGGGCTGAAGTACTACGATCTTGGACGGGAGATAGTGACGGCAACGCCGAGCGTGCCGGGCAAGATCGATCCTGTGGTGGTGGGGCGGATGAAGCAGACGTATGCGGTGAATGACTCTCAGGCGCGGGCAATTGCGGGCACCGTGCACAAGGACGGATTTTCGCTGATCCAGGGTCCACCGGGCACGGGTAAGACCAAGACGATTTTGGGTATTATTGGGTGTGCGCTCACCTCGGGCAACCCGAACGCGATCGCGGTGCCGGGCGAGCAGAAAACGTCTTCGAAGCGGCGGATCCTGATCTGCGCCCCGTCGAACGCGGCTGTGGATGAGCTCGTGCTGCGGCTCATGGGCGGCATCAAAAGCTCGCGCGGCGATAACTACCGCCCCAAGGTAGTGAGGCTGGGCCGCTCGGACGCGGTGAACGCACAGGTGAAGGAGACTACGCTGGAGGAGCTTGTGGACGCGCAGCTGAGCGCCGTAGATACTGCCGCCGACGACACCAAGATCCGCGAGGAACACCGCAAGTGCGTGCACGAGCGCGACGATCTGAGACAGAAACTTGCAGCGGGCAACGTTTCGGCGGACGAGGTGGCGCGGCTCGAGCTGCGGCTGCAGGAGGTGGTGCAGAAGCGGAAAGAGCTTGGCCGCCGGCTCGACGAGCTGCGCGAACAGAACTCCGTCAAGCACAGAAACAGAGAGATCGAGCGCCGCAACGCACAGTTCCGCATCCTCAGCTCGGCCGAGGTTGTGTGCTCCACGCTCTCGGGCTCTGCCCACGAAGTGCTCGCCGGCATGTCGTTCACCTTCGACACTGTCGTCATCGACGAGGCCGCGCAGTGCATCGAGCTCAGCGCCATTATCCCCCTGCGGTACGGTGCCAAGCGGTGTATCATGGTCGGCGACCCCAACCAGCTGCCGCCGACTGTGCTGTCGCAGAAGGCAGCCAGCTTCAACTACGAGCAGTCTCTTTTCGTGCGTATGCAGAATAACCACGACAATGCGGTGTTCCTGCTGAATGTGCAATACCGTATGCACCCGGAAATCTCCAAATTCCCGTCCAAAGAATTCTACGACTCCAAGCTGCTGGACGGCTCCGGCATGGCAGAAAAAACCGCACGGCCGTGGCATGCGATCCAGGAGTACGGGCCATACCGGTTCTTCAACATCGAGGGCAGCCACCAGCAGAACGAACAGACCAAGTCGCTGTACAACTACGCAGAGGCCAAGATCGCGCTCGAGATCGTGTCGGACCTGTTTGCACTGTTTCCTGACGAACAGTGGCCGGGAAAAATCGGCATCATTTCGCCCTACAAGGAGCAGATCAGATGCATCCGCGAAGTGTTTGTGCAGAAGTTCGGGTTCGCGATCACCAAGGAAATCGATTTCAACACTGTGGATGGGTTCCAGGGCCAGGAAAAGGACATTGTGCTGTTTTCGTGCGTCCGTGCCGGGGAGCAGAACTCGGGCGTTGGCTTTTTGGGAGACGTGCGCCGCATGAACGTCGCCTTGACCAGAGCGCGCTCCTCGTTGTGGGTTCTTGGAAGCAGAGAAACCCTCATGTCCAATAAAACATGGCGCGACCTTATTGACGACCTGTACGAGCGCGGTCTTGTCATCAGAGCATATCCGGGCTTTACAAGGAAGAAGGGCAGTTTGGGCGACAGCTTCGAGCCGAAACGCAAGAAACATAAAGCCGACACGCGCGCGGAGCCTAAAAAACAGAAACTGGGCGTCATGGGCTACTCGTCTTTGAGTAACGCAAATAAGGTTCGAGCCCAGCCGGCGACGACGCCAACACCAGGTCCGCCGAAACCGGCACCACCGCCGCCGCCCGCCAGTCTGCCCAAAATCCCTGCCGTTGCGCGCCAAAGTGGAGCCCCTGTGGGCCCGTCCGGGGAACAGCTGATCAAGATCAGCAAGCCGAAACCAAAGTTCCCCCGGCCCAAACGTAATTAGCTGCATATACAGCGTCGAACACGCGTAATAATACATAGACATACATGACAAGTGGCGCAGGTGTGCTCCCCCAGGCTGGGGGCATTTGGTGCACGGATGTCCTCCATATATTTTTGGCACAGAAATATATAATCACTTCTCAGCATGGGCAACATTCCCTCGAGTCTCCTGGACGACCTATCCGAGGGAACAAACTGTAAGTACTCGCCGCAGCGGCCTCTAACAATCAGTCGGATCGGACGAAATTGACCGTCTCGCGAAGCGGTTCATGAAGCTGGACACAGACAACTCCGGGGCCATCGACAAGGACGAGTTTCTGTCGATCCCCGGAATCGGCCAAAATCCGCTTGCCAGGCGTGTGATAGACATCTTTGACACCAATAGGGGCGGCGACATTGACTTCAAGGAGTTTGTGGCCGGGCTGTCGATTTTCTCGAGCGGCTCAGTCGACGACAAGCTTCGGTTCCTCTTTAGGGTTTACGACATCGACAACGACGGGTACATTTCGAACGGCGAGTTATTCTTGGTGCTACGGATGATGGTGGCGAATTCGCTTACGGACGTGCAGTTACAGCAGCTCGTAGACCGCACGATCCTCGAAAACGACGAGGATGGAGACAACAGGCTGGATTTTGAAGAGTTCAAGAGAACCATCGCCCACACCGATGTGGCCAGCAAGCTGTCGCTGGAGGACAAAATCTGATCAGTCTTTCTTGTCGCCCTTGCTTTTCTGGATAGCCGATTTCGCCTGCACGTATTTTGTTGCCTCGCTGCTGCCGGCGGTGATCTGGGACGTTGACGCAACCGGCACAGAGAACGCCGGCTTGATGGGCAGCGACGATGGTGACGGCGAGTTTATGCTCCTCATGCTTTTGACGCTTGTGGCGCTGGCCGACGCCTTGAGCACCGGTTTTGGCTCCTCGCCCCGGATGGTGCGGACGGCGTTTTCTATTGCGGTGATCTCGTCGCCGATGATGGCCTCGATGTATCCCAGCTTGGACTGAGCCGCCTGCTGTTTGCGCTGCTGCAGCGTTCGCAGCGCCGCGGCAAGCTCCTTCAGCAGCAGCTCGGTTTTCTCCGGCACCGTGTCCGCAATTATTTTTTGCAACGCTGCCTCCAGCGAGCCCAGACTTTCAAATACGTCTTCCAAATACACACAGCACTCGTGGAAACTGACTTCCTTGGCTTCTGCCGCGTGCACCATGTCGGCCAATGCGCGCAGCTGCAAGTTGTAGTTTTCGATGATAGAGGCCGGGTTGAGCTGCTTATCGGCGCCCTTTACAGGCAACAGTTTTTCGATCTCATTGAACTCCTGCGCCTCGATCTGGCTCAAAGATTCGTAGTACGCGTTCAACTTGATGTCCAGCAGCGATTTGGACTCGCGCAGCTGCTGGTTCACTTGCTTCTGCTTCGTCCGCAGCGCGCGTAGCTTGTGCTCCAGCTGCTCAATCTCCTTTCCGATCCGGTCGCTCTCTGCAAGCAAGGTTTTGTACGCAGCACCCTCGGACGTGCGGTTCTCGATCTCGTCTATTCGGTCGACAATTTTCGTCCTCTTGGCCTCCCAATGCTCGAAATTCGTCAGCACTGCGCTCTTATTGTGCTGCTCTGTGGTGTAGATCTCCTTCATCGCCTGGTTAATCTGGCTCAGCTCCGAAAACAGGTGCAGCAGCGTCTCGCGCGTCCGGCCCACCCGCCGGCTCCCTTTGTGCAAGCTTGTTCTGTGTTTGTCGATGGTGGCGAGCAGCCGCGCCGTGACCACTATTTCCTGGTTTTTCAGATAGTGCAGCGGATCATCCACAAGACCCATTGAGGGCACCAGCGGGGCCTCCAGCGCGGCGTGCAAATTGCTGTGCGGCGAAAACGAGCTTGTGCTCATCTCCAGTTCCTCCGACGGCACTGTCGACGCAAAAAGCTTGTCTTTGTACCCGTCCTCAAGAGACGGCCCCATGTCGTATTGAATCGACTCAGACCGCGGAAAGCTCACCAGATCGTCCTGCGACTCGTTCAGGGGCCGTGACAGTCGACCGCCTCCGGTGTCGGACGTTTTCCGTTTCGAAAACGACGACTCGAATTTTGACATGGCGCATGAAATAATAAATTAAATTAAATTAGATTTAATTAGATAAATTAGTTATTATTTATTTCCTTGTCATAATCGTATCCACGGGCAATTCCCATCCTGCCCTCCTCAACGAGAGCACCGTCCAGCTCCTCTGTGCCAAAGTCGCTGCCTAGTCCGGTCCATGCCCTCGTTTGCAGATAATTCGCGGACGTGCTGACCGTGTTTTTGATGCTTAGCGTGTTGGAGAACCGACTCACCAACTGGCCGTCTGATCCTCCCGTTTCTGGGGCCCCCAGCTCCACTTCCAGATGTCTAATCTGTCGCAGCGGCTTCGATGCGGCCAATTGGCCCGTTACAGGGTTGAACTCCGGCACGTACCCGTCGTCGCCGTGGTCCGAGTCCTCGTGCTCGCTTTCCTGTTCCATCACTGCCTCGAAGTCCGTGATCCATTGGCCGGTCCACGTGATCTCCCGCTTCAGCGCTAATTGCAGCTCGTACGGCGTCACAATGTTCTTATAGTACTCGCCGTACTTGTCCAGAATAATGCCCGATTGGCCGCAACCGAGAATACACCACACGTCCACGCTCTCGAAGTTGGCCAGCTTCGCCACGTTCGGCTTCCCCACAACAAACATATAGTGTTTCTTGCCCGCCTGCCGCACCCACTTGATCACCTTGTTGAGCAGCGTCCGCGTGTTCGCCAGGGAGAGCGTGTTGATGAGAATGCCGATCGTGCCCGCGTTTCTGGTCATGTGCATCGCTCTATACCGCTGCATCAGCGACGGGAATGGGCCAAAACTCACAGTGCCCGAGTTTACGTCGTAGACGGCCATGCTGGAGAACTGCGTACTCAAATAAAGCAGCCGTGGGTCTTCAGGCTGCGTGATATGGAACAGGGCACACTCGTCCAGCGGGCCGTCGTAGTGGACGATTCGCGAGGCCAGCGCCGTTCCCTTGTGACTGTGCGTCGTGTGATCAATTATCGCTGCACGGCTCCGCTCCAGGTCTAGCTCTGCATAACCCACTTGATAATCCCCAGACAGTTTTTCGTACAATTCTTTCAAATAGAGCGTGTGCGACGTGTCGGCCATTAAAATCACTTTGTCGCCTGGCGAGTATGTTTCCTTGAACGCAGCAAGCACCTTTGCTGTGTCCAGGTATGGCTTGCCGAAAACGTACGCAGCGCTGAGCTTGTCGACCGGGTTCAAACATGCGTCGCCAAAATGCACCACTAGGTCGGCGAAAACGTGCTCGGCGGCCACTTCGTCAATGCAGCACGGCGAGTACGACGTGTCCGCTAGAATCCACACCTCCTGGTAGTTCTTGCAGTCCTTGCCGCAGTTCCCACTGCAGAGCTCGACGGCCTCGATGTCTCGGCTCGGCGATGTCGCGTGACTCTTGTCACGTGCGTCTTCAAGTTGTTCCTGGATCATTTGTAGAACGATCGATGAGTCTGCGATCAGCGAGTCTGGAAACTGCAGCGCAATGCGCTTGTACTTGGGTTTGTTCTGGTCATCTTTCTGCCTCAGAAAGTCCACTAATTTGTCCACAGAGTAATAGTCTCTGAGGACCTCTCGCAGACTCTTTTCTGATATATCGGGAACAGGCCCCAGATAGCTTCGAGCGCCGGCAGTTTTCTGGGTCTGGGAGAACTCAAATACTGTGGCGTCTTGTGCCGTTGATAGCACCGGAGGCACTAATTCTGACATGCTTGAGAGATTGTGAATGTAGGGTGATTATTTTTTTATTTTATTTTATTTTTTTTTTTTTTTTTCAATCTTATTATCTTTATGGCTATCGAACTGGGGTACACCGCAGATTACCACGTCCATCTACGACAGGATGAAATGATGAGACTCGTCACTCCTACAGTCAGACAAGGAGGAGTGTCTATAGCATACATCATGCCCAACCTGGTCCCACCTATCACGACCTTGGACCGTGTAATCGAGTACAAGCAGGAACTCGAGCAGTTGTGCGATTCCACCACTTTTTTGATGACACTTTACCTGAGTAAGGATCTGACGCCAGAGCTGGTAGAGGAGGCGGCGCACAAAAAGGCGATCCGTGGTATCAAGTGCTATCCGTCCGGCGTCACCACGAACTCGAACGCAGGTGTGGACCCCAACGATTTTTCGCAGTTTTACCCGATCTTTGAGATTATGCAGAAGCATGGGCTTGTGCTCAACCTGCACGGTGAGAAGCCGTCCATTTCGAACGAAGAAGGCAAGGACATCCACGTGTTGAACGCCGAGCCTGAATTTCTGCCTGCTCTTTTCAAGCTGCACAAAGACTTTCCGAAACTCAAAATCGTCCTTGAACACTGCACTACCAAAGCTGCCGTCGACGCAATACACGAAATCAACAAGGACCTGAAGGACGGCGAACAGCCAATCGTCGTAGCGTCCATCACGGCACACCATCTGTTCCTAATTGTGGACGACTGGGCCGGAAACCCGCTCAATTTCTGCAAGCCGGTGGCTAAGCTGCCAGAGGACAAGAGAGCCCTTATATCTGCTGCCACGTCCGGCAAGCCGTACTTCATTTTCGGATCAGACTCTGCTCCGCACGACGTTCACAAAAAGGCAGTTCACACAGGCGTGTGTGCGGGTGTGTATACCCAGCCGTACGCCATTGCATACCTGGCTGAGGTGTTTGATAAGCACGGGAAACTCGACAAATTGAAGGATTTCGTGTCGACGTTTGGAAACAGCTTCTACGAAATGGACGAATCCAAATTGCGCTCCAAGCAAAAATGCTGGCTGGTCGAAAAACCAAACCTCGTCGCCGACACGGTCGCACAGGGTGGACTGACCGTGGTCCCATTCCGTCCTGGTTCCAAACTCAGGTACGCAGTCGAGTGGAGATAGAGTCAAACGTTGCCCAGCACAATCATAAATTTGAGGTGTTTGTCGTGGCCTTCAGGGAAGGTTCCGTCCTCGTTGAACACACAGATGCTGTTGCTTTTCCAACCCCAGCTCTGAGACTTGTGGAAATCGTTCGGGACAGAGAGGAAGGAGGTGATTGTGGGTTTTTCGCGTCTAGATGGAGTAAACATGATAAAGTACACCATGATAACGTTTCGTTGGTCTTCGTAGGTGAGGAACGAGCGTGGCTCTGTTCCCGGGCTTCTGATAGACGGTGCAGACGAGTCGTTAAGAGAAAGATCGGTCAAACTGAGCGAACTATCGTCCTGCACGTTCTCTTTCTCCTCGGCTCCATGCAGATTGCTTCCCAACGGAGCCATATTTCTGTCCATCCGAGCGTTCACTGGATCGCGATGTTTTTTGGGCATGCTCTGGTAATTCACGTTGCCTGCAAAAACGTTCGGATTGGTCAGACTATACTTAGAGGACGACGTGGACCCGCTGTTGTTTGCTCTGTGTAGATACGCGCCTATTTGATATGTGTTTTTTAGCTGGATCTTGTTTTTCTGGAGATACAAGTTCCAATATGACCCGGCATACCAGAAAGTTGTTCCATAGACTCGCTTTTCTGTCAAAAGGTCAGAAACGTTTGCGAACGCGATAGAAAACCGAAACGGAGGAATCGATGTCCAGCTGTAGAGCCGCTCGTTTTTCGGGCTCTCGTCCTGGGTGGACTTCCCGTTCTCGACGCTCCCTGTAGCGGGCGACGTGCTGAGCATGTCGGCCATTTTTCTGTCGAGTTCCGCAGGAAGACCAGAGATGGTAGCGTCTTTAATAGGAATTCTGAACCATTTGGAGTCGGACGTCGGCGGAGCAGCGCTTGTCACGGTAGACGCGATGTTCGATGTTGGCGAGCTGAGAACTAGCCGCTGCAGATAAACCGCCTGCCACAGCGCCTTGTGCAACACCTGCGGGTCCACGTAGGAGCGGCCGTAGATATCTGTGAAAGATTCCAGCTCTTGGAGCTGTTCCGGACTCATGTGGCAATAATGCAGTTTCTCGTTCAATGTCTGCTTGATAGGCGTAATTTCGTCCTCGTCGTAATTCGCCTCAATGCGGCGTTCCAACAGCTTGATGATAAATATGCACCGGTCCCATTCACTGGGGACAAAGAAGTAATCTTCGCCAACCACGTCTGCAATGACGGCGGCCGGTAAATCGTCCCACGGCTCAATCCCGACCTCCCAGCCGTCCGTGGACAATATGCCCTTGCCGTTCTGTATGATCCTCTCGCTGGCCGCTCCGTAATTGCTTGAGACGGCAAACCTGATAACGTCCGAGATGTTGGCCATGTTCATGTTCTTGACGATGCAGTCCGTCGCCGTACACACCGCCTCGTTTATGGCAAGATACTGGCCCACAGCGATCATGCTGTACGGAATTTTGGACTCCTCTGTCGTGTTAACAACCCCGTACAGTCTCGAGATGGCCAACTCGAAACTGTGCTGAGTGATGCGCGGGTCGTCAAACTCCAGAACGTACTCGTCGCGAACGTAATCCTCATCGTCGGCGGGCCATTTGAACAAGCTCTGGAAATAGTCGCTTCTATCCAGAACAAGCCGATGGAGCCTGTATGTGGCTCCAAACGCCGTGACCCGGACGTCTGAGTAGGCTCCTTCTAAAAACCCTCGCTTGTAGAAGTAGTCCGACACCGTTTCAGTTTTGCAGCATCCGTAGGGACAGGACCCATTGTCGGAATCGGCTTGTGTGCTGTGTGCCCCCGATTTCGAGGGGGACGTCTCTTTTGGTGATAGATCAACCGATCCCGATAAGAGCCCTGAACCAGGGGTCTCTGAGCCGAGAAGCGGCGACGAAAGCTCCGGATCACGATAGTGCGTGAGGTTGCCGGGCGCCGAGCCACGCAGAGGTCTTCGTCTGGGGGTAGAGCTGGAGGCCGACATAAATAAAATAAATTGGCGCAGGATAAATAAATTAATAAAATGTTTTGTGGCCACTGCTCATTTTGACGTATTATAGATGTATTCGTAAAAAGACACACCGGGGCGGCGAAAAAACACGAGGCTCGCGTTGTTATTTGCCACGTCTGGCGCAATATTCATCCTATATAGTTTGCCATCGAGAACTGCTCTCATTCGCTTTCCTTGAAGAGATCATTGATCTTGCGGAAAATCTCCTTGTCCTTCTCGGTCTCCTTAGATGGATCGTTCTCGTCGTCGTTGATTTCTTGCATCCAAAACAGGTTTTTGGCACCGCTGCTCAGAAACGTCAGCATGTACACTCTTCCCGTCTTGCACGAGTTGACCTTTTTCCATGTGACGTCGCCGGCAATGACCAGCAATTCCTCCGGCTCGACCCCGCCAACAGTCGTCTCGCGCGGCTTCCACACAAACAGGTAAAACTCGTCTCCCTCGTCGCTTTGGCTGATCACAATCTCGCCCTTGGTGGGATTCGGCGTGTACACCTTGGTTTCCTCGTTGTAGTCGACCTTGCCCGCTTTGAATTTGAGAGGAGTGGAAAGAACCATGTTTGTAATCAGAAACTCCTGTGGCAAACAAGCGACTTATTTTTCAGAAATACTAAAATTGATTAAATAAAATAAAATATTTATGAACTTTCCTCCAGACGACATTAAAATCCTGGTCGAGGAGATTGCCGAGCTGCTTCTGGCACGCAAGCAGACCCTCTCAGTTAGTGAGGGTGCGTGTGGTGGACTTCTGAGCGCCTACTTGATCTCTCTGCCTGGAGCGTCCAAGTTTTTCGATGGAGGTCGTCTGGTGTATAGCCTCAAGTCTCGGCTGAAGTTGAGCGGCTGGAATACGGACCAGATCAGAGACTACACGGGGCCGAGCGAGGCAGTGGTGCTGCGCCTGGCCAGGAATCTGCGGATCGAGTTTGGCTCCACATATGTGCTCTCGGAGTCGGGTTTTGCTGGGCCATCCACCAGTGTTGGACTGGGAGACCAGGAGAGCATCACCGACTCCTCGAAGCAGGGAGTCGTCTATCTGGGAATCAGCGGCCCATACGGAGACAGATCGTGCACGGTGAGCACGGGAAGCGAGGACAGGTCTGAGAACATGCAATTGTTTGCCAAGAAGGGGCTGGAATTTCTCCTCAGGGTGTTGAGGACAGAGGGGTGAGCAAGCAATTTAAAATTTTTATCTTCACTATTAACAGTCTCAATTAACAATCTCCTTCAATGCCTGTCTGATGCTGTCGACACCCTTGACGAGGTCCTCTTTTGAGATAACCAAAGGCGGAGCGAGTCTGATGATGTGCTCGTGGGTTGGCTTGGCCAAGACGCCATGATCCTTCATCTTCAGACACAAGTCCCAGGCCGTCTTGCCGTTGGTCTTGGTGTCGTCGACAACGATGGCGCACAGAAGACCTTTGCCTCTGACCTCCTTGATGACGCCCTTGGACTCCTGCTTGAGCTTCTCGAGTTCTCCCTGGAAAAATTGGCCGAGCTCGGCAGATCTTTCCACCAGCTTCTCGTCCTTCACCACCTCCAGAGCCTCAATGGCCACGCGCGAGGCCAGAGGGTTGCCGCCATACGTGGATCCGTGGGAGCCCGGCTCCAGAGTGTGCATGATCTCCTTGGAAGACAGCACGGCAGACACAGGCAAAACACCTCCCGAGATGGCCTTTCCAAGAAGCACCATGTCTGGCTTATTTTCTCTAGGTAAATAGTGCTCCCAACAGAGCAGCTTTCCGGTTCTGGCAATGCCGGTCTGGATCTCGTCGGCTATAAGCAGAACGTTGTATTTTTTGCACAGCTCCTTGACGCGGGAGAAGTAGTCTTTTGGTGGCACCACGATACCGGCCTCACCTTGGATTGGCTCGATCAGAATAGCGGCGATCTTGTCGCCCGCGTTGGCGAATGCCAGCTCGACGTCCTCGATGTTGCCGTAGCGTAGGATCTGGTTGTCGGTTCCTGGAATGACAGGACCCACTTTTTCGAGGTATGGGCCAAAGTGATCTCTGGCCTCTGGATCGGTGGACATGCTGACAATAGCCAGCGATCTGCCGTGGAAATTGTCTGCGCAGGATAAAACGATGGCCTCATTTGGAGCAATGCCCTTCTTCTTGTAACCCCATCTTCTGGCCAACTTCAAAGCCGTCTCGACGGCCTCGGCACCGGTGTTCATTGGAAGAACGCACTCGTAGCCAAAAAATTCAGTCACGTATTTTGCATACGAGCCAAAAATGTCCGAGGAAAACGCTCTGGATGAAAGAGTCAGCTTGTGGGCCTGCTCGACAAGTGCGTTGATGATACGAGGGTGGCAGTGGCCCTGGTTGACGGCAGAATAGGCTGACAGGAAGTCGAGGTACTCGTTTCCTTCGGGATCCCAGACCTTGGCGCCCTGGGCCCTGGAGAACACCACAGGGAGTGGGTGGTAGTTATGAGCGGCATATTCGTGCTCGTATTCGATAGCCTTGGCAGAGGACAGGTTGAACTCGGGAGAAACCATTTTACAGTAAGCGGGAAAGTGCAGCAGTTTATATATAAAAGCGTTCGCCGTGGCCTGCTTCTGGCGAAAATTGGGTAAAAATCTGGAGTACAAATTTCTTAACGGAAAGAGATGGCGAATATATTGGATCATGCTATTTAATTAATGGAATTTCGGTTTGCCTGACACCACGCTTTCGAGCGTGGCGAGCCGGCCGTTGAACATATCGAGGTCTTTCTGGAGTCTACGCAAGCTGCGTTCGTCCTCTGTTCGGTAGATCATGTTCGGATACCTGGACCCCATTTCGTGGATCACCAGTGGTGGGATAGCCATTCCTACCAGCAACGCAATGAAGCTAATTGTCAGTGGAACTAAGAGCAGACACCTACCTTGGGCTTCTCAGGGAACGTATGGTGGTCATTTTGCGATCACAAAATTGTGGGGAAATCGCACCTATATATAGATTTTCAATTTTGGCTACCCCACTAATTTCCACTAATTTTCGTGGAGTTTGAACAAATTCCGGTGACCCCCGGACCTAAGCACCAGCACTAAATTGGCAACTGCGCATGACAGGATAATGCACGCCATGACAAATCGCAGCGTATCTGACGTGGCTGATAAGACGACGATGTCGGTCCATTTGAACTGGACAAATTGGTCGCCGCGGGCCTCTACCGTCTCCATTAGTGCGGTCTCCACGGCAAACGCGAGCACCAGCCGCACGTGCTGCGCCACATGTCCCACGTCGATGTGCTCCAACGTGTCGCGCTCGGTGTGAATGTACGGGTTCGACGCAGCCAGCTCTGACTCCAAAACGTACACCGCTGGAAACCCGTTGATCAGCGCTGCTGAGTGGTCTGAACATATTTGGCCGCAACGTGTGTTTCTGTACGGGATCGTGCAATACGTCTCGATTAGTTGCTTGACGTAATTCATTAGCGACTCGGATGCGTAATCTTCCACCACGCCAAAATGTGGCGGTGCACCAGCGGAAAACCCCGTCATGTCCTGCTCCAGAAACGCAACGATGTCTGTGTAGCTGGCGAGGATATCCAGCGAACCGCGCAGCCCGGGCTCCTCTGCCGCGTAGAAGTGAAATTCCAGCGATTGGCGAAATTCCCATCGATTTTGCTGCAATATTCGTATTGCCTCCAGCAACGTAACTATTCCTGAAAGATCGTCGTCGACACCCGGAGACGAAAGAAACGGCACCAAATTCAACGAGTCAAGATGACACCCAACCACCACTTTGGTGTGTTGTGTGCCGGGGATTTTTGCAATGAGCGACGGCTGTCTCCATCCGTGGTGGTAAATATCGACGGTAACACCGGTATCTCTGAGCAGCGATTCTATTTCCACGGCAAATGACTCACCCGTATCTGAGTTGTACTCCCTGTGGCGAAACGCGCCCGCAAGATGCTGCAACTGCTCCGTTATTCTGGTTTCGTTGATGCGCTCTATGAGACCGTTTACTGTCTCCTGGTGAAACTCGGACGGATACTCGAAAACAGGCACTTTAATGGGCCATAAGAGACCAATGTACTTCAAAGTTGCTGTCTGGAGCAGCAACAGCACCAGAGAAATAGCCAGCCCCGTGATTGGTGCCATAGGGTCTAAAAATTACACAGGTGCTCTAATTATTATATTTTACATTGCACTGCCCAAATGTCATTTTCGATACTCAAAATATCACGTCGTCTTCTGTCTGCGCAGTCAGGTCAGGCACCTCCTGCGATTCCTGTTTTGTCTCGTCCTGTGACTGCTCCGCAAGAGCCTTGGCCTTTCGGGCAGCGTTCTCGGCATCAAGCTGCGCATTAGCCTGCTGCTTCTTCTCCTGCACTTTCTTCAGCCGGTAGAACTCCTCTCTGTCAAGCTCGTCCAGCTCCGAGTTGATGTAAGCAATGGTGTTCTCCGTGCGCGGGATAATCACGTGCTCAATAGCGTTCACTCTTCTGTTGGTCACCTTGATCACCTCGTCTAGAATGACAAATGCCGTCTGCAGCGACGCAAGATCAACAAGCGTCTGTACACTCTTCGTGTAGACGTCCTTGGCCTTCTGAACCTGCTGTCCTCCTCTTCCCAGACCTGTCATCTTGAAGTCGTTAATGCTCTCGTCGATGTCGGCCTCGAATTGCGGCAGATACACTCCCGAGACGTTCTCCTGGCGAGCACGCACCCGGAATCGTGCTCTATTCACAGATTCCTGAACCTGGTATCCAATGTTGCCACCTGTGGCGTATGAGACCTCCGCCAACGAAAACGCCGCCGTCTGCATCACACGGCCCATCTTTCTCTTGGCGTCGTCTATCCGTTTGGTGATGTCTCTGAATCTCTTGGTCAACGCTTCTGATTTACGTTTCAGCAGCGAATGGCCCTGCTGAGCCCCCTTCAGCTTCCCCTTCATCAAGCTCAGCGTCATCCGTGTCGGGAAGACCTGCTCTCTAACTTGTTAGCGTCTAAAACACCGTTGTACGTACCTGTTTGCAGACGACATGTGTGGTAGTTGTTATAAAAAGGTAAATTTTTGGCTGCTTCTTGTGCCGGGTAGCGTTGAGAAAATAATTGGAAAACACCCGGGCTGTGCTGTGAATATTTCATTGGCATGTCCGGAGGTTTGGTGCGACCAGAAGACGTGGACGCCGAGCTTGCAGTCCACAAGGAACCATATCTGCTGGAGAACTGGCTGGACTACCTGGAGCACAAGAAGGGCTTTCCAGAGGCAGATATTCTGCAGATTTACCGACGCGCACTCAGACGCTTGCCGCAGTCATTCAAGCTTTGGACGGGCTATCTCGAGCTGGTCCACAAGCTCGCTGGTAAAGGCGACGTAGAATTTTTGGTCAAGACGTACGAGCAGTGTTTGGCGAGTTTAAGCGAGTTTCCTGGTCTCTGGCAGAGGTTTCTCGTATTTCTCGTAGAAAACCTCGATCAGCTGGATATATCCTATGTTCGTCGCCGGTTCAACGAGGCATTGCAAAACTTGAGTGTTTCGCAGCATTTTGGTGTATGGAAGTTGTTTATCCGCTTTGCTGACATGGTTGGCGGTCGCACAAGTTTTACCGTATACAGGCGATATTTTGATTTTAGGGCGAGACTTGTGGACTACGACGATCTGTTTGCGGACCTTCCAGATTTGGACACAGTTATAGATAAGCTTGTGCTCTACACGGACTCAGCAGACCTATTTGCGAAACTCGGACCAGTTTTTGAGACCATAGCCCAAAATACCAGTCTTTTGGTGCAGCTCTCCATTTCGGAGTTCAGCCTATACAGCATCTATTTCGACCTAGTTTTGGAATTTGGAGACGAAAAAGATGCGCGAGAAATGTATCGGCATCTTGCCGACAAGTTTGTGGACCAGCGGTGCCTGCTTTCAATAAAACTTGCGGCCTGCTATGAAAAAAAGCATAGATATCTGGAAGCTGAAGATATTTTTGAAAAGGAGCTAAAAAGAGTGAACAACCTGCACGACTTCCAGTTGATTTTCGAGGCATACACAGAAATGGAAGACAGACGAATGACTCTCTTATCACAGAAGCTTGACGACGACACCGCGTCCGAGCTGGACGTCATAATGGACAGATTTGAGGATCTGTTGGCCAGGAGAAAATATCTGGTGAGCGACACGGCACTTCGCCAAAATCCCGACAATATACACGAGTGGCTGAACAGAATTGATATGTATGACAGCAAAAACGAAATCGCAGACTGCTACGCACAGGCAGCGGAAACAATCCGGCCGCAAAAAGTGCAGCTGCCAGGGCTTCTTCCGAAACTCTGGATACACTACGCTAAATTCTATGCGGAAAATGGTGAAGTCACAACAGCAAGGAAGATCTTTCAGACATCCACCAAGGTTCCCTTCCGCCACATTGAAGACCTGGTCGATATCTGGCTGGCATGGGCACAGTGGGAACTGGAAAAGGATCGCGAGCGGGCAGTGAGGGTGCTCGAAAAAGCGCTCGAGACTCCAAAATACGACGGGAAAATAAACTACCGGGATGAGGACCTTAGTCCCCAGATGCGCATCCACAAGTCCACGAGGCTTTGGCAATATTACTTGGATTTAATAAAGAGCTCCAAAAATTTGGAAGCAACATGCAAAGCATATGACAGAATGATCGACGTCAAGGTCGCCACTGCGCAATCGATTTTGGACTACGCCGCACTCCTAGAAGACAAAAAGCTCTACGAAGAGTCGTTCAGGGTCTACGAACGCGGAGTGCTGCTTTTCCGCTACCCAACCGTGTACGAGATATGGGTTGTCTACCTTGACAAAATTCTGCATTACCAACATCAACTCTCAATCGGAGTTGAGAGAATTCGGGACTTGTTTGAGAATGCGCTGCAAAACTGTCCTCCCGAGCTGTCCAAGCCGATTTTCTTGCTGTATGCGCAGTTTGAGGAGACCAGGGGCTCCAAACTGCTTGCGCTCAAGGTGTACCGCCGGGCCATCGAGTACATCCCAGCAAACGCCGAGAAAGTTGAGCTGTACAGCCTGCTGGCGGCCAAAACAATCCAGTTCAAGAACATCGAGAGCGCAAGAGAGGTCTACCAGAGCGCGCTGGAGTCAGTGACGGTCAACGCTCCGGGCTTCCTCGACGTGCTGGTGCAAGGGTTTGTGGGCCTGGAGCTGCGGCTGGGCCAGTACCGGCGGTGTCGCGAGATATATCGGTATGCTGCGCGGCTTTTGGTGCAGTTTGCAAAGCGTGAGCAGGACGTGGAGCATGTGTGGAGTTTGTGGAAGCGGTTTGAAGTGGAAAACGGGTCGGAGGAGAGCTACAAGGAGCTGCTACGGTTCAAGAGGCATCTGGAGAATACTGTGGTGAATGTGCGCGCCAAGACGACGGATTCGATCGGATTTGTGCACAAGGAGACCCGAGGGGCCTTGGACGACAGCACCAAAGGAAACAGCGCCGAGATAGCGTTAGATATAGACGAAATGGAATAAACTATCGCGACGTACGCCTAAGAAAATCTATCATCGATCCAGTGCTGCGTGCTCATTTGGCTCAATCTGCTGAGCGCTCTAGCAAACGCAAACCGTTCCTCATCTAGTGTACCAAACATAGCCGCCTTCTTGGCGACCTTTTTGTCGAAGCCGTGGTTTTTCACCAGATCGTCGTTTTCCAGGGCGTCCTCTACTTCTTCCGACGTGGTGCGCGATAGCGAGTAGTCGCCGTCGCCGATGTCTTCGGGCTCAACAAAAATGTCTGTGAACGGAGCCGCCGCCGTGACGGCAAGACAACCGTGGCTGTCGTAGACGGCGTCCAAAAACGTAATAAATCTTCGCACTCGGTCGCGCACGTTGACGCTCAAATACGGGATGTCTGTCACAATGAACGCTTTATAGGATGAGGCCAGCGTCAGGTAGTCGCCGGCAGCAAGCGGCTGGCCACAGAGCTGGTCGAAGGTGAACATGGCAACATTGGGCGGCGAGCTAATCGGCACGACAAGGTCGCGGCCCCAGATCCGCAGCGGCACGTTCTCCTTTGGCAGGACTCCCTGGGCAAAAAACTCGTACCAGGTGTCAATGTGCTCCTTCTGCTGTCTTCGCGACGCCTTGGAGTCGAAACGGATGCCTGGTTTAGGGAAGTAGTACACGGAAGACAATGGCTTAGGAACTTTCCTATAGTCTGTTGGCGAATTGAGATAGATGACCTTTGTTGTTCTTTTGATCAGCTGGATGCAGGGAATAAACGACTCGCGCTGGATTCCGTTGATGTAGAGATCATCCGGGGCCCTGTTGGAAGTCGCAAACAGGATTAGGCCATGGTCTGGCCGCAGAACCAGGTTCAGTAGCCGTCTTAGCAGCATTGCGTCAGCAACATCGGTAACCTGGAACTCGTCGAAACACAGCACCGTCGATTTTTGCGCCAGCTCCCACGCCAACAGCGGAATCACGTCAATGTCGTGCTTGCCCCCGTGTTTCATTTTGAGTTCGTGCGAGCGTTTGTGCAGGTTTTGCATGAACTGGTGGAAGTGAACTCTACGTTTGGTGAGATGTTTGGGGACTGTTTGGTAGAAAAGGTCCATCAGCATGGTCTTCCCGCACCCCACGTCTCCGTAGAGGTAAATACCGCTAGGCACAGAGACAGCCTGCTCTGGGGCTGCTTTTTTCTTTCTGAAAAAAGATCCAAATACCTTCGACAGCCCTGTTTTGGGAGTAAGATCTCTGATATCTGGCTCGTCCACTTTTGGAGGCTGGTAACGGACAAGCTCGGAGTATAATCCCTCCAGGCTGCTCAGAATGCCTCGCTGGTACGCATCGTCCTTCAATCTGTGCTGAGCCACCAGATGGTCGTATCTCTGCAGAGGCGACGTGCCATGGCGGCGAATGCCGGTCCAGTAAATGCTTCGGCAACCGTGCTGGAACAACCAAGAGCGTACAATCAACATGAAAAATATTCGACTCGGAGGAACACCGGATATAATGAGGATACATTTAACAAGCTACGATATCGCATTTATATGCTCCAGCCGTGTCATACAGCTAGCCGGTAGCTATGGGCCGCCCACTGGAAGCCTGTAGGTGTGTTTACCTGCTGCTGTGCTGGGGACCCTGAGCCGTGCTCTGTGGCCGGGTAAGTCCGATGCAAATAGAAATATTTTACAAAAAATATTTCAAAATACTTCATTCAATATGGATATTCACCGGTGTCGATTTGTGGACTATACACCGCACACGGTGACTTCGCTTGCGTTCTCGCACAAATCTGTGAGTGATAGTTGTCCGCACGAGCTCCGTTTGGCAGTGGGGCGAGCCGATGGGTCGATAGAGGTGTGGAACCCACGCGGGAAACACACCAACTGGCTCAAGGAGCACGTCATTCCCGGGTGTCGGGGCAGATCCGTCGAGGCGCTCGTGTGGTGCAGTGACGAGGGACAATCCAGGTTATTTTCCATTGGCGGTTCAACATATCTGACCGAGTGGAACGTTGCGAAAAGCGTTCCTTTACATAACCACGACTGCAATGCGGGTGTAATATGGTCTTTGGCCGCCAACCAGTCGCAGAATAAAATTGCTGTGGGCTGTGAGGACGGTTCTGTGGTGATAATAGACATTACAGGAGGTCCTGGTGTGATGGAACACGAACGAATCTTGCAACGGCAGCAATCACGAGTTTTGAGTCTATGCTGGTATAAAGACGATATGGTCATCGGTGGATGCGCAGACGGGCGAATCAGATGCTGGGATAGCAAGGGACAATTATTGCAGACACTGAGAGTTGACAAGTCGAAGACAGAGAGCACGCTTGTATGGAGCGTCTACATGGTTGCAAATGGGAGCCAGCTGGTTTCCGGAGACTCTACCGGAAGCGTCAAGTTCTGGGACATGAAACACTTTGTTTTGCAGCAGAGTTTCAACGTCCATGAGGCAGACGTTCTAACACTTACAGGAAACATGAGTGGCACCACAGTGTTCAGTGCGGGAGTGGACCGCAAGATATTTCAGTTTCAGCTAGTTGACAACGGGAAAAAATCGCATAAATGGATGAACAGCACAAACAGGCTACTTCATGGTAACGACGTGCGTTCCATGGCGTCGTATGAGTCGCGCAACTTGGATCTTTTGGTGAGCGGTGGCGTGGAAAGAGTGGTTGCCGTGAATTCTTTACGGAATTTCCAAAATAGCATGGTGTTCAAGCTTCCACTGAACGCTAACAATGTGATACTAAACGACGAACACAGACTGTTAATTATGTGGCAGGACCAGACCGTGAAAATATGGCGTTTTCTGGGCAACCAGGAGAAGGCACTGGCCGCCAAGCTCACCCTTTCGGACCCGGAGAGCATCAGTGATGTTGCTGTCTCCAAGAACGGACGGTATTTGATAGTTGCGCGTTTGAGCATTGTCCGCATATACGAGCTGATCGAGACAGATACGGCCAAGCTGCAGGTGGTGAAAGTGCCGGCCGCCAAATTGGAAGACATCGGAGCCAAGAAGGTGCACGTTCTGGACGCTTTGGGACTCATCCTGCTGGTGACAAACAGCAATGAATATCTGAGTGTGCGGTTCAATGTGGACGACGACGACGACGTGTCTGAGTTCGACGAAGCCCAGGACGTGGTGGAGTACGATATGGACAACGAGTGCGAGCTTTTGGACGCCAGCCAGGACTCCCAGCTTGTCGCTAGTGCTGGCTACAATGGCAAGATCTCTCTGCTGGATCTCGGGTCTGGTGAAGCGCGCGTGCTGGTGAGACTGAATGAGGTGCCGACGGCCTTACGGTTCACTTCGAACAACACGCTTCTGGTGGCCACCATGGAGCATAAGCTTTTCGAATTCAACTTGGACGGAGAGCTTCACACCGAGTGGTCCAAAAAAAACAGCGAGAATATGCCACAACAGTTTCTGTCGCTGCCTGGCCAGCCGTATGGGGTTTTCGAGACTCCGGACCGGTTCTGGGTTTACGGCACCAGCTGGATTGCCTTTTTCGACGCCAAAACAGAGCTGCCTCAGAAACAGGCCAAGGGCAAGAAACGGCCAAGAAGCAAGCCGAACGGTGTGAACGGCTCTGTCAGTGATAGCATAGAAAGAGAGGTGTCTGAAAAAACGTTCTGGTTCACCAACAAGTACAAGAACCTGCTTTTGGCAGACAGACTTTCGGATGATGAGCTGGTGGTGGTCGAGAGGCCTGTGGAGGAGATGCCGTCGCCGCCAGCATTCAAGCTGGTAAAATATAATATATAAAGGAAAATAATTTTTTTTATCCACGAAATTTCCTTATCGGATGAGAATAGTGCTGCTAGACGCAAGTGGCAATATTTGCCGGCTCTGGAAGCAGGAATTGAGACGCCTGAAAAAAGAGCTGGTTGATGCGATGCGGTGGGGTGACGAGAAATTGGAGGTTTCTGTTTTCAACGGGGATATACAAGAGCTTAAGCTTGACACAAACAAGGAAACTGTCTTTTTCTCGCCGGGCAACTCCTTTGGCGGAATGGCCGGTGGCTACGACAGAGCGTTGGCGTGCCTGTTCTCTGATACCGGAGACTGGAGAACGATTGACCGGTACGTGAAAAACTGGATTGTCGAAAACAGTCAAGGATACTCGGCTCCAGGAACTGCGCAACTGATCCGAATCAACACGCCGGATTCGACAGCCTGGCGCAAGTACAGGGCCAGTGCGATACTGCACGTCCCGACAATGAGAACTCCGGAATCGCTTGTATTTTCGGACGAACAGACAATCCAGTCCGTTTTTGACTGGACCTGGCAGAGTCTAGTGCGAGTCAGGCAAGAGCCGTCTGTGGATGTGTTTGTGCTCACGGGGATGGGGACGGGCACCGGTGGTCTTGCAGAAGGGCTGGTGTGCCGAGTGATGGTGGCGGCAATTGCCATGTTTGGCAACCGATTGGGCAAAGAAGTACTGTCCTACCTAGACAACACACAGCGAAAAAGCAGTGTCGAAAAAAAACTATACGATTAAGCTTAAGTCCTATACAGTTTGAGCGAAAGGCTCGCTGTGAGGGCCATGGTGGCAAAAACAAACACCATCATCAGCGAGTCTCCCACAGCCTCGCGGTATATTTTTAGCACTTTGGTGGTATATTTGGGGTCGAGGCCGTTGCGCACATAAAAGAAGTTCTCCATGAGAGTTTTGTATATTTTGTCGCCGTCCGGTCTTTTCTTCTCGATGAAGTAGTGCCATAGTTCTTTGCTGAGGACCGTGCTGTATATGTTGAGAGTGATTCCTGTTCCAGAAACGGAGCCGATCGACCGGAATAGATAGTTCATTCCGGTGACCGAGGCCTGGTGTTTGAGACCAACTTTGCCGACCACCATGATCAGCAGACTCACCAAGAACATGCCGTATCCGAAACCGGCTAAAGAGAAGCCCGCGGCAAGCAAGGCGATCTGCCAGTAGTTACGGTCTTCTGGTAAAAATGCCGGCTTGGCAGTCAGACAGACACCGAGCGACAGGAGCGAGCCCGAAAACACAGCCAGGAACCCCAGGATCGAGGTGCGGACAGATTTGGCAACAACATAGTCATCCTTTGCATTGGCGTCGTGTTTCAGCAACCAGCCAGAATACAGCGAGCCAAACGAGACGAAAAACACGCCGAACCCGTTAAACAGCCCCAACTGCAGGGAGTCGAGACCGTGGACGGTCTGCAGATAGATAGGCAGGATAAAGTTGATTCCGTACAGCGTCATGGTTCCAAACATCGCCGTGAGCGCTCCTAAGCGCAGGATTCCCTGGAAAGCGAAGGGAGGGATGATATGTTCTGTAGCAAGTCTCGATTCCACCAGATAGAATAGCACGCCGGAAACAACGGCGCCGGCCACATACGTGAGTCCTTCCGCGCGACTGGTCGACGAGAACAGGAGAAGCACGCTCGCAATGAGCAACGCCAGGGTCAGCGAGCCGGCAAGGTCGATTTTGGCGAAGTTTTCCTTGGTAAAGCGTTTCTGCATGCGTTCCTCAGCGTCTTCCATGTATTCGTGCACATTGGTGGAGACCAGGTACGCAGCAAGAGCCACAAATGGCACCTGACAGCCGAACATCCATCTCCAGCCGTTTCTTGGGTCTACGCCCAAACATACACCGCCAATTATAGGGCCAATGAATTGTCCTAGGCCGTACACGAGATTTGCATATCCCTGGTACATGCCGCGCATTCTGAGTGGAACGACGTCGGTGACAACAATGGAGCTCAAAGCGGATATGCCACCGCCGCCAATTCCTGCCAACGCCCGCGCAGCAGCAAATTGGGTCACCGACCGCGAGCAGGCGCACAGCAGACAGCCTAATCCAAACCAGAACTGAGCAAACAAAAGACTTGTTTTACGGCCAAACACCTCGCTGATTTTGCCCATCAGCGGCTGGAAAATCGCATTCGTCAGCAGGTAACTTGTGCCGATCCAGGCGAGTCTATTGGAGTCGTGAAGCAGTGAGGCTATGGTGTTGGCCGTGGTCGACACGATGGTGGAGTCGGCTGCCGAAAGAAATGAGCCGGTCCATAGAGACACAATGATGAGCGGCAGGTTCCGCGGAAGCGGCGTGTGTGCCGCTGTCGGTTGCGGGAGTAGCGGCGACTGCTCTGTTGGCTTTTGGGGAAGAGGCATTAGGAAAAAAATGATTCGCGCAGCAGAAATTAAGGAATAATATGAGTAATCTATAAAATAGTGAAAACCGCTACCCCTTCGGTCTGGCCTCAATCATCCGTATGTACGAGCTCTTGGTAGCCTTACGCCAGCGCTTACCATATACCATTAGCGGTAGGCTCAGAAACATGAAGAACAGGTTCAGAACCGCGAGAGCCACGTATGTAGCCTCCGTGCCGGACCTCTCCAGCCACGGCGAGCATGCAAACGTGAAAATGCAGCCGATGATGTTGTTGATCACCTCGACGGCAATGAGCGTCTCCAGAATCAGCTGGTCGTAGGTCCCGATCACGTAGAGCATCGCCAGGTTTCCAGCGGACGAAAACAGATATGCGATCATAGCCAGCCCCACGTATATCACGCGCCAATCGAGACCCCGCGACACGCCAAAGCCAAACATCAGCAGCCCCGCAGAGCCCACTATGCCGGAGAGAAACGCGAAAAACAGTCTGAACTCAGACTCCACGATGCCGTTGTTCTTGCGGGCCACCCAGAGCACAAAGTAGTCGGTAAGCGAGCCTGCATAAATGCAGCCAATAAAGGAGCCAATTATGCATGGGATGTTCATCAGAGCAATGCGTCGACCTGAAAAGTTGAACGGGTCGCCGTACAGATCAGTGTCTTGGGTGGTGAGGTAAAAGGACAAAACGGCGCTCTGGAAGCCCCAAATAAGGCCTCCAAAAATCACTGGTGGAAACCAAAAACAGCGGAAATTGTACACCAGCAGTTTGGCATATTGTTTGATGAATTCCTGCACTGTTCGGGCTTTCCAAGCACCAAGAAGCGAATAGCGCTGCTTCCAAGTGGCCGGAGCGTCGTGATACCCAAAGTCGTCGTCCTGCTCATGACTGACAATTCCGTGTGTCTGCAGACTTCTGTTGAGCAGCGAATTCTGGGAGTGATACGCGAACCTCGAGTAGTCGAAATAGTCTTCTTCGAGAAGAAACAGCACCATAAGCAAGCAGATGCCGCTCGCTATCGCTCCAGACCACCCAACCCATGTGAAGTCTCTATTTTCGGCAATTAGGTTGGCAATGAGTGGGCCCAGGTAAGTGCCAAGCGAAGTTGCGAGTATATAGATTGTGACAACGGCACCCAACTGGTGCTTGAAAAAAATGCTGCTCATGCTCAGCTGCACCTGGGCCTCTGTTGAGCCTTCTGCAAACCCTATGAGCACCTGAGACCCAAATATGTCACCCTTATGGCGTATCCGGGCGTACCAGATAGACCCAAACAATGCAAAGAGGATTCCGAGAACGTATGTTATTCGGCGGCCGCAAAGAGACGCAAGGGGGCCATACAACCAGACAGACACTGCAATGGAAACAAATAGAACTCCTGCAGAGTTGTTGAGCCAGTCATAGTCGATACCTGTGAGCTGGTTGATGGAGTCCTGGGGAGCAGACGCATCGTTTGCTATCGCCGCTGTAAAGGCCGTTATCAAAAGTAGAATGAAAAATTGCAGCGACTTTCTCCATGACGGCCAATTTAGAGGATCATTGACCGAGTTGGAGGGCTGTGGAAGCAGTATCACTCCATATTTCGATTTGAGGTCAGGAATATCTTCAAGGGGTGAGTTTCTGTTGTAGACATACTTTTTAGGTCTGGAGGCTTTCTGCAGCTGCTTCTGGTGTAATATGGCAGAGGTGTAAATGGAGTATGTGCCGGGAATATATTGTGGGTGGTAAATATCCGTGTATTTCTCCATAAAAACGGATTTATTGAAGTCCTATTATTATTTTCCAGGCAATGCGCAATTATTTCGCTATCAGACTTTTTTTGGTATTACTTAGTAAAAGTTAGACTTATTTTGCAACTCTTCCTTCCACCAGCCTGAAAAGTTTGTCCACCACCTCCTCGCCGCTTGCAATGATTCCGTCATGGAGGTACTCCGTGGTGATCCATCTCTTGAACTCGAAGATGGACGAATTGGCCAGGGCAAGTTCGGTGCTTACGTATTGGTCGTCGTAGCAGAGCAAACAGTAAACTGGCAGTTTAGCAAGCGTGATCTTGCGCAACCTCGATACATTCCAGATTTCGTCCCATCCGTCGTACGTGTGAATGAGCTCCAACAACGGCTTCAGACGCCTCAATGACTGGAAATCGTCGCAAATCCCAGGGTAGTGGTACTCGCTAGTGAAATAAAATTCTCCGTCAGCATGCACCCGTTCTTTTATTTTGCTGACAAACCATTGGCTGCTGGACCCGTTGCCATTCATGTAGATCGCTTCTTGGTAAAAGAAGTACAGCAAGTTGGAATCGAACCCAGATCCGTCTTGGGCAACTTTCAGCGTGGTGTACGACAACTGTCCCGTGGTTTCTAGCTCCAAAGTCATGGTGACAATCAGCCTATTCATCCATCCAAAGCCCCCCACAGTGGCAAAATGCATTCCTAGCTGCTGAAACCGCTCAGGACTCAAAATGCCTCCGTTTGGCAGCACGGGTCTCTGTTTTCTCAGATACTCAACAATGCGCTCCACCCTTTGCTTGTTTCTGGGATACTCCTCGTAGAACTCCAGAGTCCTCCGTTTAGCGGTAGCAAGATTATTTACTGATATCTGTGTCAAGTCCCCTGTGAGGGGCGGAAGCCCAGCAAAGATCAGAACCTTTTTCAGCGATTCTGGGAACATTGAGCAGTAGCAAATAGAACAAAAGCCGCCGTACGAGTAGCCAAGCAAAGTCCATTTGCAGCTGCCGATAAGCCCCAACCGGATTCGCTCACAATCGCGAATAATGGAATCCGCGCGGAAACACTCTAGAAAGTGAAGCTGGTTTTCTGCAGATCCAAGACTCAGCATTTTGTCAACGTGTATGGGTGTCGAAAGTCCTGTCCCGCGCTGGTCAAGTAGCAGTACCGTATACCCCTTACGTAATAGTGGAGAAAGAAAGCTGGGACGTGAAGCGACACTTGGGAACTCCGACTCATAGCCAGGACCGCCTTGCAGGTACAGCAGTATGTGATCCAAGTTTCGCGAAATATCTGCTTCGTAATCGAAACCCGTCGACTCTCCGTAGTTGTAGCTGTTGACGAGCTTAACACAGACACTGATAGTTGTGTCTGGGTTTTTGTAGTCCAAAGGCACCGAGAATCTGAGGATTGACACCTTTATGTCCCCCAGGACAAATGTGTCCTCTACGCTATACAGCGATTTTGCAAATGCCATGAATGATAAGCAGCCAGGGCAGGATCTTTTCACCCCAAAAAAAAAATAAGTCTCGTCGACGCGTCGATCTGATCAGCGATTTAGGCATGTGATTATGCCCCGTATTTGTTTGCCATGGATTATATTGACTCCGTTTTGTCTGCCTCTAAGAATGCCATCATATATGGCTACAGAGTGCGCTTCATACACAGCATAGCTGCACAAATGGGATCAATGGACAGACGAAGACGAGTGATGGACCAGATAGTCGAAAAAGTGATAAGGTCGATACGCTTAGGGCTCGACCACGGAAAGCTCTTGGCTCTATTTGCCATAATCTACAGCTCGGTACAAATATCGCTGAACAGAATAGCACCAAAGAAAACGGTCAATCATTTCATCGGTGGATTTCTTGGGGGTATTCTTGTTTATGGGGGCATTCTGAATATGCATTTCAAAAAGCTTGTGAATGAAGCAATAGCAACACAGATCACGATGTACTGTTTGTCGCGTGTCGTTCTGGCACTGGGAAAATGGCTCTCTGTGAAACTTCAGCGTAGGACAGGGCTCCAGCGCGGCCAGATCGAGAAAGTCGGATGGAGAACGACGAGCGGCTTGGTTTGGGGACTGCTCATGGTGTTCTACAATGTCGATAAAGACCTTTATCTTCAGCGGGCATTGAGGCACAGTTTGGATTTTCAGTTTGGCGGTACTTGGTATAGCTGGTTGGAAGCGTTCAACTATGCGCGCTAGCAAGTCTGGTTAGTCTTCGCTGATTTCGCCATGGCATGCCAGATTTACAAGATGATAACGCAAAAATACGCGAGAAAAAAGAAAAAATTAAAAAAATTAAAAAAATATACAAAAAAGTCTACATCAAGCAATGATAAGCCATGACCGGAAGAACTTGATGAGGTCAACCACAGATCGCCCTTTGAGGTTTGCGCTACTGGGGCCTCATAACTCGTCTAAGTCGTCGATTGTGTCAATTATCACAAACAACAAGTCTCTAGGCAATTACTATCCTACCATTCAGAACTCCCCCACACTACTCCAGTTTCAGCCTGCAAACCCAAAAACGCGGACTCTCCTTGATATTAATGCTACTGAAGTAGACTTTGAGGAGATGGGGATCATAGGAGGCAGCGATATTAGCCTCACAGAACCTATTCTTAATGCCGTCAAGAAAGCACAGTCAAGAAACACGTCTACCGAGTACGTTCTCAGCAAGACTCTCAACTACTATGACCTCGACTACACACAACTGGACGATAAGCTATCTCCGATTTCGTCATACTCATCGCCGTTAAACTTCAGCAGCTATTCGAGTCCATTTAGTTCGCCTTTTGAACAGCCTTTCGAAAAGCAATTTTTTCGGTCGAATTCCAATAGCCAGAGTGCGTACACCCCGCCATACACCACTCCCATTCTACTCGAACTGATCGACACGCCTGGAGTGGAAGCAGAGGAACTGATACCTTTTCTGGAACGGTCTTTGGACTCGAGACTGGCCAAGGATGTTCTGAGGAACCTGGCTGAGGATAACGATGGCGGCCTCGGACGTGCCAGAGTGAAGCCGTTGATAGTTGGGTCTGGAATAAGTGACTTAAATGGCTCCATCGACGGATACATTCTCTGCTATAGCTGCATACCAGAAACCACGCTGGACTCACCACCTCCGTCGTACTGCGTGACCGACGATCCACAAGACAACCAGCCTCTCAAGCCGTTGGAAGTGGTCAAGGCGATAAAGTCGACTTTGGAGGAGGCATGGACTGAGTTTTTGAGATACCACCATAACTGGGAGGTTGGCAAGGAGTACGACGTTTTCTCCATCAACCGTTCCCTCAAAACTTTGTGGAATAAATCCAAAATAGCGCAGACGGACCCCAACGCAACATATCTTCCCCCCATCGTAATGGTCGCGACTCATTGTGCACATGAGCTAGCGTCGCCGGTTTTGATCGAGGAAGGCAAGAAACTTGCCAAACAGTGGAGCTTCCCGTTCATCGAGATTGACTGTTCGTTCGAGAACTGGACGAACGTGGAAGAGTGCGTGGGTCTGATGATCAGAGAGAGTATCGAGTCGCAGAAAGCAGCAGGCCAGGCGGGTGCGCTGAAAAAGAGCAAAGTCCCGGCAGCCGTAAAGCCTAAGGTGCATATAGCATAGCACGCCCCAGCTATCTTATCGATCTGCTTATATAATAAAGCGAAATCTTGCTAAGATTTCCAAGTGGTCAAGGTGTATCCATCAAGATAATTTCTCACGAGTGTTTACGAGGATATCGTTCTGAACCTGGATTAGCCGCGGTGACACTTCTCGAGCGTCCAAAACTCGCGAAACCAGTTCCGCTACCACTGGTTTTTGTATGGTGCGCTTACCCGGCCAAGGCTCGAAATACCGAGTTTGTATAAAAACTTGGTTGTTTCTTGGCTGTGCAGAGTACCCAGTCGAATATTAAACACCAGGAGGTGATAAGAACTTTGTAGATCTAGCATGTCGTTCTTCTCCAAGCTCCAGTCGAGCATCAAAAAAGGAGATGTGTCCCAGGCGAACAGCTCGGACGACAAAATCTCCGACACCGTGTCGGCACATAATTTGCATGTCGAAGTGGTGACTTTGAAAGACTACAAAAAAGCGGCAAAGACTTTGCAAATCGCATTTAAGGACGACCTCTATGTCAACTATCTCACGAGCGGTATTACAGACGCGCGCTTGAAACGACAGATGAACATGGCGCTATTTGAGGCCACTGTTTACTCGACGATTTTGAAGGGATTGGTGGTCGCTGTGCGAGATTCGGAGCTGGAGCAAAAGATGCCTGATGCTCCTTTTTTGGCTGTTGCGTGCTTTGAGAAACCACAGAAGGCAAAAGACCATCAGCCCCAGTCGATACTCAATTATCTGTGGTCTTTGTATCAGGGCGGGTATCTGAAGTTCATGTGGTTAGCAAATAAAGAAACAAGACAGAGGGTGTTTGAGGAGCAATCACAGATGCTTGAATCTTTCCGCGCAGAGGTCCTCGGACCCGATACCGAGAAATCGTGGTATCTTTCCGACATAGGTGCCATTCCAAGAGGTCGAGGTAAAGGCCTGGCTCGACGTTTGATCGATTTTGTGACCCACAACTACATTGATCTGTATAAGCAGCCAACAGAGGATGGAGACTCAGACCTCGAGGACGAGTCCGACCCGGTGCATTCTGGATTTGACGCTAACGAGGAATCGCTACTGGACTCTGAGATCCAGTCATACAATTTCGACTTCGACTTACAATCGGATACATTTACAGACTATTCGGGCTACTCGTCGGCCAGCTCCGACGCGTCCTCGGCCCACTCGTCGTGGTACTACGACGAGGACCGCGATATTCTGGCAGAGTACGATCAGCGCAAAAGCAAGGGCAGAGAGATTGGGGCCCCACTGTATTTGGAAAGCTCGCATCCTCGCAACAGGAAGATTTATCAAAAGCTTGGATTTACCTACGTTAAGACGGTTAAGGTGGCCGACGTGTTGGATCGTGAGGGCAAAATGAGAACGTTAACGCTGGATCTCATGGTACGTGGCATAAAAGGTGCGAAATGGCAGCGACAGGACACGGCTTGAAATCTATGGTTTGGGAAGGTCAGGAAGAGAAGGGAACAGAGTCCCGTTCTTCAGCTTCTGCGCGATCTGCTGCTGTCTAATTTTCTTGCTATGCTGTTGGAGTCTGGACTTGTAAAAAACAGCGTCCAGCGTATATCTTGTGTAGGCTTTGATAAATTTTTCTAGTTTGGCACTGGCCAGATCACGCTGCTTTATTATTTCCGCAAGCTGTTTTTTGAGATCTGGCTGGTTTTCGTCGTCTTTTGGTTTCCAGAGGTAATCTCGCACTTTGGCAAGCTGCGACTCTCGCTGCTGGATCTTGTGCTGAATCTGCGTGGCCTTGTGGTCTAAAGTCCGAACTTCCTCATCGAGCGACTGGTATTCTGCGTCTTTTCCATCTTCACCGTCTGCATATTTAACTGTACAGAACTGCTTGTCCTTTAAATGCGACTCGCAAACGTAAAAAAAATCGGGAGACGACACCAGAACGGCCTGTGTGGACTTGTAGCATATTGTGCACGGCTTTGCATCATCCCCGCTCACTCTGCGCAATTGGTAGATATTTGGAAATGGAGATGACATTCCTTCTGGAATAATTAGAGATTGTTCCTGTATCCGTGCACGGATGTAAGATAAAGTGAGAACGGAACGAATACTGTTTACTAAAGTTAGCCAGAACATTGTTTATTCCATCGATTTTGGGTGCCTCGCATCCCCGTACAGTAAAACGCCTTGTGGTGTGTTCATTTTCGGTTTTAAGACCTATTTTTCGCGCAGGAGAACAATATGGAACTTCCTAGTAAGGAGTTTTTATAAACAACACCGCAGATAATGTTGGAATACAACTGCATATTATTGCGTGAATTTTTCAAAACTGGCCTATAACAGGCTCCAGGCTGAAGTGAACCGAGGCAACCTTGCAGACTGCCGAATTTTCCCTGAAAAAATACTGCGCGAACCAGGGCGAAGCAGGGAGGGGCCAGGGGCTAATTCCGCCACGTTCTTTCCCTTATGAGTCCTATCGTCCCACCGGTGCATGATGCATTTTTTGAATCTCGCTCGCTTACCTTTTTCTATCCCTGACGTATAAATTTTGCAAAATTCCCCAGTTGTTTTGAAAATAATTGCCAGCTCATGCCTAGAACCTCCTCAACCAAAAAACACAAAGGCCGTGTTTTTCAATGTGTTGGCTACGAGAACTGCTCAATGTCGTTCACTCGTTCTGAACATCTCGCCAGACATATCAGGAAACATACGGGTGAAAGGCCTTTCAAGTGCGAACACTGCGCCCGCCGATTCTCTAGACTGGACAATCTTAGACAGCATAAACAAACCGTCCACATCTACGAAAATTTCATTCTCACTTATCCCGGCGAAAATGTCAATGTGAGAATGAAATCCGAGGAAAAAGATACCAGCACGCAGAAAAGCCCGGCTGTCCTCCAGCAAGGCGCAATGCTTCCGCCGCCTCGTAGAAGCATTCTATTGACCGGCAACAACGAATTCAGACCACATTTGCCCAACAAACCGGGGCCTATCTTCGTCCAGAACTCCAACTTCTCGCCAGCCGGTTCCCAATTGCCAACGCCGACTTCAAGTGCTGTGCCCTCCGTCTCTTCAGCTTCTTCCAGCAGAGTGAACTCTCCTCATTCTGTCTCTTTCATCATAAACAACTACGATACCCCGATCTCCGCAGGAACGCCTACTAGTACGAAAACATGGCTCAATAATGTGCTGAATAATCAACTGGCCACGCCAGACTCAGCCGCAGCGCAGACCCTCGTTACTATGGGCGGATCGCAGACCCCTAGCGGATACAGACTCCCTGCCCTGAATGAACTAGGCATTTAATAATATACGATAACGATAATAGTCACGCAGCATCATTTGCAGCTTTTTGTGGTAATAATGTGTAAAAAAAAAGAGCACCTTAGAACGTCACAATTACCCGGCCTAGAGCCCCAGCCCTCCTTTAAAGAATATAAACATTCAAAAAGTAAACATTTGTTTACCTATTTGTATTTAAAGCTTCTTCCATCTTAATATGTCAGGAAAAGTTCACGGAGGAAAAGGAAAGTCAGGAGCCAAAGAGGGGTCTCTCAAATTGCAGAGTCACTCTGCCAGGGCTGGCTTGCAATTCCCTGTTGGAAGAATCAAGAGATACCTCAAGAAGCAGGCCCAGTCCAAAATCAGAGTGGGATCGAAGTCGGCCATTTATCTTGCCGCTGTGCTAGAATACCTGACTGCCGAAGTGCTTGAGCTGGCAGGAAACGCCGCCAAGGATCTCAAGGTGAAAAGAATCACACCAAGACATCTGCAGTTGGCCATCAGAGGTGACGAGGAACTCGATACCCTGATCAAGGCCACCATTGCCTATGGTGGTGTGCTGCCCCACATCAACAAGGCGCTGTTGCTCAAGGTCGAGAAAAGCAAAGGTCGCGGCGAGTAAATTACTGTTTTGTATACTAAGTGAATGTATCTTAAGCGTGATTAGAGTAGACTATGTACGTGTTCGGAGCTGTGCAAAAGTAGTGTCGTTCAGTTGGATGGTATAGTTCGCGTCTCCAGCGCGCGTGACCGGTAGAATTGTCCAGTCGGGAGGAATAAACGCGTTCTGAGGTATATTAATAGTGGTCTTTGGGTTTGGTTGAGATTTATTCTGGAAAACGTCTCTGCGGCAGGTCGGACACACATGCGATCGTCCAAGCCAGCTCTTGAGACACCCGTGGTGTAGAACATGGCCGCAATTGAGTCTCTTTGGCGCGGACCGGGAGTTCTTATCGCTGACGATCTCCATCTCGTCACGGCAAATGATGCAAATGTCTTCCTTGCGCAGGTCGTCCTCGTTGGCGTTCATAATGTTGTTGTTTAGGTCTCTTGTGGCCTTGATCATGTACATCAGATCACTAAACTGCTTGGCCAGACGGGTAAAGGAGGTGTACATGTCTCCAGCGAAATTCACCGGAAGACGGTCCGCGTATATGAGCCCGACAAACAACACGAGGACCGCTGCGCTCTTGATGACGCTCAGAATGAAGGAGCCGATTTTTGCCAGCCAGATCTTGGACTCCCAAGCGTCTTCGTCGGGATACCTGTTGAGATAAGCCATTTCTGCGACGTTGAGAACAAATTTGAGCGTGGCGTCAAGCACGTTGAGGTAGATGACCAGGAAATCCAGGCCGAAAATTAGGAACACGTCTGCCGAGTGGATAAACGATCTGTTGATGCATGATTTCACTATCTTGTCGTCGAGCACCAGGAAAAGACAAAGCACAAGGGTGTTTCTGTTGACCAAGGTCCTGAAAACCGAGCGTTTCTGCTGGATAAGCATCTCCAGCCTGTCCTCCAGAACCCAATGGAAACATTTCATGAACAGCAGGCCGCAAACGAGTGCTCCGAGCAACAGGTTGTTTTCTTTGCGGAACACACCAATTGTCATGAGCATATTGGTGACGGCAAACCACGAGCGCTCGTAGATGTGCTCCATTTCGATTATTCGCAGCTCGCCAAACAACAGCACCTGTAGCAATTTGCCTAAGGTGATGCCCATCACCAGAAACCAGTTCCCGATCACCACCAGGTACGGGCCCTGGATAAGCTGGACTCCGACGGAATAAATGTTGGGTCTTTCAAGCAGCGACTCGTACACCATGTAGAAGGCGACGGCAGTGCTGGCGACGGCGTACAAAGCAAATTTCATACCAAGTACCATTAGTCTAGCAGATTGCACAGACAGAAAATTAGGTGGCGGAGGAACGAAAAATTACAGGCTGTGCCGTAAAAACAGAGAATGAGCTCTGTTGCACTGAAACTGACCACGTTGCTTGTGCGGCAGATCGCCAAGCCCATCGCCAACACGATAAAACACGAGGCTAAGAACCACAAGGGGTTCAAGGTGGTGTGTGTGCGCGTTGCACAGTATTTCCATTTTCTCGACGAAAGACTGAAAACGTCGCTTTTGCGCAGTAAAGCACGCCCGGTTCGCCCGCTCAACGAGGCAAAAGCCATTCAGAACGGAGCAGAGATCTTATCGGAAACGTTTATATTTAGCGTTGCTGCAGGAGCACTTCTTTATGAATCAAATAGACAGCGAGTCAAGGAGAATAATAGAAAGGACGCAATGGAGGAGGACGTTAGACGATTGGAAGAAGAGATCTCTGAGCTGAGAGAAGTGGTGAAAAAAATGGGCGGCGGGAAGCTTGTGGCAGATATTGAACTGCAAAACAACAATCCAGAGATCGTCGTCGCCGTGCCCAAAGGCAACCCTGCCAACTTGGTTGGGGAAATTAAGAGAGAAAAGCAGATCCTAAGAGAGGAAGAAAAGCTCCGGCAACAGGCGGTAGAGAAGGAAAAGGGAGCGATAGACGAGAAATCTGATCATAAGTGATGTCATTACCTGTATATAGATGAATACTCTTGCGTGTTAATTGTTTATCCGAGATCCATTTCCCGCAAAATGGCCTCGCCCTCGCTGATGGCGTCTCCGGCGCCATCCTTGCCGTCCCGCTCCAGCTGGAGTCCTTCACGGACCTTGTTGATGCCCCTGAGGTATCGGATCACAAAACTCTCACATGAGAAGTTGAGCTTTAACATTTCCTCGAGCTCGTAAAATTGTGTCTGTTGCCCAGCAACCGTTAGTTCCCATAGCAACGACACTATATACATCGCGAGATGTGTCTTGGAGCCCGATCTGAACAAAGGCGCAGTCTCCAGCCTCAGAAAATGGTGTGTTTGATAGTCCTTCTTGTCTGCGTCCTCGTCAAACCGCTTATCCAGCGCGTTATCGACAACCTGATATGGATACCGTCCCACAATCTCCGACGACTTGGTGTCGTGCGAATTCTGGAGAAATCGCAGAAAACGATAGATCTTGGGCTGATAGCGTCTTGGCACCCCATCATTGACGCGCTCCCTTGCTTTTACGGGGTCGTCTTCATACCCTGTCTCCTTTTCGTTTAGTCTCTTGAGAATCTCCAGACCTACAGGCCACATCTCCCGGGTATCAGTGCCGTAGATCCGCACCAGGAGAGCAAAGATGCGGTAGCTTGTCTCCCACCTGCCCTGCGTCAGATTTATATGCAACAGGGTAGTCAACATCCTTACATGGCTCCGGAGCGAGCCTCTGGCGTTCACGTGACTGCGCGCTATTCCAGTTTGAGATGGAATAATCTCGTCGCCACAGATAAGAGTCTGTAGCTCGGCATCCTCATTGGAATAGGCGTGAGCTTTTTCAGGGGCTTCGCGCTCGACCAATGAGGGGCTCCCATCTTCGATCCATCGTTCGTATGAGTTTTCCAGAATACCGTTGCCTTTGTTTGCGTTCTTTGGTCTGTTGTCGGGGTTAAATATGCGTTTACCCGGCTGGGACGCGACCTGACTTGCCGCGTACTTGGCGACCCTTTTCGCGAGCTGGATACGGCGCCGATTTGCAAAATCTGAGTCCAGCCCGGAGCTGTAGTGCAAAAACGCCATACTATATATTTTTTCCCAGAGATTTCCGTATTAGTTCATGCACGTACATGTTATCTAAAAGAACAGTCCTTACTTCGAATTACTCATTCTTCCCAATCTCACGATCAATGTCTCTTCCATCCCACAATCCCTACTTCAAAGTTGGCGGCAAGGATATCTGGTCCTTGATCAACGAAACTGCGGCCGCTGCCGAGCAGGAGAGCGGCCGCAAGATGGTGAATCTCGGCCAAGGTTTCTTTTCGTACTCGCCGCCGGACTTTGCCATCAATGCTGCCAAGAAGGCTCTCGACGTCCCAGCCAACAACCAGTACGCGCCAGCCAGGGGCAGACCCAGTCTTGTCCAGGCTATCATTGACACGTACTCACCCGTCTACGGACGGCAGTTGACAAAGGACGAAGTCCTGGTCACCACCGGGGCCAACGAGGGCATGCTTTCCTGTTTCTTCGGTTTCATTGCTCCTGGCGACGAGGTCATCGTCTTTGAGCCCTTCTTCGACCAGTACATCTCCAACATCGAGATGCCGGGAGGAAAGGTCAAGTACGTCCAACTGCATCCACCGGCAGATTTTGCTACCAGGACCGTGACCGGTGACGACTGGACCATCGACTGGAGCGAGCTGGAGGCGGCAATCACACCAAAGACAAAGATGATCGTTTTGAATTCTCCGCATAACCCGATCGGAAAAGTTTTCAACAAGCAGGAGCTGCTGAGGATCGGCGAACTGGCCGTCAAGCACAACTTTTTAATTCTGTCCGACGAGGTGTATGAAAATCTCTACTACGGGGACTTCACCAGAGTTGCGCTTTTGAGCCCAGAAATCGGCAGAAGAACCTTGACGGTTGGGTCCGCAGGTAAGAGCTTCGCGGCCACTGGTTGGCGTGTTGGCTGGGTCATTGGCGACAAGGAGACCGTGCAGTACTGCGCGCTGGCGCACACTCGTATTTGCTTCAGCACACCGAACGTGATGCAGGAGGCCACTGCGCAGGCATTGCAACTGGCAAGAACCAACGGCTACTACGAGCAAACCAGAAAAGAGTATATCAACAAATATAGAATCTTCACGGCAGTCTTTGACGAACTGGGCTTGCCGTACACTGTTGCCGACGGGGGGTACTTTTTGCTGGTGAATCTGAAGAAGGTGGAGATTCCAAAGGAGGTCGAGTTCCCGCAGGAGATTGCGCACAAGCCGCGCGACTTCAAGCTTGCCTTCTGGCTGATTAAGCAGTTTGGCGTGGTCAGCATTCCTCCTTCCGAGTTCTATCTGCCTCAGAATGCACATGTGATTGAGGACTGTCTTCGTTTCGCTGTGTGCAAGGATGACTTTGTCTTGGAAGAGGCAGTGCAAAGACTGCGGCTGCTCAAGCAGTATATTAAATAGATGCGTTAATCAACATTGACATCCGTCCGCAGCTTCTTGGTTGTTTGCTGCCACGTCAATCATCTGCACCTTGTCGTTGTCCAAAGCTTGATCTGTGTTTTCGTCTTGCAGTTCGGGCAGCAGTTTGGCGACTTTTTTAAACAGGTTCTTGACATTATATCCGTTCTTGGAACTGGTCTCGATGAAGAAGTTGCATCCTAGCTTCTTGCACATACTTTCTCCCTCCTCGTTGGGGATTATTTTGTTCTCTAGATCACTCTTATTTCCCACCAAAATAATCAGCACGTTAGATCCGCGCTCTTGTTTGACGTAGTCAAACCATTTGCTAACGTTCTGGAACGATTCCTTGTTTGTGATATCGTAAACTATGATTGCCACATTAGAGTCCCTGATGTAGCTGGGTATCAGCGATCGGAACCGCTCCTGGCCCGCAGTGTCCCAAAGCTGGAGGCGAATTGTTTTGTCGTCCAAATACATTGTTTTTGAAAGAAAATCGATCCCGATCGTGGCCGCATAGTGTGCATCAAAGGTATCGTACATAAATCTAGTGATGAGCGATGTTTTGCCCACTCCTTGGTCCCCCAAGAAAACTATTTTGTACTTGGTGAGCATCTCCGCTGATGAAAGGGTAATTAGAAATATTAATTAGAAAAAAAAATCCTGGGCCGTTGAACTAATAAGCACTAAATTACGTTTAAGACCCGATAATGCCTGAACCTTATTTACCATTACCATCATATCGTCGCTCTCGCCCTTCAATTACTGATTGTACAAATTGGCGGTTAAAAGCGGTCGCTCTACAGATCAATAAGCCCTCGCTCATTTCTTACCGCTCTTCTTGATGCCACCGCCGACAAGGGGTCCTTTGCCAGAAGCTTTGGCCGCAAGCTCCTTGCGCGCTTTTTCTGCTTCCTTTTGCTTCTGTTTGAAAGCAATGTCGGCCTCGTCTAGTTCCTGGGCCTTCTTCTTAGGAGCCTTCAACGCTGGGATGTTAGTACTCAGTAGGAAGGCAACGGTTTCTCCTCAACGTCGAAACTAGGAGATTGTTCACTATCCATTTTTCGTCATCATATGTACTTACGCTTTGCTTTCCCTCCTTGTCTTCCCGACATTCGAAAAATTGTAGCAAATTTTTCATCCCTTAAACCTTTTATATTCTAGTTTTGCATCACACCAAAAACCAAGCTGGCAAAATGATCAATTCACAGGACAAGGAGTTGATCAAACGGGCAATCCCCAAGGCCTCCAATAAGATATTGGCGGCGGCTGTGGCGAAGCTGTACATCGCCTATCCGGAACCTGACCATTGGACTCCTACGGGACTCGCAGGCGCCATAGTGTTAGTAGACGACCTGGTGGGCCATACCTTCTTTTTGAAATTGGTGGATATCGTGTCGCACAAGGGAGTTTTATGGGATCAAGAGCTGTACATTGACTTTGAATACAACCAGGATCGCTCGTTCTTTCACTCTTTTGAGTGCGAGGAGTGTTATTTTGGACTCCTGTTCGAGGACAAAAGCGAGGCCTCCAGTTTTTACAAGAAAGTCAAATCTCGCGATAAACACGGCTCCAAACAGACTGTCCAGAACAAGCACGGCGTCGAGCTGAAGAAGGAACCCACTCAGGTGAACAAGATTGGATTTAGAGGCGACATGTCTGGGCTCGAAAGCGAGCAGAGAACAAGACGCACTAAAGGCCTCATTTACTACGAGGACGAGCCTCCTCCAGAGTGGAGGTCACTGTACAGAGAGCTCGAAAGTGTGGGCATCACCGAGGACATGATTGCGGAAAATAGAGAATTCATCAAAGACTACATTGCTCAAACAGGGGGTCCGTTGGTCGGCTTGGAGCCGCCAATTCCTCGCAAATACCAGTACAAATCGGCCCAAAGGTCAACGAGCGGAACCAACAGTACGAGCACAATAACCAAGAAGGCTCCACCGCCGCCGCCTCCTCAGGCAGCCCAAAAAACGGCGTCCACGCAAGAGCTGCCCAAAAGCGACCCTCCTTCGACCGCTCCTTGGAGCGCTCCTTCGAGACAGGACACTCCAGTGTCGGATCTCGAAAGTCCTGCTCCTGAGCCCACCGTAACTCATCCAGCTCCTCCTCCTCCTATGCACCACAACGTCCCAGCCCTCGACTATATGCCAAATACAGTGAGGCAACGCCAGAGCCAGGAAGCGCCACTTCCGCCTGAACCACAGCAGCCCAGAGGAGTTCCTCTGCCTCCTCCTAGAGCCAATGCGGTTCCACCGCCGCCGCCTCCTTCGAGAAACCCGGTGCCTCCTCCACCTCCATCAAGAACACAACCACAGCTGCCTCCAAGAGAGTCTAGGCCAGCTCCTGTCCCGCCTCCCCCACGCAGGGGCCCTGCGCCACCTCCACCTCCTTCCAGATCGAGATCGGTCCCTGGGCCACCTCAGATATCGTCTCCAACGACCACTCATCCTATCGCGTCGCCACCTCCTCAGCTTCCTCCTCACCATCCAAACCCCGTGCCATCGGCTCCTTCGCTGCATCCATCTCAGCAAGTGACTCAATCGCCATACGCACAGACCTCTTCCCCCATCCCTCAAGCTCCTCCACCACCACCTATGCAGCCAGCGACCGCTCAACCTTCGCAGTCAGCTCCCCCTCCACCGCCATTTTCTCCAGCAGCTCCTCAATCAGGCTCTGTTCCTCCACCTCCTCCTATGCCTCCTGCTAACGACACTCCAGCAAGTCCTCCTCCTGGCGCTCAGCTCGATGGCAGAGACGCATTGCTGGCCTCTATTCGTAATGCGGGTGTCGGCTCTCTGAGAAAAATAGACAAATCACAGCTCGAAAAGCCAAATGTCCTGCTTCAGGAGGCCCGCGGCGAAGCGCCAAAGCAGCCTGCGTCGACGGCTGCTCCGGGCCAGCCAGCCTCCCTTGCAGACGCTCTTGCCGCTGCTCTCAGCAACAGAAAGGCCAAAGTTGCAAATAGTGACGACGAAGACGATGGCGACTGGTGATTTTGTATTATCGATTATATTATATATTTTCCTGGAATTTAGTTTTCCAAGTGTCAAACCATTTCACCTTTTTGGGCTCCAGCTGAGAAACAGCTTCCGTTAAAGACATGCATGCTTGGACCAGTTGCAATGCATATTTTTGGGCCACAGTTTGGTCCATATCGTAAATAATAGCCGAGATGAACTCGTCTACCAGGAGACCGATCTCCAACCTTGCTGAGTTCATTCTGTCCAGCTTGGATGATAATTTTTCTGTGTGTTGTGTTTTGCCGATGTTCTTGTCCATGCTTGTGAACAGCAACTTGATCAGTTTAAGTTTCTGTACCCATTTAGAGCCATACGAGACCAGATCAGCGTCGACCTCTTTCTGCTCTGTCTCGTCCTCGTGGTCGCTCTCCTCGAAAAAGTCGCCGTTGTCTGCGCTCGGAGACTCCAGCCACTCCTCGTATTCTTCCAATCCGTCTGCCAGCAGTGTGGCAGACTCCTTAAATTTGGCTCGCAGCACTCCGCTTGCCCCCCAACGCACAAGAGACGACAGATTATCGCAGATCTCCCATATTTTCGCCACTGAAACAAGCCTCGTGCTATCAGCATCGCTATCCTGTATGTCCAGCAGCCCTGAAAGCTCGTTGTTGAGCACGGAAAACGTCCCAAGCAACGCGTTGACTTCGTCCAGCACTTTCTGAATATATAATGTCGAATACTTGTTTTTTTCTTCAATTAGCTGAGAACACAAGCTCACAAGCATCACTAGGCTCCTGGTGACGCTTTCCACCTCAACAAAACAGGCGTGGAAGTTATCAGGGGAGATGGGAGGTTTGTAGACAATACCCACTTTTGTGGTATGAGCATGTATCAACTGTCCTAGTTTACTCAGTTCTTCCAAAGGGTTGGTCACTTGAGAGGATTTCAGACACGGCTCTTCATGCGTTTCCAGATTCAACAACGGTCTCCAAGCGGCGATCGCCTCGTCCAGCGACTGGAGAAGCTGCTTGATGTCTTCCTTGCTTTTGGTGATACTGGGCATGAAATAAATCGATAAAAAAAAAGATACACAGCCGTAATAATAATGAAAATGGGTGGCAGGAATGTCGCCAACAGCTCGCGCTACTTTTCGGTAATATCTCAAACTCAATTTATGAGCATTATGTGAAGAATTTTCTTTTGGCCTCAATATAGTAATACCCAATGTTCAGATAGCCCAAATGCACATTTCCAAATCCCCTTTCCACCAGGTATTCCTGGATGTCTTTATATACGTTCTCCATGCAAACCTCCCTAGTTTGGTACGCCTTAGACCTAAGCGAAACAATTTTATGCAAGCAGCAGGGGACCACCAAAAACGCACAGAGCCGAATGTCCTCTCTGCTGCAACCTGAAACCAGGTCAATAACTCTGTACACCATGTCACCGCACAGCTGCAACCCCACCACGGCGACGTCAAGCACTTTCTCATCGAGCCTGGTGTTGCGTCTAAAGAAAGCCGTAGCCTCATCCATGAAATCCTCCCATTCCTCAATGGGAGCAGCAACAGTGTGAAAATTGCCAGAAGGTCCTAGACTGGTCTGCGACACCTGTCCTTGTTGTATGAGCTTGTGAATGCGCAAACTGGATTTGAGACGGTCCTTGTTTTTGTCGACACAGCACACCTTCAGGCCAAACCCGTCAGCAAGAATGCGGGCCAGATAGCCCTTGCCTGAGCCGAGATCCAGAACGTTTGAGACCCGAAAACTGGCCGTCTTATGGGCAAACGGCACTGTGACAGCCGTCTTTGCAGGCGACATGCCCAAAGTGAGGTTACTGGACAGAGGCGGCACCGACACAAAATCTTGCCGATCGTACATGGCCAAAACAGCCAGAACCCTGATTTATTTTTCTAGAGTTTGGCGTGCAAGGGAGAAAACTTTTCTACCGATATTGAAATTTGTTCTTTATCAAAGATGACGGGCGAGGCATGGTTATTTATTCTGGCAGTTATCGTGAACGCGATCAACTTGTTCCTACAGGTTTTCTTCACCATCATGTACAGCGACCTGGAGTGCGATTACATCAATCCAATTGAGCTGTGCAACAAGCTGAACAACTACATTGTTCCTGAGGCCGCTGTGCACGCTGTGTTAACTGCTCTGTTTCTGGTCAACGGCTACTGGTTCACCTTCCTACTGAACCTGCCAATCCTGGCCTACAACTCTAATAAGATCTACAACAAGAACCACCTTCTGGACGCCACAGAAATTTTCCGCACTCTGTCCAAACACAAGAAGGAGTCTTTTGTTAAGCTTGGCTTCCACCTGCTTATGTTCTTCTACTACCTCTACCGGATGATTGCCGCGCTTATTGCTGACGATATGTAATACATAACCAGTATAACTATTATACTTCCCGTAATAATTCGTTCAATATTTGTAGTTTGTCCACCACACCAAAATGAGGGTCGATGACTCGTCGCAGCCGCAGAAGCCTTGAGATTGCAGGAGGACGCTTTCCCTCGTTTGTCTTCACGCTTCGCAGCTGCTTGTACACTCTCATCTTATTGCGGTGGTTCTCGGTTTTTTGCAGGTATTTCTGCCGCATGCTATTCAATTTCATGCTTACCTCGCGTCGCTGCTGTCTAATTTCATATATTCTGTTCCGTTTCTCGTTCTTGAGTTTGTTCAACTCCGAAAGTTCGGTCAGAATGAGATTGTTCGTAAGATATGTATCGATAAGACGAGAAAAATGCCTATCGATATAATCCTTATAGTTGCGCAGAAACAGTGCTGCTTTCTTGCGCTGTGCGCCAACAGCTTCCGCTGGGACGTCGTTGCTTTCGAGACGATCAACCAGCGCCTGTTTGATAACGTCCAACGTTATTAACTTGGTTTTATTATGCGGAACCCTGCCGTATTTGATCTCCAGGTAGCCGGTTGCGCGCCGTCTCTTGTCCTGAAGAGACCTCTGTGATTCTATTGTGTGCGAGCGGCGTTCCATCACTTTTTCTCTATGTTGTTGGGTCACCCGTCTCCGTGTCGCTGCCAGTACCTCTTCATCGACATAATCATAATAAGCGGGCGCCGGAGGGGTTCCTGGAGCCACAGGAGAGCCGGGCTCACTTGAAGAGTCGCGCGACTCGTCAGAAAACTCGGGCGAATTAGGAATGATGGGCGTTTGAGGCTCGGGAGCTCTTTTGGGACGTCCAGGTCTTCTTTTAGCGGAATTGGTAGTTTCCGGCGTAGTGTGCGGTGACCGTTTTGGTGTCTGTTTTGGAGTCCGTTTTGCAGCAATCTTCGGAGTGGCAGGTTTTGTCGATCGTCTGATTGATCTCGGAGTAGCGGTGGCAGCCTGTCTTGGCGTTCTCAACGGAGTCTCTATGGGTGTCCGGGGTGTATGCTGCGGGGTCGGTTTTTCAGGAGACATGAAAGAGCTAATTTCTGGCGTTTCTGGTGAGAGCTCTGGTTTGGGGCTTTTCGCAGCTTTTGGTGTTCTTGGAGTTCTGTTCGCGACGGGACTAGGCAAAACTTTGGGACTCTTGGGCATCGCCCTTGTCCCAGCCGACTCTGCTTTGGGCCTCAGCACGAGGCCATTGAGGTCAATTTTCCTCCTGGCAGAGCCTCTTTTTCTTGCCTCTTTTCTTGCCTCTCGTGAAAGCATAAACACGAGTTGATAAACAAAATTCCGTGCGCGACGATATTTTTAGTCAGCGCGAGGATTTGTGCCGCGCAGAGCAAACAGGTTAAAATTTCGGGAAAAATTAGCTAACCAAACGTAGAGTTATCTTAATTTAGTACATTTCAGTTGTTTATAATTGACGAACCTCTGCCTCCACTATATGGCCGACCCTACACCGCAACCTAATTCCCCAGTGACACTACCCGACCCGCCAGAAAATCCCGCAAATACAGTTCCCTCACGCACACTATGGATGGGTGATATCGAGCCCTGGTGGAACGAGGAATTTATCACCGATGTGTGGGCCAAAACAAATAAACGTGTTCTTGTGAAAGTTATAAAGCCTCGCCAGAATGCCCTTGTGCACCAATTGGCACACTCTGGATATTGTTTTGTTGAGTTCGAGACTCCCGAAGACGCGAAAGAGGCGTTGAAGCTCAACGGAACCATTATTCCAAACACAACAGATAAACTTTTCCGTCTCAATTGGGCATCTGCCGCGACCCTCAACTCTCAGATAGCCCAGACCCCTGAATACTCGCTTTTCGTTGGAGACCTCTCACCCGCAACTACTGAAGCGCATTTGCTCGCACTTTTCCAGACGCACTTTAGCACGGTGAAAACAGTGCGAGTCATGACTGACCCGACCACCGGCTTGTCACGATGCTTTGGCTTCGTGCGATTCTCGAGCGACGAGGACCGGCAAAAAGCTCTTGTCGAGATGAACGGCAAATGGTTGGACGGAAGACTAATCCGCGTCGCTTTGGCCACTCCCAAACACCAAAATCAACTATTCCGGAAACACCAAATCCCAATTGAGCTAGACCCTTACCACGCTCCAGGAATGCCCCCTATTGGCTACTATGCCCCGCCCCAACCGCCTCCTGCTTATTCCGATCCTACAAATACCACCGTCTTCGTGGGTGGACTGTCAAACAATATTACCGAAGCCACTCTTCTTTCGATTTTCGAGCCTTACGGCCAAATTGTCCATGTGAAGGTGCCGCCTGGGAAAGGCTGTGGGTTTGTCAAGTTCACGCAGCGCACAGAAGCCGAACGCGCAATCGAGCAGCTCCAGGGATACGTGATCGACGGCTCGAGGGTCAGACTCAGCTGGGGAAGATCCAACAGAAACCACATGATGGCAGCTCCTGGCATTGCCCCTGGCATGCCTCAACACCAGCCACCCGCTCAAGGGCCCCCACAAACACCAGGTATGATGATGCCTGGAATGGGTCCACCAATGTTCTACGATCCCTACGCAGCAGAGTCTCAATATGTCGACCAAAATGGCCAGTACATGTATGTGCCGCACTACGCTTCTATGTTGCCCCCGGAAAAGACCGACGACATGTAGAATAAACGAAAAAGACAGTTTGATGGATTATACATTAGCATAGTTTGCTAAGATGCTGTCAATTTGGGCCTTGTCCATTTGTGTCCACTCCTCGATAGAATACGAATCGGTGATTTTCTTATTCCACTCCATGCGGTTCTTTATCACTTCCGGTGACTCACCAGGGTGAATCTTGGTGCGCAGCGCGGTACGCAGATAGTCAAGGTTCTCTATAGCTTTCCGGATGTCCAGTTGTTCAAACACGGGTTTGATCTTATGTTCTTTTAGTCTGTTTGTGAACCGGGGGGATTTGCCATTGGAGCTGATCATTATTTGTAACGGACCCTGTCTATAGGTAGAGCCAAAATAAAAATCACAATTTTTAGGTTTATCAGCAAGATTAACGTTCAGGCCCAGCTGCCGGCAGCGATAGTAAATTTGTAAGCTCAGCTCGTAGTTGTTGAGACAAGTGAGCACCATAGCAAACCGACCGCTCGAAATGCGCTCTATTTCGTCGCGATCGTGGTTGATATCCAGCTTGCTGATGTCTCCTGGTTCTTGATACATCTCAAGATCTTCCATTCTGAATTCGCGTTCTATCACTTTGACAAGTCCTAACTCAGAGTACTTGCGGACCGACGGATGGATTTCTGGAGCCACCACTGTGATCTGTGCATCTGCTTGCAATAAATGATTCACCCTAGATAATCCAACATCCCCAGCACCTACAACGAGCACATGCTTGTCTGAGGTTAGCAAATTGGTTTCAGACACTCACTCTTGACCTGCCACGCGAGCATCAACGAGCCATGCGGCTCCGGAATTGCAATAGAAGACATGTCAATCTAATTCCTTGATGTACAATTTTCCACCTCCAGATTGCTATTTGCTTACCCGGTCATCAGTGGAATGTACTTGCACGTCCGTGATACCGATTTCGTTGTCTGGATTTAAATCGCTCTCTTTGGCCTCCGGTAAGGTGTCTCCAAGGACTTCCGGGAATATTCCATAGAAATCAGCCAAGTCGGCACTAGTTTCCTTTGGCTCGACGTCTTTATAGTTGGTGCTTTGTTTCAGCTGCAATCGATACCACTCGATGATAAAGATAGCAACATCACCTTGATGTTTAGTCGCCAAGTAGTCCGTAATAGCATTGGACACGTTGGGCAACAAGCCGTCCAGCTGGAAAGTCAAATGTTCTTGTACCGAGTAGAGTCGCTGAAATAGAATGATTTTATGCTCACCGTCTGCCAGATACCGAATATACTCATTTTGAGACAGATCCAAGGCGCGATCTATACCCTTTTCTCTGATGCCTAAGTAGACAGGCAACAATGGGAAAATATTATTGAAGTCAGGCATCGATATCTCGTAGACTACCTTGAGTCCTCTTTTCGAGCATTCTAGAGTGATTTCCTCCTGCAAATCAGACCATACCACTACATGTGGCTTGCTGAACTTGAACCCTGGCCGATTGGTATAGTTTATGTAGTGTAATCCTTCCTTCTGCTTGCTGGACAAAAGGAGAGCATTTCTTTCGGAGCGGTTGATGACATCTTGCAACTCATATCTGTCGAGCCTCAGAGCAAACGATTTCCTGTTTTTACAAGCACATATGAGCAGCCCAGTAGGCTTGTGCATGTAAATTCCAAAGAAACTTAACAAATCTGTGGTAAATAATTGGTGTTTATCCAAGTATTCTCTTTTAAGAGATGGCTCTATAAGAGGCAGCCTTGACGTCGGCAAAAGACTTGGGACATCTCGATAGTGTGTGTAATGGAAGGCTGTATCGCTTGATCGCACGAGCTGCTCTTCTAATAAGTCGAACATATGATCGACAAGCGCATCCGTTGAAATTAAAGAATCAAAATACAAACAAGTAGTTGACAACTAATCAAAGCACGAGGAGGTACTTAATAGCATCCAATAATAATAGGATAGTTTCTTCCCTTATAGCGTAATGGTTATCGCGTTCGGCTACGAACCGGAAGGCTCCAGGTTCAAGTCCTGGTGAGGGAGAAACAATTTTTTTAAATTATTTTTGCAGCTTTGATATAGTACACTAATTTTTTTCAAGTTATACATGGATTATTTGGTCTTGGCCTCGTCGATTTCTGCCTTCACATCTGCCTTTGCAGATTCCGCCTCCTCGACCAGCTCTCGCAGTTTTTGCTTAGCCACTGTCTTGGTGTGTTTGAAAGTGGCCCCTGCAACACTCAGCATTGGACGTAGCAGGCCCATATAGTGAGCAAAATAGGCCCCTGTAGCTAGGATAATCAACAGCATAAACAGCAATGGGTTACGCAAAACAGCCATAAACTCATTCCACCCCAAAACAAGTACCAAGGCATACATCCAGAAAGGAATCGAGGTCGTATTGGCCATAACCGAACGTTTAGCTTCGATATAGATGGCATCCATCTCTTTCTTGACCCTGGCCAGTACTCCATTCTGCTGTCTTGTCGATAATAGCTCGGCAAATGTGGTCTCCTTATCATCTTCATCCATCTCTTCAGAGTCAGTTGTGGAAATATTCATTGGTGGAACAATTTCCTCATTAGTTTTAGTCAACACCATCTTGCTGAATACTGGTAGCAGACTCAGCACGTTATCTCTGGCTCTATTATACTGCTGGTCAATCTCCAGTGTATTTAGCCAAACCCTTGGGACGTCATTATCGTCGTATCTAAAAAGATCTTCAAACTTGTTTCTTAAGATACGCGAGACTGTGTCTTCTGTCACATAATCATGAGCAATGTCTTTAAACTTAGTCCAAAACAATTGCAGTAATTCAGCGTGTGTATCCTTGTTTTCTTGTTCTGTCATGCCAAGCTGAAAATCATATTGATCGTCCAAGACATATTTCGATTCTAGGCTTTGTGCGATCTGATTAAACTCGTTCAGGACTCTATCCCAGAGATCGTTTGATGGATCTCCAGTGATTTCTGTCAACTTCTCCTTAAACTGGGTTTGAAACTTTTTGGTTATTCTCGATAATAACAGGTTCTTCTCTTTGTGTCTCAATTGCTCACTGACATCACTTAGTTCTTTCTTCAGCTGTTCCAACTCGCGCGAGTGATCAAAGATACACTTGCTTGCGTCCTCACGGAATTGAGTCACAATGGCGGCAGATTGAGCTGCTAATATATCACTAAACTTTGCGTCACGTTTTTTCTTGGCAATCTGGACTTGTTCGCTGAAGTCACTTACAAGCCTCTTAATCACAGAGTTCAATCTTTGAGAATTTGTCTCCGTGAGCCTCAGATCAATCTTTTTGATTAGTTGCTCTCTGCGTTCAAGATACACGCTTTGATTGTACCTTGAAGCAGCACTATCGTATGGGGCAAGGGCCTCTGAGCGCAACTCTTTTAAAGCGTCGGCAAAGTCTTGCGAATCCTCCAGTTTAGTGAAATCAACCATTCGGTACTGCTCTTCGAAAATTTCGTATGCCTGTTGCATAATTTCATCGCACCTGAATCTTGCAACTAGTATCTGTTGTGTCGGAAGATCGAGATCCTTGTTTAACTCAATCTGCTGCCAGATTTGGTCCATATAGATGGTCCAAGCGTCTATTGGGATATTTCTGTGATACTCTTGTTTGAAAAGAGAATCAGATGCAAACTTATCACCCAGTAATCGGATGTCTTCTTCGAACCTTTCTTTCTGAAAATGCTTATGGGAGATGCTAACGAATCCAAGGTCGAAGAAATCAGTTATCTTGACACCTTCGCAATTCTCAGGTCTGCTCAAACTATCCCAAATCTTATTCAGGTCGGTCTTGAGGTTCTCTTCAAGATTATCCAATGGCGTAACACCTGTGAAGTCACGCACCACAAATAGCAACAAGCACTTTTGTCTGTTGGAATGGAAAAGACTCAAGTTGACTTCAAACACAGTCTTGAGAAGCTCCATGTTGGCACCCTGATAGAGTCCGACTTGGTGCTCCCAAATATTAACTATCAGTATCTCGGACGTAGAGAGCGCAAAGAGAGCTGACTTACGCTCAAAGTCCTTGTCATCTGCTTTCTCTCTTCCGTCCACACCCTCGACGTCAAGAACAAACACATGATTCGTATTCTCAGTGCGCCCAGACTCGGCTTTGGAAGACGCTATGTATTTTGCGTGAGATATCCAAATGCCTTTTGTGGTTTGTTGTCTTTTAGCTTCGTCCATGACCTCGAACTCAGTGCCAAAAAGACGATTCAACAAGGTTGACTTACCTGTCGATTGGGACCCGAAGACGGACACTATGTGGTAATTAAGGCCATTGTCGTCCTTTCCGTCGTAATATCGCTGAATGTACGGCAATAAATGCTCGTTGAAGGTCTTGTTCTCGTCAATGAGCTGGAGGGAAGACATGATTTAATTGTTTTTTTGAAGCGCAGGAAAATCCAAAATACACAAAGAAGCACAGCCGGTTTTACTATGGGGCAGCGTGAAGGATAAAAATAAATTGATCCGTCCTCGGCGCTCTTGAAATGGATTCTTCAGCCACGCGGCTAGATCCGCAGCTTATTGGACAGCTCAATGATCACTCCAGATGTGTAACGCTTGCAGACTTGCCGAAAGAACTACTGGATAAGATTTTAGGCTACGTTGAATCATTTGACTATATCCCTTTTCTGTTGAGTTGCAAGACCGTCTACCATAAATGTCATTTGACTTTATTTCGTCTCAAGCCAGTTAGATTGCAATACACCGGCAGCAGTTATAACTTCCGATACAATAGGAATCTTCAGACAACATGGAATTTATTGCAGCACATGTCAAATAACCCAGAAATCTACGCCCAAGTGAAGGTATTTCAGCTAAAAAACAGTGTTTCAGTGAAGGAGTCTGTGAAGCCTCCAGTGAAGTCAAGAAACGGTCACAGTCGTGGCAAACGCTTTAGCCTAAAGGTAGACTACAGCAAGATCCCCAGCTCCTTGATTTCGGTGCTACCAAATTTTGTAAATTTGAGATATATAAAAGTGGACATTGAAAACTTCACATTTTTGAGAGATCTTCTGGAAGCTCTTCCAATCACGCTGAAGGGCCTCAACATCAATATCAATGTCGCAAATCCCAGATTTAATGCCAAGGAGACACAGATGCCTGATATAAAATGCAGGGGTCTAAAGACTCTGGCGTTTCATTCTACCAGCAAGGAGCCAATGATTTACGGCAAACTGAAAAGCAGGCACGTGATGAAAGTACCCAGCAGGTACCTCATGGAAGAAAGCACGTTTTCAGATTTGATTCGGGAAAAATTCGAGCACGATGATCGAAGTATTAAGAAACAACCAAACCTCAAGTATTGTGGCGAAATGATGGCCCTATTGATCCAACAGAATGTGTCCACTTTCTACTCAATTGATATCCGGGGAATTGATGCTACGGTAATTTTCTTGAATCGATTCGTGGACTGTCAGATGAAGAATTTGCGCGTCATCAAGCTGTGCAACCTCTCAATCCCAAGACTTCGGTGGTGGCTCCCTACTTTGGAGCAAAGCAATTTGAACAAGCGACAATTCATGCCAAGCAATTCGGAGCTCTCCCTGCCTCCTATAGTGGTTGTATTTTCCAAGCTATTCACTAGTCCACCTCAGAACAGGGATGTACAATGCCGAGCAAGGTTTTTCGGTGATCCCGAGGATCGGTGGTTTAGCATGGGCGGCGAGGCTACTGAATTCTGGGAAGAGATTCACTATCAATAAAATGGTGGTCGCCATTCAAGTGTTAAGCATACGCAGCTAATTTCGAAGACGCAACATACACTCGTGGAAATTAAATTCAAGCCAGAAAAAATCCGAGCTTGCATTAATATAGTGTATAACAAATCGATGGACGCTACTCAGGGGAAATTGCAAAAATCCTTGGCACGGTTCAAGGAAAGGTATGTTGTCACTAAAACGGTTGGACTAACAGCATAGAATCTCGAATGGGTCTTACTATGAGGCTCAACAGACAATGAGGGCGATTATCAACAGACACGTCAATTCTGGAAATTATGACTCGGCTGTTGAACTGCTCTACCAAAGTTCCAAAATTCTGATGGAGTTCAAGAGATACGACGAAGCCTGTGATCTCCTTCTCTACATGATTGAAGTGTTTGAAAAGGAAAATAAATCAGTGGAAGAATTTAAAGCTCATGATCTCAGTAAGCTGATCGAACTCATCAATGTTATTCCTGACGAGGATCCAAACATCCTAAACCTCGCCAAGGAAGTTTCCAAGTTTGCTGTGAAGAAGAGTGGGTCAGAAGGTGGATTTCCAGCTCTCAGCTTTGTCATTGGTTCTAAGCTGTACTACAGCGGTTCCGTGGACCAGATAAATGCTAGCGAGCACTACCTTCTCGTCAGTGGAACGCCTGAGAGCTTGCAGATGCTTGTAGACCTAGAATTTGGTGCATACTTGCTTGACCAGCCTAATACCTTAGGCATTTATCTTGCGAGACTGGTGATTCCATACGTTACTTTCGGTAACCTGAAGCTGGCAAGAAAGTCCGTCGTTGACATAATATCAAAGCTTAAGGAGAGCGATAGAGCAGGCCTGTTTTCCTTCCAGCAGAGCGGCGATTTGCAAATTCTGGAATTGGGAACGGATACCGATCTACATGATTGTTACGGACTGGTGAATTTCCTACAATTGCTGATCGAGGTTTGCGAACGTGCCAACAGCGAAAACGCTGCAAACTTCAAGTTGCTTGTAAACAGGTACTTCCAGCTGCTGGAAAGGAACAATCTTGCTCTCAAAGTGAATGCTATTGGGGAATCGTATTTTGGCGTCTCTATCGTTCAGAAAAGTGCAAACATGTTACAGGAGATGATGTCAGGGCTTTTGGGAGGTGGCAAATAAACCTAATAAGTGTCCTTTGCAGGCTCTTTGTCGAGCAACACGTTCGAGTGTTCATCATACTCTACGTTCGTGCAGTCTTTGCGAATCCGGGACTCGCCTAGCACCTCTGCTAGCTCATACCGCTTTGCCTTGAGAAGCTCGTGCTTCGCTTCCTGATATGTGCACCACTTTCTACTCCGGTTCTCCATTTCAGGCCATTTATCACATAGCTCTTGAATCTCCATCTCATAGAAATGAAACTCGCTTCGAGGTATCTTTTCACTTTCGATCGTGGTGGGTATATTCTTAGAGTCCTTGCGATACCGTAGATCTTCAACAACCGGTAGCTTGCCAAGTATCTTCCCCACGGCCCCCGCCTCTTCCCACGTCTCGCGAGAAGCTGTTTTGCGGAAGCTGTCGATCTCATCGGACTCAATTCCACCCTTAGGCAGAATCCAGCGGTCCTTGTGTTTGGCGGAGGAGATCATCAGCACCTTTGAATGGTCGGGATTCAGAACAACACAGCCAGCAACCAAACGTGCACCGGTTTTCTTGTTGAACAGCTGGTGTTTGCGACCCTCGCGTGCCTCCACGGTCTTCTCAAATTCAGTGGCACGGTCCGCAGAATTGCACACCTCCACATCAACATAGATACTATTTTTATCGGGCATTAGCGACATTTTTGGCAAGAGTATGTTATTAAATTAACTTCAGATCACTAATATTTGGGGAACCTCAAAACTATCATTGGTCACGTGACCAAGGTCGCGTGTGACTGCTACAGTTTTTAATACAATATGGTTAGATTAACTTGTATATCCTTATCTCAAACGACGAGCCTCTCTCTCGGACTCCATCAAGCACAAGATGTCGTTTTCTCTGACTGGACCCTTGACGTTTCTGACAATGGTTCTGGAGGTGTCGTCCAAGAACTCGACTCTGACTTGGGTGACACCACCTCTAGAACCGGTTCTTCCAAGAACCTTGATGACTTTAGCAAGAGTGACTGGAGTTTTGGTGTCCTGAATGGTTAGTTCATAAGTATCAGGGAGGGGGCCAGGCGAGAACAAGAATATCGCCAAATCTGTGACGGACAATAAAAACTGGGGCTGTCGCATAGCAGTATCGGTAGACTGAAACATAACATGCTGCTGCTAGCAGTTGACCGGAGTAGAATGTATCGATCTCAGATTCCTCACTTCACGCGAGCTGCTCAGGGAAAAGCGAGACTTGGACGGGGCCGATGAACAACACTGCACCATTTTCCACCGCAGTGATGTATAATGCTGCATCTAGTGTTTTTAGTTCATACCGTCTGACCTGCTAGTCTACTCGTCGCTGCTGTTCGTTGAAGTTTCAACGACTTTCTAGGCCCTTGAAAATCGTCTCCTTGACTCCCTTGTTGGCCAAATGTTCTCCTTGGTTTTCTCTCTCGTCCAGATGAATGAGCTGCTTGTAGCCTGGCCGTCCTCTCCTGCTTAATGCTGTATCATACATACCATTTCTGTGTGATAATACGAAGATGAAAAAATCAAGTGAAAATTTTTTGAAAGTATTGAAAAAGGTCGTGCTTGGTGTAGGTAGGGTAAGTGTTTTCGTCCTCAGGATATTCTGAGGGTGGATCAACAATAATAACTCTATGTCAAAACTAGTTGTCTTTGGAGGAAGCGGATTTCTGGGTAAGCGCATCTGTCAAACTGCCGTTGAGAGGGGACTCAGTGTGGTCTCTGTGACTTCTTCTGGCTCGCGACCACGCCAATTGCTACCAGCCGAAAAGTGGCCAGATAAAGTTGAGTGGGTCAAGGGCGACATTTTCAAGCCCCACACGTACAAGGATCTGCTGTCTGATGCCAATGCAGTTGTCCATTCCATAGGAATACTTTTGGAAAACCCAAATTACAAGAAAGTGGTGCAATCAAATGACGACATCCTCGGAGAAATCTTGTCATTCTTCAAAACAGCAAATCCAATGAAAAAGTCGGTCTTCAACACTTATGACAAGGTGAATCATGAGAGTGCAATTGTGCTTGCAGAGACTCTGCTAGAGGTCAACAAGTCCAAGCCTGCTTTCGCGTACGTTTCAGCAGATCGTGGATTTCCTGGCGTGCCGTCCGGCTACATTGAGTCAAAACGGAAAACGGAATATGAGCTCTACCAGATGCAACCCGCACTTAGACCAATCTTGCTGCGCCCCGGGTTCATGTATGACGAACAAGCAAGTGGCGATAGCCGCACCAAACTTAAAGATCTGCTTCTTGCTGCGGAGCGCGCAAACGAGACTGTCCTCGGCCATGTTTTAGACGGGGTGATAAGACCGCCTGTCAGTACCCAGACAGTGGCCAAATGGTGCCTTGACCGCATACAGGACCCTGAATTCCGCGGCCCTGTTCTTCTGGATGAAATGAGCCGCCAGTCTGGTGCACGGGTGTGATAAAAAAAAGGATATGTCAACTGTTTTCAGATGATATGTAGTCTTTACGTGAGAAATGACCGATGGCGAGCCCATTTATTCGATTCGTCCGTCTTACTCCGCTTCGGATCCGGAGCAGGAGCATCTTCTGTCTGATACACGCGGGTCTGTGATTTCCTTGCCGTCTCCGAGCGGAGGTTTCATCGTTACTCCCAAAAGGCAATTGAGCAGGAGACCTAAGTCGTTCTCGGCCGCCTCCGAAGAAACAATAATGCCATTTCCAGCCATGAGCATCAACAATCCACTGAGTCACGACCGCCGACTGAGCTCTTTGCTGAATCTCGACCAATTATACGAAAGACTGGACGCAATGCGTCATATGCGCTCTATTAAACTGATTGGAGCGGTACCCGAACCGATCCAATGGCTAAATTACTACAAACACAAGGATGAACTGAAGAAATTGAAGAACAAGCAAACCGTGAAGTTCTACTCAGCGCAAAACGAAATGATCGAACGGTACACCGCTGTCGACAAGTTGTTGGAATCAGGGATTCATATCTCGATGCTGGACGGCTACAATACGAGCAACGCAGAGGACGGCTTACAGTTTACGAATCCACCGGCAAATATAGACCTGGAAGGCGGCAGAATGATAGGTTTCGACAGCGAAGAGAATGTTGCAATTATCGATTTAGCAATAAAAGTGAATTTTGCCATTAACGTTGTTCTGCTTGTTTCCAAGGTTGTGGTTGTGTATTTCACGAAGTCTGTTTCGATCATTGCTTCTCTGGTCGACTCGGCACTGGATTTTCTGTCCACGCTTGTCATATTTTTCTCAAATAAGTACGCCTCTTCTCAATCTGCACGGTTTCCTATTGGGAGGAAACGGCTCGAACCATTAGGAGTGCTTGTGCTGTCTGTGATCATCATTATCTCGTTTGTGCAGGTTCTACAGGAGGCTGTGAACCGGCTTATTTGGGGCCATCACGAGATTGTGAAACTGAATGCCATGTCTATCGAAATAATGGCTCTAACAATTACAGCGAAAATCATTTGCTTTTGCTGGTGCCGAAACATATCCAACTCGTCTGTTCAGGCCCTTGCGGAAGATTCCCGAACAGATGTGGTTTTCAACTTTTTTTCTATATTATTCCCGTTTCTTGGAGTTGTGGTTGGAGCGTGGTGGGCTGACTCACTCGGTGCACTTTTGCTGTCTCTGTACGTGATTATCCAATGGTGTTTGATAGCTTTGGAACACATCAATAACCTCACGGGAGCAAACGCATCAAAAGAGGACTATCAAGAAATTCTGTATCTGGTTACCCGATTTAGCGAAAACATTACCAAAGTTAGAGAGTATCGAGCATACCACGTCGGGGATCTGGTCAATGTCGAAGTTGACATCGTAATTGGTAATACCTCGCTAACAATGCGCGACTGTCATGACCTGGCTGAGTCGCTACAATATGCGATCGAGACACTACCGGTTGTGGAACGCGCTTTTGTGCATATCGATTACCGTGTGAGAAATTTCAAAGGCCATTTGAACTGAAAACAAAAAAATATTTCTAGAATAATGCAATTGACGCGTATGCGTCAATTGTTCTGTTTATCCAAAGCTTGGCAAAAAAACAGAAAGAGGGCGAAGCGATGTACAAGCGAAGTGGCTTAAAACACGTCGGTTATCGGCTTTAGTAGTCAACACCAGAACTGTTGTGGTTTTGTATGACTACGTTGAGAAGTTAGTAACCACATTGTATCTTGTAAAGTTAAGATCGGGGAGATCGACGATCCTTATGTTTAGGGGTGCCCGTTTTAATTGAAGCTGTGCAATTTTTTTTTAGGTCCGAATCTTGTATGCAGGTTGACGCAGAAATTCCGACACAGTGCTTTCAGGCCAGTGACACACAAAATTCGAAGGAGTTTTTTGATTTGTAACAAAAATTAACTTTCCGGTGATGAGAACCAGCAGGCTCGCACTGTTGCTGACGCTGACGCTGGGTGTCCTTGCGGATGTCACCACCACTTCCTCTTCATCATCCTCCACCACGATTGCCGTTGCAAATGCTGCAACAACCGCTACCACCGGAACCGATACGACATCAGCAGAAAATGCAACAACGCCTACTACAACTTCATCTACGACTTCCAGTTCATCATCCACGCCAACAGCTGCCGCAGCAACCACTACTGGCATCACCCCAGTGACTACAACCACGGCAGCAACCACTCCAACTACATCTTCTTCACTAGAGACAACCACTTCGACGACCGCACCAGCCACAACAGAGGCAGCCACCAGCGACACCGCAACCGTTACACCTACAACGTCCTTGACCTCTGAGACTGGAACTGACACCGAGAGTACGTCTTCCACCAGTGTCTCTCCAACGATTATCTGGGTCACCATCACCGAAAATAACTCGGTGGCTACCGTCTCTACAACCTATTCACAGAAATTTTCATCCATGTTCTCCACCACAGCCACCCCGTCGTCGGGAGTAGTGGGACTCGGTTCGCTTACTTTGAAAGGTACGGTCGGGACCCTTCGCACGTACAAGACTGTCACAGTTTCCACTTCGTGAGCATCGAATCGCATGGCATTATGTGGCGCATTAAAAAGCATATACGTAACTAAAAATAAATTCAAGACAGTATTTTTCTGTATGTCTGCGCGAAATATACCAAGCCAAGAGCAGACTGTGCAGGATCCAGCCCCTCAGTGCCGACTCATAGTCAGTACGGACAACTCAGGCTCGTTGGTGCGTGACCACTTGGCAAACGAACGAGGCCTTCTGGCGTACATGAGAACCGCACTGAACTATTTTACTGTCTCAATAAGTGCCATTCAGCTGTTTAAACGATCAATTATTGAGCAATTAATTAGTCCTACTCCCAACTATGGCCGGCTTGCAAAAGATCAGAATTTCTACGAGACTCTTGCGAGACCTTGGACCGTGATTATGTCTTGCTTGGGGGTAATATTCATTGTCACCAATGTGGGAAGGTTTGTGGTGAATTCTAATCACTTGACCTACTATAATCGCTTTGGAATTGACGGCACAGTAATTCCCTTAGTGTTTCTCATAATGATAGGTCTCGATGTTTATCTGATCTACAAAATAGCTTCGCTAGATTTTTCCGCTTAATCACATTATTTAATTTAATTTATTTCATATTTTGATGCCATACACTGTCTTAAGTCCATCTGGTGCCGTAGCCAGAGACCATCTATCCAATGAGCGCACAATGCTTGCGTATTTGCGGACCTCAATGAGCTTTTTATCACTTGGAGTCGGAGTGGTCCGACTTGCCAAGTACGCAATTATCGACCCGTTAAAGCCTTTGAATCTTGAAAAGTACCCAGAAATGCTGCGCCACGACTACTACATAGCCACAACATATGCAAGGCCTCTGGGAGCTTTGAGTTTGGCGGCTGCTCTTTTGACGCTTGCCTTTGGCATAACTCGATATTGCATTATGTTCAATCGGATTGTTCACTCAGAGAGATTCCAAAACGGTGCGATACCAGCTTTTGTCATTTCTCTCTTCGTTGTACCGGTAAGTCTTATCAACCGTGGCTGTGCAAATTTTATTGCGTAATTTACTAACATCTTAGATATTCTCCATAGTGATCATATTCGTTGCCAAATTATAGCCATGGGTCACCCCTTGAACTTCCAATTGCTAAATAGAGCAACTCAATTTGGATCCTGTCTTCTAGAGAATAAAGGCCAGGTCGCCCGCGACCATCTGGCCTCGGAACGCACTTTCCTTGCTTGGCTCCGAACGTCGCTTACCTTCGCAAGCTTGGGAGTGTATGTGACACAGCTGCTGGCCATAGGAGCGGACGAGACTTCTGTCTCTTCTACGACAAGGCTTGGAAAGGCTCTAGGGTTGTGTTTTATAGTTATGGCGATAGTCTCAGTGCTTATCGGGTGCGTGCGCTTTTTTATCGCCCAATCGATGCTTCGCAATGGAAAGTTCTCTGTCGCGCATTTTGAACCATACTTCGTATACGGCGTGACAGGTCTGCTGTCGGTTGCTTTGTTTGTAGTGCTAATGAGATAGCGGATACGGAATATACTATGTGTCACGTGATGTTAGGTAAGGGCTTTGCACAAATTTTTATTCTTTTTCTGAATGGCGAAGTGTTTTTTTAGTTAACCTAATTATTGCAAAATGGTAGGTAGCAACATGCTCTCAAACGACTAACTGTGTCAGGGAAAAGTCCACGGATCGCTTGCACGTGCCGGTAAGGTTAAGTCTCAAACTCCAAAGGTCGAGAAGACCGAGAAGCCAAAGAAGCCAAAGGGAAGAGCATATAAGAGACTGTTGTACACCAAGAGATTTGTCAACGTTGCCAACACCCCAGGTGGAAAGAGAAGAATGAACCCAGGTCCATCCTCCAAATAAGTCCAGTGAGGTTCATAGCTATTGGTATTAATGAATTTGATACATATTTACAGGTATCCTAGCAGCCTGAGGCAATAATCAACGAGAATACCGAGCCAGAAAGTGTGCCCAGTTTTGATGTTCTCTCGGAACCAGAACCCGCAGCTTTTGGGGTCATCCAGGTCCACCAGCTGAGTCATTCTCAAGAGCCGGTATGCTCCGTATGCTGCTCCTAAATAAAACCCAGGTCCCATTCCGGCAAGGTATCCGCTCAGCGTGTAGCATCCCATCTGGGCGGCTGTGAGGCCATGGAAGATGGTCTTGGATTTATCGCCCCACGCCAGTGCTGTGGATTTGATGCCGGCCTGGGCGTCGAATTTTTTGTCTTGGTGCGCGTAGATGGTGTCGTAGTGCATACACCAGAAGAATCCACTCAAGTAGAGAGGAATCATCACTGGCCAGTTCCACACTCCCATGGCCGGGAAGCCAAGTAGCGCTCCCCAATTGAAGCACAGACTAAGTACCACTTGCGGGTAATAGGTGACCCGCTTGAACAGCGGGTAAGTGCCCACGAGAGCCAGCGACGATGCTCCGAGCAGGAAACAGTCCATTGGCAGTTGTAGAAGGACCACGAGTCCCACACCCATTTGTGCAGCCAAAAACACCAACGCTTGCTTCACGCTGACGCGTCCGGACGTGATTGGTCGTTCCATAGTCCTGGCGACTTTGTTGTCGAGGTTTCTATCGAGCAGGTCGTTGATGGTGCAGCCTGCCCCACGCATCACGAAAGCGCCGACACCGAAAACCGACATCATATAAACGGTGGATGCCAAAGGCGCCGACGACATGTATGCAGCCATTGTGATTGCCCACAGACAAGGGCTCAGGAGTAGCTTGGTGCCGATAGGTTTTTCGATCCGCATTAGCTCCATGTACGGGATGATTTTTGGAGGGAATTTAGTCAGATATCCCAGCCCGGCAAGACGCTCTTCTTTGGCTCTTGCAAGATCCTCGGCAGAAAAAGTTGACTGGAAACGAACAAGCGGCGCGAGCCTGCTGACTCTCCAACAAAACGCTGGTCTCAATAGACGGGTGCTGGGTATAAACAGTTGCATTGGAGAAAATTAATTCAGGCAGTGCGCCAAAAAGAGCTAGCAGGGAGGGAGGAAAAAGCGAGCTTTTTATGACCTGGATCAGGGTAAACCAGCTAATAGTAGGCAACCGAGCAACAGGTGCCAGCGTAGCTCTTCTCAAAGCAGATCCTACTAAACTCTCGAGCCGTTCAGATGACCCCGGTCAAGACCCTGGCTCGTTTGACCGGCGCACGACCAAGCTAGAATTTGAAAAACCAAACAAAAAATGTATCACATACATCATGGACCAACAGATTTTGCAGGCTGTGGACATTGCATCGAGTGCCACAGCGGACGTCCAGCTGAAGCAGCAGGCGCTAGAGTATATCACACAGATCAAAGACTCTCCGGATGGATGGCAGCACTGTGTGAATCTCCTGAGCTCCAACGCCCAGCTTTCTCCCAACGTCAAGTTTTTTGTTTTCCAGGTACTCGATTCTAGACTTCCGTTCATGAACAGCTCTCAAAAGCTGGCCGTCAAGGACTTTCTGTTCAACTATTTGAAGAATTTGCTCGACAAGAATGTGGTGGAGCCGGTTTTTTTAAGAAATGCCCTTTCCAAAACCTTTGGGCTACTTTTCGTCCATGCCACACTTTCCTGCTACCAGACGCTCATCAAGGACCTCCTCTCGCCAGTCCAGGCGGGAGGGAATTTTAATGAACTGGCAACAGACTACTATCTACGGACTCTGCTCGTGATCCACCAAGAGATCGGAGATCAAATGATTGCTCGCGAACCGGAACATCACGAAAGAAACAATTTGCTCAAGGATGCGATCAGAGCCAATGACATGACACTGATGACGGAGTCATGGAAAAGCATTTTGAAACACTTTTCAAGTACAAACACGGCACTGAAGAGAGATATATTGAACAACACCATTCAGTGTATTGGTGAATATGTCTCCTGGATCGAGATCAACCTTATTCTCGATGAAGAGTATTTGGGATTGCTGTACCAGTTTCTTGCTAGCCCCGATGACCAACAGAAAATCACGACTGCAGGGTGCTTCAATGAGATTTTGCACAAAAAGATGGCGCCGATGAAGAAGCTGGAGCTCATTAATTTTCTCAATCTTACCGGTATCCTGAATCAAATGGACCTCAAATCCAAAGAGGCAGATTTTGATGTGAATGTGGCATTTTCCAAGCTGGTAGAGAACCTAGGATCAGAGCTAGTCAACGTGCTCGACACCAGCTCCAACGAGGAACTGGCAAATACAGAGTTCAAAAACTTAACCATTAAAAAAATTATCGATGTTTTCCCGCTCATTTTTGAATACCTCGATAACGACTACGACGATGTCGCGCTTGAGGTGTTCCCCTTCATCGGCAACTTTTTGCTTTTCCTGAAAAAGAACATCACTAATGAACAGGTTGACTTTTCCTACCTATCCAGCAGTGAAATTCTCACAACGCTGCTGAAAAAAATCATCATGAGAAAGAAGTTCGACGAGGAAGATGATGGCTCCGAGGAAGAGTCGATCGAGCAGTTCCAAGAGGTGAGGAACAAGCTGAACTCTTTCCACGATTCCATTGTCATTCTAAATGAAACATTAGCATTAGACGTCATGATTAACTGCATTAATGAGTCGCTTTTCAACTCCAATTCGGACTGGCGCACCATAGAACTTGGAATGTATGAATTGAGTCACTTTAGCGAAATTCTACGAAACAACGTCATGAATCTACCCAAGACCATGATCAACAATTCCCGGCCATATTTCGTTTTTAACGAAATGCTTTGTAAGGTGATCGATGGCTCAACCACGTTTCTAGTCAATCACTCGCTGATCCAATTGTTGTTCTTCGAACTTGTTCTGAAACACTATACTTTCTTCACAAATAATAATATTCAGGTCGATGGAGTAAACAAAGACGAGATTTTGCTGAAGGTGCTCAAGATTTTTGTTTTCAACTTCGGAGTATTCAGCGAAAACGACAAAGTGAAGTACCGCTCATGGTATTTGTTTTATAGATTCATCAAACTAACGAAGCCACCTGTGGACGACTTCATCCTCGAAGAGCTAATCAAAAGCTTGCTTCCGCTTTTGAGCTTTGACTTCGAGGTCACCAGCCAGGCTAAACTCTCGGAGGACATTGATCTCAGTCTCATTGATACAAACGGCAGCTTTGATCACCAACTCTACTTGTTTGAATCCATTGGTTTGCTGCTTTCGCTGATCAAAAAGTCTGACAAACGTGTTTCCATGTTTGAATCCGTGCTCCAGCCATTATTTTCAAATTTGGAAAAATGCATCAACAGCATGTCTCAACTGAGTCTCGGCCTGGTAGTCCAAGTTCACCACTCACTTGTATCGGTCGGTACTATTTTGAAAGGTTTTGAAAGTTTGAATGTTGCCGAGTTTGATGAAAAGTTTGTTGCATTGTTACAGCAGATCTCTCAGGTGGTGCTCATTACTTTGGAAAATTTCCTTGCATTCAACATTGTCAGAGAGGCCTCCGAATTCTGCGTTGTGAGGCTGTTTATTCTTTTCATCAAAACTCCATCAGATGCTCTGGAGCAGTTGCTTTCCAAATTTATCTCTGTTATTATGATCAATTTCGACAAGCTCAAATTACAGGAGATCAACAATTTCTTGAACTTCATTGGCCAGGTCATGCACCACTGTGGCAAGTCCCAACAGATATACATAATGTTGAACTCGCTGCTTACGCCGTTGGTTGCCAAGGTCATATCCCGTATAGAAACGGACTCATCTGCTGCGCAGGACGACTTTATGAAGAGAGACATTTTAGACACGCAGAAATGTTTTATTTCGCTCTTGGTCTCGATGAATAGTGACCACGTGAGCTCTTTGTGGCTGACAAACGAAAACAAAGGCACTCTAGTCAACATCATCAATCTGATGTTCAACTACATTTACAACTACCAAAACAACGATCTTTCGTTGGTTAAGGTGGCTATCACGTGTATCAACTCGCTAATTCTAGGCGTTGGTCTGGGAAAGGTTGTGGATCCAGAGGATGTGTTCAAGAACGACGCCAATGTGTTCGAAGAGGCCAGGCAACTGCTAGTGACAAACGCATTGTTATTGGCCTGTGAAATGAGTTTCAAGATGAAAAGAGAACTTTTGAACGATGCCCAGTACCGCAACAGTATTCTTTTGGAGGTCGTTCGCACTTTGAAGGCCGTCTGTTATGCCGGATGCGAGATCCCTGATCTACAATCAACTAAGAAAAATAAAGCCATCAAATTCAATGAGGAGATGGTGGAACAGCTCCGGGCCTTGCTGATATCCAATATGGGATTCCCCTCCGATCTTGCGCAGGATTTTGTTGAGAAGCTAGTCCAAATTAGCGACAGACAGTTTCTCAAATATCTGATCCAGTTGATCGAGAAGATGTAATTGTATATAACACCGCCGTTGTGGCTAGTAAAAAATCTGTGGCACAAAAAGTTAGATAAGGATATGTGTGGGGGCTATAAATTAAAGTGTGCAAAAAAAAAGTTGCCCAAAAAGCAGCCCGCAAACAAACAACCTAAAAGATCTATATCGATATGAACCAGCTCGAGCAAGTAGAGCAGGCGGTTCCGAGATCTTCGTCTCATCCATCTCCACCTGCACCGCCGGCTCCTCAGATAAGAGCTGGTGCCAAGAGAGCGAATAGTGTTTCATTAGAGGACAAAGAGAAATTCCGGTCTCGGATCAACAGCCTATTCAAAGGGAGTTTCAATGAGGGCGACGATTATTTTAAAAAAAGCCGCTCAAATTCATTGTATAGACCGATGAGATCAGCCGACCTTGGATCCGTGTTTGAACCGGACTCTCTTTATTTTGTCAACCATCGAACGCTTACAACTGCTAAAGAATGCACGCTTATCAGTACAGAAGAACTTTGCCAATTTTTAGTCAGGCACTATACCGCAGAGCTTCCAGAAACAGAAAGAATGTTTCCGTGGTTACATGGAGTTCATAAGAATAACGCGGTCCAGCTTAGATTTCTCTCAAGTTTAACCAATCAGATTGACTCTGATCTACAGATAGGGGTCCCTTCTAACGTTCGCGGCCTCATGCCAGTGCGTTCTGCGAGCACCAGTGCTGAGGCCAATCGCTGTGATGACATACTTGCCGAAACAACAGGACAAATCAAAGGAACCGTTTCGCCGCATGACATGCTTGTTTCCGTTTTTAGTGTTCGCAACGTGGAATTATACTTGCTTTCGATCCTACCGGAAGACATTCTCAGTTCATTTCCTATTGATATGCTGGTGAAAGATTGTGTAAGCACTCAACTTTTGCCGCTGTTCAAAGATATGGATCCTCAAGTTGGCGTTTCCCTCCGAAACTTCCATATTCAGGTTTCCAAAATGAGCAATATATCAGACTTGGTCGTCTACTGCTTCAACGATGATCATGAACGCTCCGTTCGTTTGTCCAAGAAAGAAGATAGTTGGAATGGCAAATGCAAGTGCGCGTCCCTGGCAAGACTACTGCATATTGCCCAACTAATGTATGCGTCGGACCACCCAGAGCTCGCTCAACCAGGTCAACGGAAGCTTTACAACACTTTTGTTCTCGATGATGTCAAACTTAATATGCTAGAAGCTGCGAATCTGCTGTCAATACCCTTGTTAAACCCTGATGCGTCTTCGAAAGCAACAGGGGACCTTTGTTCTGAATACGATATCGAGGTATTCAATAATTGGGACTCGAATTACCTTTACCGTGAAAAGCTCGAAATCTCAAAGATGTCTTCAGCAACGGAGGTACTTGACAATGTCTGGTTTGGAAACACAACAGATTTCGAATGTCTGCATATCCAATTAAACTCGGGTAAAAAACCTGCCTCTGTTGATTTAAAATCGTCGAATTTCCCATTGCACTGCGATCCTTCGAATACTGTTGTCATCTTGAAGAAAAATGACCTTGCTCAGAGGCCAATCAGGGAGGTCGACGCCAAGCTGATAACTTTTCCAAGAGCGCATTGGAAGTTATTTGTGCATTGCATTGATGGTGCGAGGTTTCCAACTCCGATGGAATTGCGAACTGTTATTTCGAGCATTGGCTATTTGCAACAGATATACCTCGAGTTTCCTCCATCAGGTTCTGTGGAGATCGCTGATTTGTCGGAGGAAGATATATTATGCATAGTCAACGTGTGCAAATTGCTTTGCTTCCAATGCACAAAAGACTTTCCCGGTCTTCTATACTGCTCCGACGGCTACACGGAGACGTCGCTACTCGGACTTTGCTTCATCATGTACTCTCAAAAGATTGGAATTGATGAAGCAATCATTCGTCTGCACATGCAGTATGGTCGGCCTTTTTTCATATTCAAGTCCGATTATTTGCTGTTACAAAAGCTTGAACCAATAATACTGAAGTTTGCACAGCACAAGGGCGATAAATTAACTCTTGAGGATGACAGAGGCGTCGTGAAATCATTCTTGTTAGCTCCTAAACATGTCAGGCACAAGGCCACGTTGGACATGTCTTTCAATTCTGTGTTGCACACGGCTACAGGTCAGCACGTTGTACATCTTCGTGAGCAACAAAAAAGACGTGCTAAAGATCTTGATTCTGACACGGAATCAACTTCTAGTTTATCTTCCGCTGGTACTGATTTAGAGGTGTCAGGAGTATGTGAGTCAGTGGCAGGTTCTATTCCTTCAAGGGTGCTTCCACATCTTTATTTGGGGTCATTGAGTCACGCATCCAGCCTCCGACTGTTGAAGGAGCTTGGTATCAACTATGTTGTGAGTGTTGGAGAGCATGTGCCTTGGTTAGACGATTTGGAGTACGCTACGGGCACGACTGAGAGTGGGTGTGAGATTTTTAAGATATGTTCAGATCAAAAAGTCGACGGAAGCGATTGTGGTGTCGAAGAAGTGATGAGGATTAATAATATCAACGACGATGGCATTGGCACTCTAACAACCACCATTAATGATGCTCTTGACTTCATTGACAAGTGTTACGAAAGTAATGGAAAGGTCCTGGTTCATTGTCAAGTTGGTGTCTCGCGCTCGGCCACTGTTTGCATTGCAGAGGTCATGAAGAGAATAAATGTGAGTCTTCCTCGGGCATACCTCTATGTGCGTGTGCGCAGGCTGAACGTGATAATCCAGCCTAATTTGAAACTGATGTACGAACTATTCAAATGGGAGGAGCTGTTTATGCGGTCAAAGCTGAAAAAGCGACAGTTCAGCGTTTCTTCTCAATCGTCGAACGGCCAATCTAACAACTCGACGTTCTCCACGAATCACAGCGGCAGATCGTCTTTTTCGAATAGTGTGGGGTCGGTGAGTTCCACCTTCATTTCATCCTCTGCGCGAGATAAGCCTAGGTTCTCCCTAGCTGGCTACGAAACGGCGATATCCGAAGAGGCAGACGAGTTTGACATCCGACACCTCGATCTTGGGCCAGAGGATGTTATAAGCAACACTCCTGGCTTCATACGTGAGGTGGACTGGTACATTTTTTGCAGAGAGATTTTTAATTTGAACCGGGCTTACATTAAGCCTGGTAAATAGGCGTCGCATATACGAGTCGATCGTCGGCAATATAAATTCTAGCGAGTGAAAAAATACTGCTACTTTTTTATTCACCACTATGAGATCCACCAACGTCTTGCATTTCCAGGAGACGCAGTCGGTTTTGCTGCGTCGCCCATGGAAGACGTACAGAGATGGCACGCTTTTCTACGGCATGACGAAGACAGGAAACAAGAGGGTTCCTCTGACCACAAAGCAAGGGAACAAAAACTTCTACAAGGGTACCAGATCGTCGGGTATAGGACGTCTGAACAAGTGGGGAACATATAACATTGACTACCAACGTGTGCGTACTTTTGTGGCACCCCCTAATCTCACCGACTTTAGTTTGAAGCCGCTGGTGTCATCAAACGCAGTCATTCCAAAGAATACCTTTGATGGCTACTCGAGCGTTACAGATGGTAGGTTCTTGTTTGATAAGGTGAAGGAGTATATTGAGACCGGTGAGGTGAAACATCCGCGCACAGAGGACTATATCGAGAGAGCGTAAATGTACATATATAAAGATTGATTAACTGATCGTAACGGCATCTTCTGGTTTGTCCTCGTCTTTCTTGAGCACAAAAGGTAGGGTCTGCTGCTTTGGCTGGGCTGGCTGCGGCGTCGAAACTCCAGAGTCATCGTCTATAGTGTCATCTTCGTTTGACTTTGTCTCCAACACTACTTTGTGTTCCTTCACAAGCTGCTGTAGAGGAACAGTCTTCGGCACCAGGTCCTTCATGAACAGCAGGCTATCGTTGCTGTGGACCACCTCATAAAAGTCGGAGTATGCGATTTTTTTGCGCTTCTGTGATTTGGCATGGAATGAGGCCTGTTCTACTAGATTCATGATGAAAAGTTCTGTTGCAGCTCCCAGTAGATAATTGGCTGACTCTGTTGATGAAACGTGCTCAGGATCAAGCTTGACGAGTTTCTTGATCCTGGAAATTGGTAAGCTTAACGAGCTTTCTGACGGTTCTTCCTCCATTGCGACGCGAAATTTAACTTAAAAAAAATATTCAGTTTCCATCTTCGCGATCATCATGTCAGACCAAAAGGAGAGAATGCCTTGGGTCGAGAAATAGTAAGTCAGTTTGCAACGCGTTTCTGATCACTAACAGCCAGTCGGCCCAAAACGCTGGACGAAATTACCTCGCAAAGCCATGCTGTTCAGGTTCTCAAGCGGAACTTGCAAACGGCCAATCTTCCTCACATGCTGTTCTACGGTCCCCCAGGAACTGGAAAGACATCTACGATTTTGGCAATGGCCAAAGAACTTTACGGCCCGCATCTTTTCAAGAGCAGAGTGCTCGAACTAAACGCTTCTGACGAACGTGGGATATCGATTGTCAGAGATAAAATCAAGAACTTTGCGAGGCTGTCGATCTCCAATCCCTCTAAAGAGGACCTAGAAAAGTACCCATGTCCTCCATATAAACTGCTCATTCTCGACGAAGCCGATTCGATGACATCGGATGCGCAAAGCGCGCTCAGAAGAACCATGGAGACATACTCAGGAATCACACGTTTTTGCTTGATTTGCAACTACATCACCCGTATAATAGACCCGCTTGCCTCGCGGTGTTCCAAGTTTAGATTCAAGATGCTGGATGAGGAGAATTCCATTAAAAGACTGCAATATATTTGCAATGAGGAAAATGTGACTGCTAGCACTCCCGTGCTCAAGGAAATTCTAAGAATCAGTGACGGGGACTTAAGAAAGGCCATCAATTTCCTCCAGAGTGTGCACAAGATGCTGATGCCTGCCGAGGATGAAATGGCTGACGACGTGACCGAAGACCAGATCAGAGACGTTTTTGGCTACCTGCCGAAAGATCAGCTCATGGAGCTAATCAGACTCGCAGAGAAGAAAGACATGGACCGTATATTTGAGTTTGTTACCGATTACATTTCCAAAGAAGGGTACAATGCCACTTTAATAATCAGCTCTCTGCATGATGTGCTGCTTCTGGGAGACGACAGTGGCATTTCGCTGAGCCTGGACGGAAAACAAAAAAACAGCATCTCGAGAATTCTCTTTGAGACGGACGCCAGACTTAGTCACGGATGTGATGAGACATTACAAATTCTCGATTGTGTACTACGAATCTCTACAGTTTTGTGAGCTAATGCAAACCATTACTTTTTTTCTGAAAATGGTAAAAAGAGCCCTGGAGGCAAGAACGGAGCAGGTCCGGGAGCCGGAGCCTTGGACAACAGAGAGTTGAAAAACATGTCAGCGTTCGAAGATGGAGGATGGCCCATAAGAGGCATGGCTCCCATTGGTGGGAGCGGTCCCATAGGCCCCATAGGCCCCATGGCAGCTGTTGGGGCCAGTCCTGGCGGCATAGCCACCTGGCGCATTTCCTGCGGCATTGGTTGCGCTTGTGGCACCTGCTGTCCGGAATTTTGAAGTAACGATAGCAGCTTCGATTCATCTTTGGTCTGGCTCTGTTGGGGCTGTTTGTTTGTTTGTTCAGGACCAAAAAAGCTTGAGAATCTGGACGAGCCCGAACTCGACGTGGTGAGAGCGTCTGGCTTCACGGAAGGATCCTGATTTGGTTCATGGAAGTCGGACTCAGGCCTGTTCGCTGGCTTTTGAGCAATTTGGCTCAACGGGTCAGCTGCCACCGCGCTCTCGGCCTTTTGTGCCTTCAAATACTCGTATTGGCTGGCATCCTCCTCAGGAACGGGCTCGCCATTCCTTCTGAAGGTTTCTATCCGCATCTTGAGTCTCCATAGCTCAAAATCGTGGATAGAGTTTCCTGTGATTGCATCTGATTTGAGTACCCATTCTGGTGGCTCCTCTGGCTCTTTGGCTGTCCTTCTTGTGTCCTTCTTTCTGTCTTTTCTACCACGCTGGTTTGGGTATTTGTGGTTGTTGTGATTAACATAAGCGGTACGTTTCGGCTGGTCCAAAAGGAAAAACTCGTGCTGGTTACTTGGCAGGTTCAAATGGGAAACATCTGCACACAGAGGCGATTCCTTCAACGACACTAGGAATTCCAGAGAGTAGACGTACTGCTTGGTAGAACGCTGTGTGGCATCCTTTGAAGACGTATCCTCGTTAGCACGAGCAGGAACCTCCTTGGCTTCCTGCCGCTGCTGTTTTTCCTTTTCAGCCTCCGCCGCAGCGTCAGCGAGCATCTTGGTGATCAAATTGCCATCCGACATTTAGCAACTCGAGCAGCTTCTACCCAGATGCGAGAACAAAAGTGGTATCTATAATGCAAGGCTCGCAATGTAACCAAATTACGGTGTTGGTGCTTGTCTATCGCCCTTTTTTCGCCTCCAATAGTTAGTTTCCCTTACTTATCTACGGTCTGAAAAATTTTTAGGTGTACACACCATACTCCATCCCAACAAGAATTTGTTTGTTGCCATACACTCCACGCCAGGAGACCGGAGTTGTCCATTCGGCAGGCTGATTTATATGTAGCACACGTAGGAGCTGTGAAGCCAGTTGCTTGGAATCGTTCGAGTTGTCGCCCTCGTACACAAAGATCGACAAAAATACAGCGTCGATCGACGCAGAAGGTGTGCTTGCGAGCTTCAATGACCCTTTGACCTCGGGGCCTAGGCTGGACGTTTCCTCAATTTGATCCTCCAATGCATCTATAATCAGTTTTCCCATGCCATCGAGTTCCGATCTCTCGGAGATCACGCCTATGCTGTTATCAGAAATCTTGAACGTCTCAAAAGTTTTGGCAATATCGTTGGCCCAGAGTAGAAACAAATGGTCCACGTTTTTGTCCTCACGAAGGCCAGCATCGTTGCTCTGTAAAATCACCACTTTTCCGAATTGTGCCATACGCACGAATGGGATTAGCAATTCCTTTAGAAACTTGGTTGTCAGACCTGGCAAGATTGGAGATCTTTGCTGCAAAATGGTCAACCGGTGTTGTTCACTGTAGTAGATTTCCAAACCCGACGTTATTCCTTGTTTGGGATCATTCACATAGTCCACAGGTGATGCAAACGGGTATAAATAGATATCATCGAGTCTCGCCACCAGCTTCGCAGGCAACGTATGTATTAACAAATCGCATGCCAATTGAGGTGTATTCCCTATTGATACAACGGGTAATATGAGCTGAGAGCCTTCGAGCTGCTTGAGCACCTTTAAAGGATCCTGACCATGAATTGGGTGGAAAGACATTAATCTGATTGTAAAATAACAAAAGGCGACGCGACGATCCGTAGATTTCGGGATTTCAGAAAAAAAAAATCTTAAAAAAATCCTTGATTCAGGCCAGCAGTTCAAATGACCGAAATTTGGGACGGAGAAGACGAAAATGCAAGTCTTGAGACTCTTAGAGATGTTTTAGTCAATAGAAGTGGTGACGTGAAGTTGGCTCTTCGATTTCGCGCGCTCTTCTTCTTAAAATCTGTGGGAGCAGAGTTTGCAGAAAAGCCAGAAGAAGCACAGAAGGCTCTAGAATATATCGCCGAGAGTTTCAAAGATGAGTCTGAGCTACTTAAGCATGAGGTTGCTTATGTGCTAGGCCAGACGAAAAACATGAAAGCCGCTCCGATTCTCAGAGAAGTGCTAGCAGACACCCATCAGCAATGCATGGTGAGACATGAAGCAGCTGAAGCTTTGGGGGCCCTTGGGGACGGCGACTCTTTGGACTTGCTTTCAAAATACTATAATGATCCTAATGAAATGCTCGAGATTAGGCAAACCTGTGAGCTGGCTATCGATCGTATCAAGTGGGTAAAGAGCGAAAAGGCCAAAACTGAAAATCTGCAGACCTCGCTGTACGAGTCTATCGACCCTGCTCCACCATTACCGGTTGACAACGAGGAGAATGACAAGGTGGAAAAGCTACAGCAAATCTTAAATGATCAAAGACGGTCTTTATTCGAAAGATACAGAGCGATGTTTAGGCTTAGGGACATCGGCACCGACGAAGCATGCCTTGCCCTAGCCACTGGATTCGATGATGACTCGGCGCTGTTTAAGCACGAGATTGCTTATGTGTTTGGCCAGCTGTGCAACCCTGTCAGTGTTCCTGCCCTCATTAAAGTTGTTGGAAACAAAGCAGAAGCCGGGATGGTGCGACATGAGGCTGCAGAGGCGTTGGGATCTATTGCAACCGAGGATGTTCTTCCCATCTTGAAAGGTTTTTTGAACGACAAGGACGATGTCGTGCGCGAGAGTGCTATTGTGGCCCTCGATATGTACGAGGCTGAGTAATAGGATGCCCTAATTGTTGGTTCTGAATCTGTAGCCACATGATGTACAAGTGTAGAAAACGGTAGCACCTTCGTCAGCAGACCGAAGTTGAAGAGTGTGGTACTGCATTTCGTCGTTACCACACTGTGGACACTTTTCTTTAATCGTAGCGCCCTCATCCACTTCGCTTGTCTTGAGCGATGTTTTGACAAGTGATTTCTTGGATTTAAGAGAGGATGGAAAAGCATCAGGAGCAGTATGCGTCACGACCTTCAGATTGGCAAAATGCTTACTCTCGTAAGTTCTTTTGCACATCTGACATTGTATCGATGGTCTATTTGCAAACGAGTCGAGAAGAGTACCGCAATCTTGGCAGAAAATCAGCGATCCAACAGTAGACATAAGAGGTTTTTTCTGAAATTTTTCAAGTGCACTCGAATATTTTCTTTCTCCGTCGCGACGATTTATTTTTCGTTCACTTTTTTCCCAATAGTATTTCTTCGCGTCCATGTCCCAAACGTCCCAACCAATGGAACTCCCTGACCTGTCGAACGCCATCGTGGCGCAAGACGAGATGGGTCGTCCATTCATCATTGTGAAAGACCAGGGGTCCAAAAAGAGAACCCACGGTACCGAGGCCGTCAAATCACATATTTTGGCCGCACGGCAGGTCGCTTCTATTTTGAAGACTTCGCTAGGTCCACGTGGTCTGGACAAAATCTTAATCTCACCAGATGGAGAGATCAACATTACCAATGATGGTGCCACCATCATGTCTCAGATGGAGCTAAGCAACGAAATTGCAAAGTTACTTGTCGAGCTATCCAAATCGCAAGACGATGAGATCGGAGACGGAACTACGGGAGTTGTGGTTCTTACTAGTGCTCTTTTAGATCAAGCTCTTGAGCTGATTGAAAAAGGTATTCATCCTATCAAAATAGCACACGGGTTCGAGAAGGCTTGTAAAATTGCCCTTGAGCAGCTCGACAGAATTGCGGACACTGTTTCCATTGATCTGGAGAATCTGGAAAACAACACCAAACCTGAGAGCGAGCTATTCAAGGCAGCCAAAACTTCCCTTGGCTCGAAGATCGTTTCCAAATGTCACGACCAGTTTGCTCGTATGGCTGTTGAAACTGTGCTCAACGTCGCCGATTTGGAACGTAAGGATGTTGACTTCGAGCTTATTCGTGTGGAGGGAAAATTGGGGGGCTCTCTGGAGGATTCCAAGGTGATCAACGGTGTTATCATCGACAAAGACTTCTCTCATCCTCAAATGCCTAAGAAAGTTGAAAATGCAAAAATTGCCATCTTAACATGTCCGTTCGAGCCACCAAAACCAAAAACCAAACACAAGCTGGAGGTGAGCACTGTTGAGGAGTTCAAGAGGCTTCAGACTTACGAGCAGGACAAATTCAAAGAAATGATCCATTGGGTGAAGCAGTCTGGTGCCAATATGGTTGTTTGTCAGTGGGGATTCGACGATGAAGCTAACCACTTACTTCTATCCAACGAGCTGCCTGCTGTGAGATGGGTTGGCGGAACAGAGATCGAGACAATTGCTATGGCCACCAACGGACGGATTGTGCCGCGTTTCGAGGATCTGACCGAATCCAAGCTCGGCCACGCTGGTAAAGTCACAGAGGTGGAATTCGGAACTACTAGAGACCATATGTTGGTGATAGAGGATTGCGATAACCCTAGGGCTGTGACTGCTTTGATTAGGGGATCTAGTAAGATGATTGTGGACGAGAGTATCCGTGCTCTCCACGACTCGCTCTGTGTGGTTCGCAACCTTATTAAAGACAGCAGAATTGTTTACGGAGGTGGTTCTGCAGAGATTTCGTGCTCCTTGCGTGTGATGGAGGAGGCAGACAAACAAAAGGGCATTGACCAGTATGCCTTCCGTTCGTTCTCTCAGGCTCTGGATGTAGTTCCAATGTCCTTGGCTGAGAACTCCGGTCTGGATCCTATTGAAACGCTGACGCAACTTAAGGCAGACCATGTGCTGAAGCAAAACTCCAGGCTCGGCGTGGACTGCCTGGGAAACAATAACAACGACATGAAGGAACTGTTTGTGATTGAGACCTTGATAGGAAAGAGACAGCAGCTTCTGCTGGCCACACAGCTTACCAGAATGATCTTAAAGATCAACGATGTCATTATCAGCGGAAAGGATCAATACTAGTTAATAAATAGGTAATCAGATTAGCTTTTGATATCACTCATTCTCCCTTCGAAATGAAAACTTGTGGTGCTTGTGTCTGGTTGGTCAGATTGTGCTGGCTGTTGCTGTTCGTCAGCCTTCTCAATTTCTTGTTCCATTTTTGTTGGATCGTAGAACGCTCCCCAGATACTTTGTAGATACGTGAATTCTTTACTGATGGCCACAGCAGTCTCGAGCGAACGGTCAAGGTCTCCCATGCTGGTCATCACATCGTCCATGAGTCCAATAAGATTGGTAATATGTGCGTCTCTAAACCTTTCGAATAGAGGAAGTGGTGTTTCGTCCGAGGAGTTCATTGGTAAATAAACTTTATTTTTTCGTGTAGCACTTTTTACTTAATTTGCCCATATGTATCTAAGACAATTTATCACAAGGCCACTGAGGCAGCACATGGTCCGATGGCCGAAAATTCAGGCAATTCAACAGACAAGACTGATCTCAGAAGAGTCGATTTTGCGTCAGAGCGATTTGGGAGAGGATGACGATGCAACGAACACGGGTGTGATCCTCAAAGAGAATAAGGAGACTCTTCTTTATTTTGACAGACTCACTCCTTTCAAGGCCGGAAGATATGACTTCAGTAGGTTATTGGGCTCATTCGTTATGGATTATTCGGACAATGGTCTCAGAAAAAGAGTTCTCGATCTAGCTCAAGATAGCAACTCTCCAAACGCTTTACAAATTAAGGGCTTCAAATACATCCCGAGGGATGGCGGAGCCTTTGTCAAGCTTGCAGTTCCACCCGATATGGATGTCAAGGTGTTCAATAAGCAGATAATGGACAACGTCAGCAGAAACTTCAACGACTCAATATGGCATTATTTGACTCACGTTCGATGCTTCCCTGTGAAAGGTACTCCATGGATTGAAGACCTTCGCAGGTATCCTAGTCCCAGAATCAAGATATGGTTTGAAGGGCCGCGCCTTACTCAAGAGAACTTATATCTATTGTTAAGACGGTACGGAGAGATAAATGATATTATTCCACCTCCTCCAGATTCAAAAGACCCATTCACAATTGTCATTTATAGATCCATAAGAGCAGCCATTTGTGCACGGCACTGTGTGACAGGGATCAGGGTTGGTGACACCGTGGTCCATATCCAGTATGCGCCAATTGTAAAGGTCAACTTGATAGGAAACTTTATCAACAACCACTCGCGTGTTGCTATTCCCCTGATATTTGCCATCTTGGCGACACTAGCGGTCCTGGTGTTTGACCCCATTAGGTACTTCGCTGTCAAAGAGAAGATTACGTCCAAATATTCTTTGGAAAAGAACCCATACTTCCAACAGATCTCGAAGTTGGCATATAGAACTCGTGACACAATGTCCAGCGTTCTTTCGTTGCCTGAACAAACGCACAGAGAAATTATCAATGGAATGGATGGAATGTGGAAAGAAATGGAAATTGTTGCCAAAGAGCTGAAGCTCTGGATTGAGGAAAATGTTAACTCTTTTATCGTTATTCAGGGACCTCGAGGATCTGGTAAAAGAAATTTGGTCGAGGAGCATGTCCTGAAAGACAGACCCAACTGTCTCTACATTGATTGCGAGAATATCATAAAGGGCAGGAAGGATCAGGAATTGATCAAAAACTTTGCCAATGAATTCGGCTACTTTCCCGTCTTCTCGTGGTTGAACTCGGTCTCTTCGTTTGTGGATTTGATAGTCCAGGGTCTAACAGGTCAAAAATCAGGAATTAGTGAGTCCAAAGAGACGCAGGTTAAAAATATGCTGTCTTTGACGAGTGCAGTTATTAGGGACATCTCTCTTACCAATTACCGTTCTGCAAGGCGAAACGACGATTCTCATATGAAGGAAGAAGACTTTTTACAGCAAAATCCACAGGACAAGCCTGTTGTGGTTATTGACCGATTCCAGGCAGCTCGCAAAGCCAACAACGCAAATGCATTTGTTTATCGAGAGCTTGCAGAATGGGCAGCAAGTTTGGTGACCATGAACATAGCCCATGTCGTTTTCGTGACAGATGACGTTGGAAGTTTGGAGACTCTATCCAAGGCCCTTCCAAACACGCCTTTCAAGCGCTGTCTTTTGACGGATGCATCGAGCTCAACGGTCAAGAATTTCATTGAGCAGCAGCTTTCGCACGATGACAGATTATCACGCTATCTCGAAAAGGATAGAGATACTTTGATGAAGTGTGTCGAACCTTTTGGTGGCCGCGTGCTAGATCTCCAAGTATTTGTGAGGCGTATGCGCTCGGGAGAAACTCCAGAGGAGGCCTTACAAGGCATCGTCGCCCAATCTATCGAACAGCTCAGTCAGCTTTTTACTAGAAATGGCGCTTCTGGTTATAGTGCATCTCAGGCATGGTGTATCATAAAATTACTGGCAGAAAAAGAGGTTGCAACATACAACGATGTTTCTCAGCTCCCATTACTGAAGAGTGACACCCATAATATACTGCAGGCCATGGAGAACGCCGAACTAATCACTATCATACGTGAGAAAGGATTAGTGAAACAGGTGAAACCGTCAAAACCGTTGTATCACTTAGCCTTCGAGACAATGGTGAATGAGTCAAGAATATACCATTCGTTGGAGACGGACTATCTGACAAATCTTATCAAATTCCATCGATCTAAAATTAGCCAGTTTGAGGAGGAGCTCCAAAAGTATAGTGGCATCGACGATCACAAACTGTTCAGGGAGAGACTGACATACCTTTCCAATAAGATTGAGGCCAGCACTAAAAGTATCATTGAATGCGAAAAAAAGCTTTCAAGCCTACAATGAACTTGTGAATTCTCTATTGATTCTCTAGTCGATCAGACTCAATCCTCTTTAATGCCTCGCTTGCAGACAGTCTACAAGAGCTCTCGTAGACCATCATATCATCGAAAACTTGCACACATTGGGGAAGATCCTTCAACTTGAACAATAAATCATCTGTGGATTTGCGGGTTTTGCGAAAGAAAGCAGTGTTCATGGCGCCATACGATCGGGAAGATTTGACTTCCTGCCAGTCATCAGGTGGCGTGCCAAAAGTGTTAAATATGGAAGCAAGTAAAGCTAGGTCGCTGTGTGCAGAGTCTTTGGAGTACGGCGTGGTAAAATCTTTGCTTGATATCAGCATCAAGATCACACCAACGGACCATATATCAACTTTGTTAGTATAGTCTTTGACCGAAAGTAACAACTCCGGCGCCTTGTAATAGCCAGTTGCTATATCTGTAATTTTACAATCTGGTTTTTCTAAACCATTGTTGTCTGGCTCCATATAGCTGATACCAAAGTCAATAATCACAGGTTCCAGATCGTGAGGCGACTCAAACATTATATTATTCGGATTAATATCTCTATGAATGACGCCCTGACTGTGGATAAATTCAAGCCCTCGAAGCAATCCTTTGAAAATTTGGATGATCTGGGACGTACTCAAGTTGTTTATCCTATTTTTTGTGATTGTACCATCCTGCAAGTTAAAGATAGACCGCAAGTTGGTATTATTTGCTATCACGCCGTTCAGATCGCTTTTGTAAAAAGGGAACAGTAACCCAATTTCTATGGGACTTTGGTAAAATGCAATCAGGCGCACAACATTTCTACCTGAGCTGGTACCATTCTCCTTATCACCTTTATCTTGGGCATCCGCCAGCTTTCGTAACACTTTCAACTCGTTTTTCACATTGTGTGGAGGCAGTTCATCTTCTGGTTCAGTGATTTTTAGAGCATACTCAGGAGAGGAGAACTCCATATCACCCCGTCTCCTGCACAGGTAGACGTCACTAAAGCGGCCTCCGCCGATTCTTTTCCCCACCTCAAAATCGCCCTTTTTTGTTTCCATTCAAATATTCTAAGGTTGATATTTTTTAGGTGATAAAATTGATTTCAAACTACCTCACGCTACTTTATCTCAATTTCACCGCTGCTGAGTTTCTGTTCTTACCTCAAATTTTATGTCATAGACTTGTGTTTTGCTTTACATCTTCTGCTTCTCTTCTCAATGAGCGTTCCGGGATGGACGCATATGGAATGCGATTGCTCCATTTTTAACGAGTACCCTATGACTACAGAAAGTGAGTCTCTAAAATTGAAATCGCTCCATAAGGTTCTTGAGTCTCAAGATACAGCGCCACTCAGATACTTAGTAACCACGAGATCAGGAGCCATGAATATTGAACAGCGTTCAGTCATCTGGCCCAAGTTGCTTGAGTTGGATTCCTGGAATCCTCCTCCACCTGTTCCGCACCTCAAGCACGAAGATCATGAACAGATAACCAAGGACATTGAACGATCTTTTGTGTTCTATCCAAAAACGAACCCTGATGAAATGCTGAGATTACGTCAACGCCTGGACAATCTGATCAATGAGACCTTGTGTGCATATCCAGGACTCAACTATTATCAAGGCTACCATGATGTCGCGTCGATCGCCGTTTTGATCTTTGATGATGTCATGGCCTACAAATTTATGACCAAGCTCACACTGATGTACCTCAGAGACCACATGTTGCCAGATATTGAGTCTACAGTCAGAGAACTCAAACTGATACCCGAACTTTTGTCCTTAGTGGATCCCAAATTACACGCTCTCATTGGCTCAATCGAACCCCTTTATGCGCTGAGCTCGATGATCTCTCTATTTGCGCATGATATCGCAGATTTCAACGGTCTATGTTTAGTTTGGGACTTTATTCTGGCCCAAAACAGTGCTGTTTCGGCGTACTATATTTATGTGGCGGTACTTGTCTTTTATAAAGATGATATTTTGAACGATCTGGATGATCTTTTGGGCAAGTCTTTCACGAGCGACGATACGCTCACAGAAGAGACTGAGCTGAATCTCTCGGACAGAGACCTTATCCACGTGACCCTGAACAATTGGATAAGTCACAATCTCAAGTGCAGCCATCTTTTTGAAATACTCAAGAATGCCATGCGGTATATGAGCGACTTCCCGCATGAGACTTTGCAAACGACGAAAGGCTTAAGCAGATACAGCATGCTGAGGGCGTCGTCCCTTGACCCGGAACTCATCCTTTTGCATACGAGCGAACAGAAGCGGTATCTGAAACGTTCTCGCGTCTCCAAAGCACTGGTTTCGCATCACAAAACTCTTTCACTGGTCATCAAGTGTTCTATCGGTATCGGAGTTGCGGGCTTAGTGCTCAAATACTCATTAGGGTCAAGCGGATTCCGCCCTCGACATCTTGGGGTCGTTCATGCCGCATCCCGGTGTATCTCATCGGCGCAAGGATTTTTCGAAACGGTTTTCAATGGATTTGCAGAGTAGGGCAATTAAATTTTGACGTAGTTGGCAAAGAATAACAAGGCGGTAATAACCGATCCAATAGTGAGGAGTTTTGTAGACGAAATCTGATTGCTCTCGCATGCTCCGAGAGTAATCATAGTCTTGTTCTGATTGAAAAAGCTGGCATTTCTTTGCTCTTCAATATCTAAAATCTTTGGGGTGGATGAGTTTTTAGACCATCCTTGTTTATCGTGATTCGTCAAATACAGCAAATCATCCTCCACGTTGTCAACAACTGTCTGCTGGACGTTTCCGAGAAAATCTGTGATTAGCACATCAGAGAGATTCCTTTGGAATAGATCTGTGCGAACGCCGGCATTGGAGTGTATTTTTTCGAAAGTGTACGAGTCCACCAGATCCTGTAATGTTGATTTGCTGTCTTTTTCCAGCTTTTCCAGAAATTCCAAGTTGAAATACGTAAATCGATCGATGACAGCCACCCCAATTTCAGTATCTGAATGGTGAGAATATGAACTCTCATGTAAATCAGACGAACCAACAGCAAGAATATTTGGTGAATAAAACTTGCTGTACATGGTGTTCGCCTGACAAGTATCAATCATGAAGAAAATCTCGTTGTAGCGCTTCTTCTCGTGCATTTCTTCAAAGGCATCTGCAATATCATATGAAGAAATCTCCTCCGCGTCTTGGAATTTCAGAAACTCGTCTCCACCATGGCCGGTCATGTAGATGAAAATGTTCGAATGTTCATCGGTAAGCAGTCTTTTCGATTTGGGCTGCTCTTCTGGCCATCTGTCTGTCAAAAGACGAATGAAGTTTTCAACCGTCACTTCGTATCCACGGTAGTCGACTTCAATGTTATCGCCGTATAACTCAAGCTGCCTATCGGCATTATTGAAAACAAATCCAGGGAACGCGTTTCTCGGATTGCAGGCTATGTCGTCCGAAAGCATCAAGATGATTTGCGAGTCTGGAATACCGAGTCTTTTGACCGTTCTGTACATACTCAGCACATTCGCCATATGCCTGTAGTTGAACCAGAATCTCGAGGTTGACACCAAAACCGCCCAGTTATTTGTGTGCCTTGATTCAGTGGTATTAAGCGCAAAACATGACGCCAGAAGGAATGCTGACCAAAAGATCTTAAATCCCTTCATCTGAGTTTAATATCTTACTAATTAATTGTAGTTTTTCTGCGTGATGGGATCTAGCTTTTGGCTGTGCAAGCAAAAACACTGAATATAAATAAAATATGATGCGTATCTTTATACGACGATTTAGCATTTCGCTGCATGTGCAGAGCCAGATCTCGAGTCTTTCTCTTCGCCCTTATCAACAGGAATGTGTTGATACGTGTTTAAAGTCGCTTGAGACTACTCGTCGAATAGCAGTGAGCCTTGCTACCGGAGGAGGCAAAACTGTCATTTTCAGTCATTTGATCGACCAGATTCCACCAAATCCAAAAACGGGACGATCTAAAACGCTCATATTGGTGCATCGCAAAGAACTGGCGGACCAGGCAATTGCATCTTTGCGAAAAGTGTACCCTCAATACAAGATAGAACTGGATATGGCAAATCGCAAACCTTCACATGCACCAGACATTGATGTCGTAGTTGCCTCAGTTCCAACTTTGAACAGGAGTGCTCAGCGATTGGAGGCCCATGATCCCGGTGAATACAAGGCTATAGTGGTCGACGAATGCCATCACGGTGTCGCAGACTCGTACACTAAGATTCTGAAGCATTTTGGCTGCGACTCTGCAGATTGTGATATAGCGCTACTCGGGTTTAGCGCGACATTATCGAGGTACGATGAACTGCCACTTGGTCTTGCTTTTGACGAAATTGTCTTTGACAAAAATTTGGTGGATCTCATTCGAGAAGGCTATTTATCTGATTTTTCGTGGATCCAGGTTTCTGCTGGTCTCGAGCTCTCCCAGGTTTCCATCGGCAAAGATGGAGATTATAAGATGGAAGAGCTGGCAAATCATGTCAACAAAGATGAAATCAACGCTCTTGTCTTCCAAAGTTACCAGCATTTTGCACAAAAGTATCAGCTGAAATCATCCTTGTTTTTTTGCGTTAATGTTGCCCATTTGGAAAGTTTGTCGCTGGTTTTCCGCTCTAATGGTGTGAATGCACAATATGTGACAGGCAATACGTCTAAATTTGAGCGCGAAAGACTGGTAGCGGAATTTTCAAATGGACAGCTGCCTGTTTTAATGAATTGTGGTGTGTTTACAGAAGGAACGGATATTCCTAGTATTGACTCGATATTCATAGTACGTCCGACGCAGTCAAAAACCCTTCTTACTCAAATGGTTGGACGTGGGCTACGGCTTCATGAGAGCAAACATAGATGCTACGTGATTGACTTTGTGGATGCACACAGAGTGGGCGTTCATTCCAATCCCACTCTAGAAGGAAAGATCAAGACTAACGGAGTTTCTCTGTTTGAAAGCGATACTGGTCGTGGCAGAAAGGAACCTCCAGAGATCGAAGATATCAAATACATGGAGTATGACACTCTTGATGGCTATCAAAAGATCTTCGAAAAGTTTAAGGAGCAAGAAGTGATTCAGACAGAAAATATATTTGGCAAGTTTAAGACAAGCCAGTTTCCATGGATCCAGTTGAGGCGTGATGTCTGGGGACTCAACATAGGGAATGAAGAATTTTATCAGATTCAAATACACCCTACCGGAGCTAAGACCTTGTCACTTGTCAAAATCATTCGTCGCGGCAAGATCAGATACCCAGAGTCTCAAAAAATCACTGAGAAGGCGACCCTCGAGGAACTTTTTGTGGAATTTGAAAAACAACTCGAGAAGCATTCTGACAAGTATCGAAGCTTTCGCCAGACATTAATCCGCGGTGCGATCACTCAAAAACAGCGAGATTTCATTAGAAGCGTTACTATCAACCTGGTAGATAAAAACCCCAAAATAGATAAAGCGAAATTCGTTGGATTCCTGGACAAAAAGCTTAATAGTCTGAGCAAATTCGCTGCTTCAAACTTGATTTTCGCTTATACAGTTTCGAGAACGAACGCTCTCAAGCTGTTCGTCAAGCAACAGGTTCTCCCCTCGAAAGCGCTCCAGAAATACGTAGTCTCGAGATGATTTAAGCGCGCCAATACTGAGCGAGACTGTGTAATCTATCGATAACGACGGGCAAAAAGGCATTCACACTGTCATTGATGAGGTTTTGGAAGTGCAGCACCGCTTCCTCGTCGTTCAATTCGAGCATGAACTTTTCCTGAATTTTCCAAATTAGTTCGAACTTTTCAGTTTCGTTAGACACCCCGTTGCTACCTGAGGTCCTTAAAACAGGGATGGACGAATCTATCATGAGCTGAAAAATATTGAGAATCAAAGATGCATTTTTGCGCAATGTGATGTATGTGATGAAACAATAATTGCAGAACTTCTGGTAGTTTTCATTATTAAGACCTCCCATTCCTTCTATAATCTGAATCGGCAATTTCATAAGAGGCGGGAACGGTTTAGGATCCTGTCCTAAAATGTACCCAAAATCAGCATGGAAAAAGTAGCCATCAGTGGTCAGCAGTAAATTTTCCAAATGACGATCACCCACACCAAGTATATAAGTCAAAACACAGTAGCCAGCACATGATCTAACGTAGTTGTCCATCACTTCGGATTTGACACCCAGCGGTGCCTCAGGATCTGGATTGTAGGTCTGCAAGTAGGTGAGAATGGTCAAGTGCTTTTGAAGAATGGACGACAGGGAAGAGTTGGGAATAAACTGGATAAGCCCTTCAACGGATCCCAATGCCATAATCTTGTAAGGTTTCAACTTCATGTCCAAATTCTCATTTAAAAGTATACGCTCCACGAGAGTCATAATTTGAATCACGAACTGATCTTGTCGTAAATCGTCTCCTATCTTGTACATGATGGGGTAAGGAGGGCCCTCAATAGTTTTAAATACAATCTTTAGAGGATTCAGGCTGCTCTTGAACACACTTGACTCCTCAGGAATAGTTCCTGTCACGTGAACACTTGGATCCAATGGAAGTTGAACAGGTGCAAAATCCAAAAGCGACTCGTACTCTGACATGGATTTTCTTGACGACTTGAGCTTTGTGGCCTTGAACTTTTGAGCCAAAAGAGCCTTGAGTGCCTCAATTTTTTTCTGCGTCGGATCCTTCTTGAAGTCGATTTTGATTGTCTTTGAAATTGAATGTAATCTTGATATAAGTTCCACCTGGTTTCTTAGAGTCCAAATTTTATCTGAGCCATTTCTGCTCACTCCCAGATTAGCAACAAAATGGAGCAAAGTCCGAAGAAATATATGCTTGACACAGTTTGCTGGAACCTGTGACCCACGAGCAGTTTGTTCGGGAGCATACTCTGTTTGTTCGGCTGCGTTAGCTGCTCTGATGTTTCCTGGTGCAAATCTATATCTTTCTCGCTCATCATCCACTTCAACCTTAAGATTCCAATAGAAGAAGTTGGACAGCCTCTCGCTGTCTATCGAGCGTTCAATCAGGAATTTTGCCAAAGGTGATTGCAACTTCGGCAATTTCTCGATTATCTTTCCTTCCGGGTTCGTTATATTAGGATTATTGAGTAATTTAACCACTGGGTCTTCTTCTTCGGTGTTTATTACTTGGAACTCACTGGAGTTGGTGGTGTACGTTGAGTCTTCAAAATCTAAAAACTCGGAATTCTCTTCTGAATTGTTGTCTCCTTCACCATCGTCGTCGATATCCGTCCTCGGACTCAAATAGTTTGCTTCATTTTTGATACACTGAACCAATTGAACCATATACATTTCCAAGTCGTCATCTGATGCCAATCTAAGGCGTTCTAGCGCCATGTTTCTCACAATGTAATTTTTGTAATTTGCACTGAGCAGTTCAAGACAGTCGACAATTTCCATCTTTTGGATAAACACATTGGAGTACGGATCGGTATTTAAGTTGTTTATGATGACCAAAAACTCATTAACCTCAAAATCATCCTCCCAGTCAATACACTTGATAAAGTTAATCACGAAATTGTTGAACTCTGTATTATTTTTGTTCAGGATCAGATTGTTCAACAGGAAGAACCTATACTTCCAAATCATGTTCTTTTCCTTCTGGCTGAGTTTTTCAAAGAATTGCTTGTGCAAAATCTTGGTAAGTTCGGCCCTCAACTTCAGGGTAGGCTTTATATCTTTGTCTAGAGATGAGGATTGATGAGTTCTTTCTAATCTTCTGAATTTGCTTTCGATAGGATCTTCAATGATTTCCGACCTGTATTGGTCCGGATCAAAAATGGTTGGTCTTTTCTGTTTCTTCAAGTCCTCAAGGTTGCTTAGTTTTATCTCGTTAAACAACAACTGATCTCTATTGCTGACATTGTTTCGAGCCACTGCATTCATGACGTGGGATTCAGAGGTAGTGATGTTCAAAGTGGCATATTTGACATCAGAATAGACTATAGGGATCTCAAATTGCGCCAGCTCCAAATTTATATGCACATCTCCTGTTCTTTTGGTTATCAATAGCTGCTGTTTAAGTTTAGCGGCCTCCTTGGCATTTATCTGCTCAATTCTGCGAAAGGTTAGTTGATCCAGCCATTCAGCACGACTAGTATCCCCATGTTCCCTCTGCTTAAGCTTAGTCTCCAAAATTTGCATCTGGCTCTGCTTCTGCTGATCCACCTCAGTTTTTCCGTCTGCAAAATCCACTTTCAACCTCTGATAGCCTTTCATAAGCGTGCAGTTTTCCTGGTTGAACATGTACAATCTACATTCTCCTAGTTTGTTTTCTGAACCTGTTTTCAGCTTGTAATTGAAAAGGGACAAAACAAGAACGGCATCAAGTGGTAGTTGTGAATAGTCTATTGGTAGATGGATCCAGTTTCCTCGTGACGAGTTTTTGGAATTCCCGCTAGAGTATGCCACACTTGTTAAAACCGGGACTGTGAGCTGCTTTCCTGAAGACTCAACATAGACATAGACGTAAATCTCGTTGATAGGCTGATCCTTAAGTTTGGCCTGTATGATTCGAGAAGTGGCACTCCGCTTTTCAAGGGAGAGACATTGCGCAATCCTTTGGGTGTAATCGTTAAGCCCGTTTATTCGAAATCTAAGCGGCAGCTTCAAATCCTTTGAAAGACAAAAGCTGACCGAGTTTTGACTCTTAGAGTCGTAGTTCATAGGTACGCGAATTTCAGAAAATAGCTTAGGGTAGTTTTAAGTAGGCACAAAAAATAAAGTTACACAGCCTTATGGTTTTAGATGTGTACTTGGGATGCTAATGTAATCAACGCTGGACCCCTCCTAATCTGAACCTCCGGCAAGAATGCAGGCAAATTGAAGATTAACGCCGAGAATAGTAGCACCGTCATTTTATTTACTCCATTACACTAAACTTATTATCATTATTAGAACACGGTATTAAACGTCAACTTTTTCGTCTTTTGGAAGCGGAACGGCGTCAGCGTCGAGTTCGTTGGACTTGGTGGCCTTGGTACCTGGAATACTTTTGACAGATCTCACTGGCTCTGGGATATAGACCCTGGACTCCTGGTAAGTAAATTCGCCGATTTGAGCAGCATCAGTACCCAGCTCCTCTTCCTCCTCGCTCAATCTGATCTTGAGGAATGGAATTCTGTTAAGAACCAGCAGGAGGATGGAAGTGACAACAAAAGACCATGCGTCGATGGAGACACTGGCTGCCAGCTGGTAGCCGAGCTGCTTGTAGTGGTGGTTGAGCCATCCTCCCTCACCAGAGACACCATAGTCAGTAGCAATGATGTAGTCTGCAGCAAACAGACCGGTCAGCACAGAACCGGTAAATCCACCAACACCGTGAAGACACCAAACATCCAGACCGTCGTCAATTCCAATCATGTTCTTGATGTCAACCGAGTAGTTGCAAGCAATTGCAGTGAGAGCACCGATTGGAACGGCAAAGTAAACAGGCACGAAACCAGCTGCCGGAGTGATACCAACAAGACCAGCAACAGCACCAGAGCACATTCCGACGGTGGTCCATTTACGGCCGCATCTGAAGTAGTCGAGGAACATCCAAGCAAGGCCACCGCAAGCAGCAGCAAGGTTGGTGTTAACACAGGCGTAAAATCCTCTGATGGAGGCATCTCCGGAAGATCCTCCGTTGAATCCAAACCATCCGAACCACAGGAAAACAGTACCCAGAACGACACTTGTGACAGAATGAGGTCTGTACTTAGGCAAGTTGGAACCAGCAACCGGGTCGTGTCTCTTACCACAGATCAAAGCGTAGGCCAAGGCTCCGAAACCAGAAGCCTGGTGGACTGGTCCTCCACCGGCAAAGTCGTAAGCACCGAGGGTTGCAAGCCAGCCCTTAGCGTTCCATGTCCACATGGCACAAGGGCAGTAAACGACAGTCATCCAGAGAAACAAGAACACCATCATTGGGCCCAGTCTAGCTCTCTCGCACGCACCACCGAGCATAATGCATCCGGTGATCATGGCAAACATTCCCTGGAAAAAGCAGAAAACAATGTCCGGCACAGTAGACAGTGCGTTAGAATCTCCAAGAACTTTCATCAGGCAAAAATTGTCCAATGATCCTAAAAACACAGATGAGTTGGTACCGAAAGTAAGCGAGTACCCCCAGAAGAACCATTGGAAGGAAATCAAACAGATAGCCATGAGCGATGCCCACAACAGAGAAAGAGCATGTTTCTTTCTAGATAGCCCAGAGTACAGAAGTCCAACACCAGGAATCATAATCCAGACCAGCACACCACTGACCATGACCCAGACCATGTCGGCCTTGTCATAGTCTGCAGCGAGGTCCTCGGTCATTGAGTCTTTCATCGTTGCAAAAAATGAGTAGTATTGATTAGACGAGAAAATCTGCGCATCTCGAGATATTTATATTCAAAAAAGCGGGTCCATTGTCTAGGCATGGCAGTTTCGTTGCGCCGGAAAGCTCTCGTAGCTGCGAATGTAATCTCCAGCCACAAATATTTCTTCAAGAAGCCCGGTTCGAGATAAATTGATGTGATTGGCTGTTTATGCACTTATCATGGTACTTATCTACATCTCCGACTATTATTTCATGCATCTCTATTGTATCCTGCGATGATAAAAATACATTCGTGCGAAAACCATCTTTTCCTGCTGCACCGACAAAAAACGCACGATTGTACGGCAGCATGAAGGAGGGCAGTATGAATTCTCAAGCATGCGCTTGAGTCAACTCTGCACACTTGACTGACTCATTTAGCTTTCGAAACGCACGCTCTTACGTCGAGGCTTCACAAATTGTTCTGGAACTTCAAGCTGAATAGGGGTCTCCGATTCGCTATCGTCAGAGTCAAGAGACATCTCGACAAGCATTTCCCGAATTTGGTCCCTGTTGTACTTGATGATTCCCTCCCCGAACGAGTTTCCCGAAGACGTGAAGGATGCGTTACGGTGCTTGCGCGCTTTCCCAGGGACACGCAGTGGGACGGGAGCCGTAAATTGTTCCATCGAAGAGTTGTCTGAACTTGAGCATGCAGAACCTGTTTCGTGCGGCTCTCCAGCTACAAGCTTCTCAGAGCTCTTGATATTGCGCATGCTAGACACTATGATTATCTTCTTTTCGATCTTCAGATTGTTCGTATGAATGGGTTTTCTGTAGGACTCCAGATGTCTCTGTTTTGTCAGTCTGACGTTATGCTCGTCAACAACATCAATACGGAAATCCTCGTAGTCATGAGCGATGCTTGTTTCAAACGGTGCAATCGAGCAATTGATCTCGCCAAATGGATCGGCCAAGTAGCTTGTCAGCGGATAAATTCCACTGTTGTAATTGTTGAGCTTGAATATTGATATGCAGTCTAGGTACTCGTCTTTCGACATTTTGAAATCCTTAAAGCACGCGGTCGTTTCCTCATAAAGTGTCGTAAAATCAATATCGCGTCCCAGAAATTCGTCCCGTTGTTCTGCTACTACATTCCGCATGCTCATATAGCCATCCTTCAGTTCTGGGTAGTAGAATAGTTGTAAGCTAATATAAAGCCCACAGTGCGCCAGCTCTAAACTCTTCTCGTGGATGGCCTTCTTGAAACTTGTCCATCGGTCGTACAACAAGACAAGTTTCTCTCCTCGAGAGTTCATGATCTGGTTAGTCATTCCTTTGTTTGTTGGCTGGTGGGTGAGGAGACCGTGACAAAAGTCAAGCTTTCTGCAGTTTTGCGAGCACCAGCCAGCGCTGCAATCTCCGCAGTCCAGCCCGCTCATGAATCGAGCATGTTTCTGATCTGAAACATCGTGGGCTTCCTTGTCCCTGAGTCTTCCTTTATCGTACACCTTCAAAGTTTCACCACAGTAGCTGCAGCACTTGCCTACCTCTATGAGCTTGACCAGATCAAAAGGCGGAATAAGAATATAAGGGGCCTCCAGATACAGCGTTCCGAGATTAGTCATATCATGTTTTAGCACAATTGCCCCTTTAGAAACCTTTAGATTCGAGTTTTTGGAAACATGTTTAGCCAAAAACTCGATCCCAGGCTTCTTGTACGACGGGGGTTTGTCAATCACCATACAATGGGGAAAGATTGTGGTTGACGAAATTCGCTCGTGCGATAGATTCTTTGCCTTTCTAAAACACACCTTTGCACTGGTTGTTGAATTTTGTGTTAGCACGGTTAGCCTCCCAACAGGAGACAGAGCCTGTTTAGCGGACAGCAAGGCAGTTGAGTTTCCCAATACAGAAACCCTTGTCCTGACATAATCCTATTGGTCAATGGCGGTCGAGTAATTTCCGAGGCAATATGTGGGGTGCGCTGATTGCACCGCCCATTGCTCACTTTTTTTCGCTATATAAGTCGCCCTGTTTACCCAGCAAATCTTCATCAATCCAATTATGTAGGTCATAATGGTTTTGATTAGATACACTTAAGTTTTCGACGGACGGTCAGTCTTTTTGCTCTCCATATGATACAGCATTGCCGGTGCCCCTTTGAGGGCTGAGATTATACGGTCGGAACTTGATCTAGTTAATACTAGCGAAAAGAAAATGCTCCTGTATCAGAACAATACTAATCTTCTAGGGCTCCATCTTCTATTGTTGCACCAACGAAAACAGTCTCTGAGCAGGCTACTTTGTCTTTGAAACAAAGAAACGTGTTCAATGCAGACTCTCCCGTTTCCAAGGCAGTGTCCGCCGTGTACGATTGGGACACCTTTAAGTTTGCTCCCATCAGAGAGTCCACGGTGTCTCGGGCTATGACAAGACGCTACTTTGCAGACTTGGATAAGTATGCAGAGAGTGACATTGTTATCGTCGGAGCTGGTTCGGCTGGTTTGAGTGCGGCTTATGTTCTAGGTAAGGCTAGACCTGACCTGAAAATTGCAATCATCGAGGCCAATGTTGCTGTCGGAGGTGGTTGCTTCCTCGGAGGTCAACTCTTCTCAGCTATGGTTTTGAGAAAGCCAGCTGACTCATTCATCAGAGAGCTGGGTCTTGAGTACGAGGACGAAGGTGACTACATTGTTGTCAAACACGCAGCATTGTTCATCACCACCTTGTGTTCCAAGACCTTGGCTTTGCCTAATGTCAAGCTTTTCAACGCTACCTGTGTTGAGGATTTGATCACAAGAACTACTGATTCGGGTGAGACCAGAATTGCTGGTGTTGTTACCAACTGGACTTTGGTTTCCATGCACCATGATGATCAATCTTGTATGGATCCAAATACCATCAACTCCAAGGTTATTATCTCCTGTACTGGCCATGATGGTCCTATGGGTGCGTTCTGCGTCAAGAGACTGGCTGAGCTTGGTCTTTTGAAGAGAAACCACATGGGTTGCTTGGACATGAACCGTGCTGAGGATTCGATTGTCAAGAACACAAGAGAGGTTTTCCCTGGTCTTGTTTGTGCTGGTATGGAGCTGAGTGAATGCGACTCCCACAACAGGATGGGACCAACTTTTGGTGCTATGGTTCTATCAGGTGTCAAAGCTGCAGAAGAGGCATTGAAGGTTTACGAACTAAGAAAGAAGCAGGATATCGAGTCGTACTAATCGGCCCCCTCTTGGTGAACTCTTTGTTCATATACTGTTCTTTGTCTGTCTGTCAAGTTTGATTTTATAGTGAGTGTTGCCAGAATGAACTCCCCCAGTTTTGCCGAATGTGCCAGTAAATCTATAACTATATTCCTGTTTTTTTGTTTTTGGCAGCAGTGTGAAATCCTTCAAGGACTCTCCAAACTAGTGACTCTTTTTACAACTGTTCTAACCATCCCTCAATACTAGCATATTCTGTGACACAGAAATAACCCCAAAGACCGCTGTAGGCATCTTCGACAAATTCGGAAGCGTATAAATTGGCTAGCATGGCCTCGTCCTCGACAAAATACTTGGATTTTGCTAACTGTTTCTTGGTGAGACCTGCTATCTTTTCGAGACTCTCAATACCCCACACTGTATGTGTTCAGCGTTGTAGGGTAAAATCCCCACAATTGGAGCAGTCGCAGAAAGCCAGCATGAACTCTGTGTTGAAGAAGGAGAGCCCTTGCCACACTTTCTCCTCCTCTTTAGCATCTTTACCGTACCAATCGTTTGACGAGATCTCCGCGATATATTTTGATAGTGGCCAAATTTTCAGTCAGGTGAAACCCGTTGGCTCCTAATTAAGCAGGATATTCCTTCAAAGAAATTGGATCCTCAAACTTGGGAGCACTCCTGTCTTTAATCTCAAGGTCGAGTCCAATGTATTTAATGAAACAACTTAAAAAAGAACTTCAGGGTGAGCTTTGTAAAGTGTAGATAAAGTGTTTCGAGTGGCATACTTAAAAGGAGTACTTTGAAAATGATGTTAGATTGATTATCTGGAGTATTTAAATCTGTGGTTGCAATTCTCTAAAGAAAATCCTGTAATTTGCTCTATAAAGAGTACAAAAAGGCAAGGTAAACAACCATCTTGAACTTTCTTGGTGCGTGCACTTAGAGTTCTTACGCAAAAGTTTCTATACGCTTATGGACGTTGTCTGCTCTGAGATGATGCTCTGCAAGGCTCTTCAAAACATAACGATCTTTTCTCGATGCGACATGCAGGGTGTTGTGGTGTAGGGAGGCAAAAAAATAATCAGGAATTAAAATTGTACGACATGGATGATATAGACACAGTGAAGAAACTATTAGTTTCCCTCAACCATGGAGTGGACGAAATTGAGACCAAGCTCAAGTCTGGAATGCTCTCTAGGAGCTTGCTAAATCATATTCAAGGTGCCAAAACTCCGCTCGAAAAAGTTGACCTATACAATAATTATGCGTACGTGATCGCTTCTCTTTACTTTGTGCTGTTGAAGACTAGTGGTGAGAATAAGAAGAATGAACACCCCATAATGCAAGAGCTCAACCGCGTGAAACTTTATATCGAGCGAGCGAAAAAAGCAGCTACCAAAGAAGAGAATACAGAAGAGTTCAAAAGGAAAGTTGCAGAGGCCGCTGAGCGCCACGTGCGAAATCAACTTGGTGAGAAGATAGAGCCAGCAGTGAGCAAGTTGCATTTCGAGGGCAAGCACACGATATTCGGAGACAAAGAAGACAAGGAACCCGAGAAAAGTACGAAGAAGCGCAAGACCGACTCCGACGACTCGAAAGACTTGAAAAAGTCCAAGACAAAACACAAGAAGTCAAAGGAGAGTAAGAGCAAGAAGTGAACCTGAACTCTCATTCATCGTCATTTAGCTTTCACGTAAATAAACTCTAGAACCGGGTAATTGGAGATTTCATCAAACTTACTTAATCCGTGAATTTCCTGTTGCGGCAAGATATAGGCTTTCTAGTGAGCAGCAAGAAATAAATATTTAGCTCACAAGTGATACCCCATTCGTTCTCTGTGATACTTGGTGATGTTCCAATATTGTAGAGATCTTGTGTCGAGGCACAAGAAAAAGCTTCTTTTTGGCACGGGAGTGATCGCTGTTTCTTACGCGGTCAGCTCGTTCGTGAGCAACAAGCTAGCGGAGTTGAATGAACGGTTAAAGGAGGAGAATTTTGCCAAAGAACAAATTAAAAGGCGTTTCAAACAGACACAGAATGACTGTTACATGACGTTCCTATCTTTGCTACCCGTTTTGACAGAGCCAATCTATGAGGCACTGAAGGTGGAGGAGATAACTAGAGAATTGCAAAACAAGCGATTCGAAAGACAAAAGGCGAAAAATGCTCCTGTTGGAAATAGCACTGATCCAGCGTTGTCAACAGTTCTCAGCGATGATTTTTCTGTACATAACGAAAAGGAGAATCCCATGCATACTGGTGTACAGCAGACAAAATCAAAGACACAACTGTGGAACGAACTTCGGAATCAAAGCATCACGCGTTTTTTGACGCTCCTCTACTGCGAATCATTGCTTATAGTGTTTCTGCACTTGCAATTAAACATTCTTTCTAGGCGCTCATATCTGGAAACTGCGATCAAGCTGGCGTCCAAGACGAAAGGAATTAAACTCGAGAACGAGTCCAATGTGGATCTGGACCCAGCAAACCTATTCCTCGAGAACGACGAGGAGCTTGCCATGGGCTCTAGCAGACAGGACGAGAATCTTGCTGAGCAGGCCTTTTTGTCTTACAGTTGGTGGCTTTTGAACAAAGGATGGATTGACATCAAAAACCAGGTGGAGTCCAGTGTCGAAGACATCTTTGGAGATATCAACCCTCGACAAGAACTTTCGATCGAAGAGTTTGCGACCCTAATCAACAAGACACAGCAGATAATTGATAAACAAATCTACGCGGAAAAAGAAAGCGAGCCTTTGACAGCACCAGGGCATTCAAGCTCAACTGTGATCACATCTTTACTCCCGCCGGCAAACATGGAGCTCTTCTTGTTGCAGCAAACAAATGACATGGAATTCCTTACCAACTTCAACAATAACATACAAAACTCGGAAAACGTTAGCAAGCTGCTAAATGAACTGAAGGGATATTTAATGAATGACCAGGTCAGCGCGATCATTAGTCTTCTGGTGACGGTGGGGATTTCCAAGGTTTTGGACAACATTGTTGTGAACCTCATGAATAAACAGAAAAACCCGGATCAGGAGGAACAGGTGCCTACCGAGATACCCAAGGTGAAGTTGGCTTCGTTATTGGCATCTATCACAAAACAATCCAACCAGCTAACCAACAACTCTCTCGACAATGAAGTCCTCTACACTCTTAATAATCTACAAGAGCTAGACGACCTGAGTGCTAGTGTCTACTCTAATTTCGATGCTTGATGATTGGCAGCATGTATACTGATTAGGTAAACCTGAAAAAAACCCAACCGAGGTACTTTATCGGTTTTAAATCACGCGACTTCGGGCTAAAACATACATCGCGTTCCTTGTCGACTGAATATAGAGCATACCTCTTAACGGCTTCAATTACTACGTCTCAAGCTAAATTGCCTAAATCGGACATAAGATCCCTCAATTTTATTTTCTGGTGCTGAACTCAAAGCTTGTCAAATAAAAAAAAGCCTTTCTTTCCTGAAATCTTCATCAAATGGCTCTTGACACTTTAGACCTCGGAGTACTGGCTGCCATAGTCTTGGCCATAGTTATCTATTTCACCAAAAGGTCTCTCTGGGGAAAATCAGACGGCGAAGACGTGTCTGTGCCACGCGGATCTTCAAGGGATTTGGTTGAGATTCTCGCTGCTAACAACAAAAAGGCCTTGGTTTTATTTGCCTCCCAGACAGGTACAGCAGAGGACTACAGCCACAAGTTTGCGAAAGAATTCCAATCTAGATTTTCCATCCCAACCATGTGTGGCGATCTTGCGGATTACGACTATGAAAACTTAAACGAGATCTTTACGAGCATTGACGGATTTCAGCTTGTCGTTTTTTTCACCGCCACATATGGAGAAGGTGAGCCTCCTGACAATGCTGTGGAGTTCTTCGACTATTTGGAGAATGAGTGCGACGACTTGTCCAACCTGAAGTTCTCGTGCTTCGGTCTTGGAAACTCGACTTACGAGTTCTACAATGCAATGGGAAAAAAAACTGTTTCTACTCTGACTGAAAAAGGCGCCACTCTTGTTGGTGAGCTGGGTCTTGGCGATGATGGAAGAGGAACTATGGATGAGGATTATATGGCATGGAAAGATGGCCTGTTTGACATCTTGAAAGACCAGTTGAGTCTCGAGGAGCATGAATTAGTGTATGAGCCTCAGATTAAGATCGAGGAAAGTGCTCTTACTATTGACTCTCCAGAGGTCTCGTTGGGAGAACCAGATGATAAATATATCAACCCATCTCAAGAGGAAGCGCAGTCCCTGAATGAAGGACCATTCGACCACACTCATCCTTATTTGGCTCCAATCACTGTCAGCAGGGAACTATTCAATTCTGATAGCAGACACTGTATTCATGCTGAGTTTGACATCTCCGATTCCAACCTGAAGTACACCACCGGTGACCACTTAGCAATTTGGCCTTCGAACTCCAATGAACATGTGTTCAAGTTTTTAGATATTCTTGGCCTTTCCGAGAAAAAAGACGTTGTCATTGATATCAAGTCATTGGATCCAACCGTTCATCCTCACGTAATTTCTCCAAGCACTTATGAAGCTGTTGTGAGACACTATTTGGAGATCTCAGGTCCTGTTTCTCGTCAGTTTGTGGGATCGGTCGCTCAATTTGCTCCGACCGAGCAAGCTAAGGCACACGCAAGCAAACTCGGAAAGGATAAGGCGCTATTCCACGAAGAGGTGACAGGTAGGTATCTTAACATTGCTGACCTTTTGCATGTTTTGAGTGACGGAGTTAAGTGGACCTCAATTCCGTTTGCTTTCATTATAGAGTCCGTTGCTCATCTACAGCCAAGGTACTATTCTATTTCGTCTTCCTCCCTGAGTGAAAAGCAGGCTATTCATGTCACTGCAGTTGTTGAGCAGGAGAAGCATCCAAACGTTGATCATATAGTTACTGGTGTGGCTACCAACTTGCTTTTCAATATCCAGTTGGCTCAAAACAAAGTTTCTAACGTCAAACCTGTTGTGACTTACGATCTTGCGGGCCCGAGACAAAAGTTTGCTCCATTCAAGTTACCTGTGCATGTGAGAAGATCCACATTCAAGCTTCCCTCCAATCCTGCCACTCCTATTATCTGTATTGGCCCGGGAACAGGTGTGGCTCCTTTCAGGGGTTTCATTAGAGAGAGGGTCGCACAGACTGCTAATGACATTAGCGTTGGTAAAACACTGCTTTTCTTCGGCTGCAGGAACTCCAGTGAGGATTTCTTGTACAAAGACGAATTTGTTGATTACTCGAAGAAACTAGGCGAGAAATTCGAGTTGGTGACTGCTTTCTCCAGAGAAACTGCTGAAAAAGTCTACGTTCAACACAAAATGCTGGAAAGAGCCAAGGAAATCAGCGAACTTCTCAACGACGGTGCATTCTTCTATGTTTGTGGGGATGCTGCCAGAATGGCAAGGGACGTCCAGAACGTACTAATCAGGATCATGATGTCTGAGCGCAAGGTAACTGAGTCGATTGCCACAGACATGGTGAAGAATTTTAGGGTTTTAAATAGATATCAGGAAGATGTGTGGTAAAATAGAAAATATTGAATTAGACAGTATAGATTGTCAAAAAAAAAATTCCAAAAAAAATACGAAGTAAAATAGTATTAGGATGTCCCCCTCGACTGAAAAGCTAAAGTCGATAAAGAATAAGCAGAAACGACAGCAGTTGTTTGCTAAACTCAAAGATGAACAAAATAAAAAGAAACACAAAATAAGAGCAGCCAGGGCGAAGGAAGAGCTACAAAATCCGGAGCTGAAAGCTAAACGGCTTGCTGAGAATGTGCCAAACACTATTGAAAACATGAGAGTCTACGACGAGACTGTGAACACCGAACTGGAGGGTGAAGATGACTTTGCTGAGTATTTCACAAACAGAGAAAAAGAACCAAAAATTTTGATAACTACTAGTCCGCACGCAAAGAAAGCAGCATACAAGTTTGCTTCTACGCTAATGGAAATTATTCCAAACTCATCTTTTGTCAAAAGAAAGAGAGAGTATTCCATGAAGGACATGAGCGAATATTGTTCTAACAGAGATTTTACTCATCTTATCGTCATCAACGAGGATAAAAAAGTGGTGAATGGTATAACTTTCATTCATCTTCCACAAGGTCCAACATTCTATTTTTCGATCTCGTCTCTCAGAGACAGAAAGCAAATTATTGGTCATGGAAACTCAACAGAGCATATACCGGAGCTCATTTTGAATAATTTCACAACGCGGTTGGGTCAGACAGTGTGTCGACTGTTCCAGTCACTGTTTCCACACAAACCAGAAATTCAAGGACGTCAAGTGATCACGCTGCACAACCAAAGAGACTATATTTTTTTCAGAATGCACAGATATGTGTTCAAGAACGAGGAGAGGGTGGGATTACAGGAACTTGGACCTCAGTTCACATTGAAACTTCGCAGAGTCCAACGTGGGATTAAGGAGGAGATTGACTGGGAGCATCGTCCTGACATGGACAAAGAGAAAAAGAAGTTCTATCTTTAGAGCTATTCATGCTCCCTTTTCTATCTTTTCAAACTCTGCCCTTGCCACCTTGATGTTTTCAAGAACTAGATTTTCGTCATCTATCTGGTATCCCGTGAATGTTGATTTCGGGTTGTCCATAATAATCATAATGTATATGTTTGAGGTAAGCACGTCCAAATAAATAGAGGAGTTACGACCATGAAGAACCAGATTGTTGAAATTTGTTCTGATCTTGTTCACGCTTTGCTTATAGGTCTTGATAATGTTGGAAATTTTCTCAAATCTTTTTGGATCTAGTTCATCGGAGCCAGCATTAAATTTGTTAGTGGAAGATATCACGAGAAATGTTGTTTTCTCAAAAAGGATCATCTCTCTGGCATTGAGTATTGAGTTGAATTTACTTAGAAGTTCTTCATATAGCGAAATGTTTGGAATCAGCGAGCAGACAATTTGGGACCAGGCTTTATATAGACTTTCATCCCAAATGGAAGTTGCAAACCCTTTGATCTTGAATTTGTAATTATCCCAAGCAACGTGGTGCAACTTGTTGAACATGATATCAAAAAGTTCCTGTCTTTTGTTGATCTGAATCAAGTCCATCTTATGGACTAGAATAAATATCTTGACTCCCGGGGAGAATTTGTGGAGGTTATCTAAAACACGCTTAAATATCTCTATGTCTTTCTGGACCTCCTTGCTCTCAACATCGAAAACATGGATCAAAACCTCGCACTTTTTGAATATATTGCTTGAAGAATTGGAATTTTGATTGTCCGAGTCGTTGCTGAGAAAATTCTCCATGAATACGTCTTGTCCACCGCAATCCCAAAGATTGAGTGTCATGTTGTTGAGGAAGCGTAAATTCGAGTGTTCAACGTCGATCGTAGCCCCTAAACGTCTTGTATCAAATGCAGAGTAGTTTGAAAAAATGATGGACCGCATCGATGACTTACCAGAGCCCGAGCGGCCCATCAAAAGGAGTTTCTTACCAGACGACATGAAGAGCGAGTTTGTTTAAAAAGATAAAAAAACAAAAAAAAAATACGGTGCAACTGGTATTACCATGTGTGGCATCCTATGGCATTTTAAAAACCGCATAGATAGGCAACCCACTGCTCAGAACGGAAAGTGTGATTTAAATGACCCGCTTTTTGAACAAATGGTTCCCCTCGTATGCTCCAGAGGACTGGATAGCACGCAGTACTTTAAAAAGGAGATCGCCCAAGGCACAATAACGGAGTTCTCCTCGGTGTTGTCAATAAGGGCACCTCTGACGCTTCAACCAATGATTAGGGGAAACTTTACTCTGCAATATAACGGAGAGCTCTACAACCAAGAGATAGAAAATAATGATCTTGAGTTTATTTATCAAACTTTGGTGAAGTCAAACTTTGATGTCGTATCAACTATAGGTCAACTAGACGGCGAATTCTCCTACTGCATCACCAATACAGACACTAAAAAGGTATTTTTCGGGAAAGATTTGCTGGGAAGAAAGAGTTTAGGATATATGCTTGATGAGAACCAATTGTACATTAGCAGCTGCCCTCCTGCCACGAAACAAGACACCTGGATCGAGTGTGCCTGCGCAACGATATATGAGTTTGACATGGAGTCCGGCAAGTTGATAACGATCAACTTTGAATCTAGCAATAACCTTCCTAGCCCCGATATTGTTCAGCAGACAGACGAGCCTCTGAATTCGGTGAATCTGCATAAACTATTGGCTTCGAGCGTGAGAAAACGTGTGAGAACCATCTCGCCAACACATAAGTCAAGCTCTTCTGTGGCATTATTGTTCAGTGGAGGTCTAGACTGCACTTTGGTAGCAGCTCTGGCGGCATCAGAACTTGGACCAGATACAACGATCGACTTACTAAACGTCTCTTTTTGCAACCCACGTTCCAACACCAAACCCGCAGACACACCAGACAGACTGCTTGCGATAAAAAGCTGGAAAGGGTTGCAACAAATGTTCTCAAAGGTCAAGTTTCAGCTGGTGGAAATTGACGTGCCATACGAGGAGTATCTGGAACATAGGTCCAGGGTGATACAGCTGATCTATCCTAACGACACAGAAATGGATTTATCTATAGCCATCGCCTTTTATTTTGCCGCACGAGGAATTGGTAATCGTGTTCTTCCAAATGGAACCAGAGAGCCGTATGAAAGTACATGCAGAGTCTTACTAAGCGGTTTGGGAGCCGACGAGTTGTTTGGAGGTTACACTCGCCATGAGCGAATCTTCACGAGCCTCTCAAATCAAATAAAACGACGAGTCTCTGGAAAACCTCCAAAAGATACCACAGAGTATAACTGGGACACACTGATCAAACGTCTGATTGAAGAGCTGCAGCTTGATTTATCTAACTTGCATATTAGGAACCTTTCGCGGGACGACAAAGTGATTTCCTGCTGGTCCAAAGAAGTCCGCTACCCATTCCTGGATAAAAGTCTAGTGGAATTTGCAACCAGAAAAGTGAGGTGCGAGGATAAGCTGCGATTGGATAGAACAACTGGTGAGATCATAAGAAAGTTTGCATTGAGAGAGCTTGCTCGTCATTTAGGGTTGGAATTTGTTGAACAAGAACCAAAACGGGCCATCCAGTTTGGGTCTCGAAGTGCCAAAATAGATCCTGGGACCGGGAAGGTGAAAGGAACGGATAGACTAGTGTAAATAGACCTAAAACGTTATTCCTCGTCTGAGGGACCGTCATCAACCTCCTCCTCTTCATCTTGTTGTACATTTGCTGCATACTCAGCACTATCAAGGATCATCCTTATATCCTCGTTGGCATCTCCCAGCAACTGAGCTGGCTTTAGGCCGTCCTTATTGCGGATCGTCGGGTCGGCACCAACCTCTAGAAGATTCTCTATTAGGAATTTGGCGTACTCGGGCTCCTCAAAACTGTAATGAACGGCATAATGCAAGGGGGTTTCACCGCTTATTTGATGCTTTGGATCAACGTCAATGCCCTCAATGTCAAGTAGCTTGTCAAGCACTTCGTAGCATCCGTATTTACAACAAAGATGTAATGGCGTATTACCTGTGGCATCCTTGGAAGAGTTTACAAGTTCTGCAATGTCCTCCGGATGAGCTTCCACCACAGAAGCTAGCAATTCCACGTTGTTTCTTCTCGAGGCTTCTATAATTTGCTCTTGAGGGGAAGCTCCGGACCACATTTATTTACAACAAAAATAAAAATGAAGTCGATTTGATTCATGGATTTCATAAGCATCCTACTTTGCCACATGTCCAAAACAAGTAATTTCCCCAGCCACTGGTGCGCGCTTAAAAATTTTCCTGTCAGTGTGAGCTGGATGGAAGTGAATATGACTGAAAATTTTTAAATTTGCAACCTTTTCAATGATTAGAAACTCAGGCAGTCTGAGGAACCAGCTGGCCAGATATGTCCTCAAACGGGGTGTGCAACGCCCTGCCATTGTCAGTTCAATCAAAGTTTCTTCCAAGACTCCGCTCACGATTAGATGCTACTCTACTAGATCTACTGTGATTCAGTTACTGAACAACATTGGCTCAAAAAGAGAGGTTGAACAGTATCTCAAATATTTTACCTCTGTGTCCCAACAACAATTTGCTGTGATTAAAGTTGGAGGAGCCATCATTACACAGCAACTGCCTGAGCTCGCCTCCTGTCTGGCTTTCCTGTATCATGTGGGGTTGTATCCAATTGTTCTGCACGGAACAGGTCCTCAAATCAACGAAATCTTAGAAAGCGAGGGAATTGAGCCTGATTACATCGATGGAATCCGGATCACGGACGAAAAGACCATGGCAGTCGTTAGAAAGTGCTTCCTGGAACAGAATCTTAAGCTGGTGACCGCTTTAGAAAAAATGGGCGTTCATGCTAGACCAATTACTGCAGGTGTTTTCCAGGCAGACTATTTAGATAAGGATAAATACCAGCTTGTGGGAAACATCACTGGTGTAAACAAGGCGCCAATCGAGGCATCTATTCAAGCTGGTGCTTTGCCTATCCTCACATCCTTGGCAGAGACTCCATCCGGACAGATTCTCAATGTCAATGCTGATGTTGCTGCTGGAGAAATTGCCCGAGTTTTCGAGCCTCTGAAGATCGTCTATCTGAATGAAAAGGGAGGAATCATTAACGGAAATACTGGAGAGAAGGTGTCCGTCATTAACTTAGACGAAGAGTACGAGGACCTGCTGAAGCAGAGTTGGGTGAAGTACGGAACCAAGTTGAAGATAAAAGAGATCAGAGACTTGCTGATGCACTTGCCTCGTTCGTCTTCTGTTGCCATAATAGACGTGAACGACCTGCAAAAAGAGCTCTTTACCGATTCTGGAGCAGGAACTCTTATTAGGAGGGGCTACAAGCTGTTCACTAGAACTTCGCTTGATGATTTCCAACAGCCTGACTTGCTCAGATCTGCCCTCAATAGGGACCCAGAAATTGCATCCGGCTCTACATCGGTGGCTTCTTATCTCAAGTCTCTTGAGTCTAGTCAATTCAAGGCTTATGGTGACGAACCGCTTGATGTTCTTGCCATCATAAAAGAGGACCCTACAGGCGTTCCAAGGTTGGACAAGTTTCTTGCTTCGAAGGCTGGCTGGCTCAACAACGTGACCGACAACATCTTCACAGCAGTGAAAAAAGACTACCCTGCTCTTCAATGGACGGTGCAGGAAGACGATCCGAACACCGCATGGTTTTTTGCCAGGGCTGATGGTTCTTTTGCCAAGAACGGCAAGATTCTGTTTTGGTACGGTGTCGATAGTATCGATAAGGTGAGCACTCTGGTTGAGAACTTTGCCAACCAGGTGTCGGAGAAACAAAGCGGAGTTTTCAAGACCGGTTCCCAGACCAGAAGTTTCAGCACCCGGAGACCAACTCCTGCTGGACAATTCACTAGACAATTTAAGAGGGGGCTGGCTACGTCATCCAACCCAAATCCACCATTGAAAAAGGGCACCAACACCTCCAAGGCCCGCGTGGCGCTGATTGGAGCTAGAGGATACACGGGACAGAACTTGATTTCAATGATCGACAAGCACCCATACCTGGAGCTGAGCCACGTCTCTTCTAGAGAGTTGCAGGGCCAGAAGCTCAAAGGTTACAACAAGAAGGAGATCGTGTACGAAAACCTCCAGATCGAGGACATTAAAAAGATGGAGGCTAATAATGAAGTCGATGTTTGGGTGATGGCATTGCCCAATGGAGTGTGCAAGCCGTTTGTTGACGCAATTGACAGCACCTCTTCGGAAAAGTCCATCATTATCGACCTTTCCGCCGATTACAGATTCGACACAACTGGTGAGTGGGTCTACGGATTGCCAGAACTCAACAATAGACAGAAGATCTCGAACGCTCGCAAGATTTCCAATCCTGGATGCTATGCAACTGCCGCACAGATCGCCATAAGTCCTCTAGTGGAATACTGTTCTGGCCTTCCATCTGTTTTTGGGGTTTCTGGCTACTCGGGAGCAGGAACTAAACCATCGCCAAAGAATGATATTAATGTGCTGAGGGACAATCTGATTCCATACTCCTTGACGGACCACATTCACGAGCGGGAAATCTCCTCTCAGTTGGGACTGCCTGTGGCCTTCATGCCTCATGTTGCACAGTGGTTCCAAGGCATCTCAGAGACTATCTCTATTCCATTGAAAAAACCACTGACTTCGAGGGATGTTAGGAACATTTACCAGGACAGGTACCAGGGTGAGCAGCTCATTACGATCAGTGGTGAGGCTCCGTATGTGAAAGACATCAGCGGCAAACATGGCGTTGTAATTGGTGCCTTTGCCGTGAATGCCAAGCAAGATCGTGTGGTTGTGGTTGCCACCATTGATAATCTCCTCAAGGGAGCTTCGACTCAATGTCTGCAGAACATCAACCTGGCGATGAAATATGACGAGTATGCAGGAATTCCAGACGATCTGGTGATCCGTGGGTAGAGATTTAAAATATTGAATAAATATGATACCTTCAGGAGTAAAAAATTTATAGAAAATATTTGACTAGAAATCATGTTGCGTTTGTTGACTCGTCAATTTTGCGCGCTTCGTCCGTGTGCAGCCGGGTCACAACGAGAGGGTGTTCGTCTCAGAAGTCTTGGCGGAACAGCTAAAGATCAGGACACATTAAAGCTCGTCTTTGAGAAATCCCGAGAAGTGAATCCAAAAGGGTTGGTCAAGATCATCCGCAAGGGTGAAAACCTCGGAGTGATGAGCCTCCGAGATGCATTGGCACACATTGATCTTTCCAAGGAAGGGTTCCTGTTTATGGGGTCTGTTAGGGACCAAAAGTTCGGCGAAGTTGGGTTGTTGAAGGTGGATTCTACACAGAAGGCACGGAAGCAGCTTACAAAGCATTTACAGCAACAAAAGACGCAGCAGTTTCAACGGGAGAATCCACGTCTTGTAGCCAAACAGCAAAAGCAGGAAAGTCGACAGAAAGAACTCGACGTCAAAATGGTCAGAGTCTCTTGGCAGATCACTCTGCACGATCTCACCAGCCAGAAGCGACACGAAGTTGAGACACAAGTCAAGAAAGGTGAGAGAGTCCGTATTGTTATTGATGATAAGGACAATTTCGATGCTGACGTCAGGGTGGCAGGAGATGAAAGATCTCTGACAGAACTGGAAGCCACCAAAAGAGGGAAAATTGAGAATTTCCTTGACGAACTACTTGAAGAGCTTGGAGTTGAGGTCCATAAAGAAGGTGAGATTTACGATAAAGTGTCTTACGACGTGAAACCACAAGAACGGAAGAACGAACTTTCTCCGGAGGAAAAAAAGCGTCTGAAGCAATTGAAGAAACAGGAAAAACAGGAAAAGCTGCGCCAGCGCACAGAGGAGAAGCGCAGGAAGGCACAGGAGGAATTTAAGATCCTCACAGTGGACTAAAAAAAGATAAAATTCGAAAATCCATATTTTCCCTATACCCTTTGGCCTATGCGACCACCTTCATATTATTTATCTCAAGGATGTATCTTTGCTCCTTGAATTTCTGCGAAGCCTGGTGGCTTTTGATGTATTTCCACCCTAGCAACTTGTGGCATTGGTGGCATTTGATATCACAAACGGTGTATAAACCAGAGGTCATCTCTCGCACCTCGGGTTCGCCAAGGACGACATTGACAACGTTGTTGATGAGCAAAGCATCTCCGGTTTTGCCTGTATATTGATCACTGATGATCTGGCTGGAAGAAGATAAATGGGTTAAACATTGCCCGCACCCATACGTGATTGCTATACCATTCTTGTTATATTTGGAAGTCTTTCGGTAGAGGGGCTTCAATCTTGAGGAAGTGGACGAAGAGGCCATGAATCGTGGGGAGTGCGAGTAAAGAAACCGTGTGGCGGGGCTACGGGCATAGAAATCTGGAAATCGTGATTCAGTGTCGCAATCTTCATCATCGTCCTCTACTTCAGAGGATCCATACCCGAACCCATCATAGCATGGATGCGCGCAAAATACTTGTTTGGAATGGATCGGATGATCGGGAAAATCGTTGTCAACACCATCTGGGTCCAGACATTGAGAATATCTAAGACCCATGCTGGTTATAGAATAGACACCTTCTGAATTTGCACCTGATTTAATTAATTATCTTATCTGCAGCCCCTTAAAGGAGAGCCACAACATGACATCCTTGCACCACAAGCAAACGGGATCCACGTTTTTTCCTTCGGAGTATAAGATATTTTTGCTGTTGCGATTGGCTGCGTGAAAGGACGATATGGCCGAACAGCGTGAGTCATGACCGAGCGCTCATTGAGGTGATGAAGGTCATCCATCCGAAAGCTGAGGCCATGTTCTGCAGGCATGGCACCATTTGCAAATTACGTAATATCTGATACGAGTCTAGCCTGCGGTAGCGGGTATGGATAATCCGCATGTGTCAATTGCGGGCGACAGGCAAGGAAAAAGCTATCCCTAGACGAAATAAAACTTGTATATACATGGGTAGCCAACTCGATTGTCACCAACCAGGCATTATATCTATTAAGCGGAGATAGTATACTACAGTTACGGCCGAGTTGCTGGAGTAAATAAAAATTTTCAGCACTTTTTTTCAGACATATTTGAGCAGTGCTTTGGCTTCCAAAAAATAAAGCAAAGCAATTTATCGGTGCAGACCTCTTTGCACAGACAACTTGATAGGAGAACCGTTTTATCCTTTTTCCACAAGTAATTTGCCAGATTTGATATAACCGAACCTTAATGACGACTAGGCCGATTCTAAAAGACCAGAAACTGGATGATAAAGGTATTTCCGTTCCACTCAGCGTGAGGCCGTCTCACGACGGAGTCGAGATTGACTACGAAGCCCTCCCCGAGAACTCTCCCGTCGTCGCGCAACTTGTCGCTGGAGCCTTTGCCGGTATCATGGAACACACGGTAATGTATCCTATTGATGCCATCAAAACCCGGATGCAAACATTGAAAGTTCCGCTTAACGAAGGAGTCATCCAATCATTTTCTAAAATCTCCTCCACAGAGGGAGCGATTGCATTATGGCGAGGGGTTTCATCTGTTGTTCTGGGGGCGGGACCTGCTCATGCTGTATATTATTTGGTTTTTGAGTCTACTAAGACCGCTCTCTGTCAGGTTTCCGCATCTTCACATACTCACGGCAGCGCTAGTTTTATCACAGATGAGAAACACCCTATCATAGCATCAATGTCGGGAATAGCAGCGACAATCACTTCAGACGCTTTAATGACTCCGTTTGACGTCTTAAAACAAAGAATGCAGATCCTTAACAAAAAGCTTTCCGGCAGGACATCAATGTCGCATGTTGCGTGGGACATCTACAAAAGAGAAGGTTTGAGACAATTTTATATTTCTTACCCCACAACCTTGATCCTTAACATTCCATTTGCTGCCATTAATTTCGGAGTTTATGAGTATTCAAGCTCCAAACTCAATCCGGACCAGCTTTACAATCCAATGCTGCACTGTGTTTCCGGTGGAATTAGTGGTGCTGCCGCTGCTGCTCTTACCACGCCCTTGGACTGCATCAAAACGGCATTACAGACAAGAACCATCCCTAATGTGACAGGCTTCAAGTCTGCTGCGATTGGTCTGTACAAAGCCGGAGGCTCAAGTGCATTCTGGAGGGGTCTCAGCCCTCGTGTCATATTCAACGTGCCGTCAACTGCTATTAGTTGGACCGCATACGAGATGGCCAAGGCATATCTTCTCAACGACAAATTCGAACCTTAAATAGCAATTCCCTGTGTATAGATGCATAGAACGCGATGATGCATGACGTTATGTTTTTTGTAAGAGTTCCTTCCTCAAATAGCGCAAGTCTGGAGCTGTCAGCTTTTGGGCCACAAACGAAAATACCACGCAAGATGTCAAAAATCCCATGAAATTGTAGAACTATATGTTAGTACTGCTATCCATCACACATACGGCTTTTCGAGAGAACATTCGCTCCTCCTCCTCAGTGCGGAACGAATTGAAAATCTTCCGTATTCTTTGAATCATTGAAAGCAGAAGAAGGATTTCTGTTCAATATGGACCAGATGTAGTATTTCTCTATTTTTAGTTTTTTTCTATTTTCAATTTATTTTATATTATTTGCGGCTGTACGATAGCAGAAATGGGGGTTATGACAAAAGCCTCTCTGGCCAGAGAGTGGGCCATCTGGAACCAATTGATAGTCCACAAGAAACAGAAAATGCGACAACAACCAATTGATGACAGAGAACCTCTACTCTCAGAGAAAAATTGCGCCGGCCAAGCTTCAACAAGGCCCAAAAGCAGGACCTCTTTTACTGTACTTAAAAGAACCATGTGGGCAGTTCAAGTCTCGACGTTGATTTTACTTCTGTACCTTTGGGGGCCTCCAATTCTGCAGACCGTCCACAATGAAGTGGACGAAGCCATTTGTGAGGTGATTGAAGTCGGATTCCCAAAACCAGATTTTGGGGATCCGGTCTTCGAGCAGAATATTTTGAATTACACTTTTGGCAACAGCTGGGGACGTCCAGTGGAGGCCAACTACACAAAGCCGGAAGTTCCTTTCAACAGGGTGCTTGTTTCATTGGACACATGGGTTGATGGCGTGCAGTACGACCGTTTAGCTCATTTGTATGTTAGCGGTATTGAGGTTTGGAGAACAAGCACAATCGAACCTCACGGAAAGCTGTCCCACGCGCATGCGGAAAAGGATGTCTCCACGTATGCGAAACTATTCGAGGAGGATGCCACCATTCTCTTCCAGCTGGACAATCTCCTAACGCCACGGTTGACGGGATCTTTCAACATTAGCTTGAATGTGAAGTATTACAATGTTGTCGACGAAATGCGCCGTCCAGCCGATAATTGTTACCCATTGGTTAAAAGGAAGATTGATAGCCGACCACCTTTGTTGACGTTGCCTGATAACACTTTCGACGCAGTGATTCCGCAGCTGAGCTACAACACCACCAAGGTTGTGCTTGACCTTTTCGTGTCTGGAAACGCCGGCGAAGAGTTCTGGTTCTCTAATGTGCTCGAAGAGTACAAGAACGTTTTCCACAAGTCTTATCCTGGCCATGGTCCTTGTCGTGTTATCAATGTCTTTGTGGATGGCATCCGCGTGCTGACCGCCGATCCATTTGTGGTTGTGTACACCGGAGGAATATCACCTGCTCTTTGGTATCCGATTGTGTCTACTGGAGCATTCGATGTGCGCGCACTTAGACTGGATATTACCCCGTTGCTGCCAATATTTTGGGACCAATCGACGCAGGTTGCTATAGACGTCTCAAATTGTGTGGATGACGACCTGAAAATTGGTGAAGCTCCGAATGGCATTGGGTCTAACTGGATTGCCTCCGGAAGCGTTGTGACTTGGGAAGACTCGACTATCTTGACATCCAGCGGAAAAATACTTTCGTTCGAAAACAAGACGTCGGTCTCTGCATTCGCTTTTACTCCTCCTGCAGCAGGAATATACAGTCAGATTGTTGATGCCAAGTACACAAATAAGGTCAACTCGTCCGTCACCTACACATACGAAAACGGAACCAAGAAGGATCTGATTCTCGAGGTCTCCTCAAAGACGAAGCAATCAAACGTGCAGTTGCTGTCCGGTTTTGGTGAAGATGAGTCGCTCGTGTTTATTCCAGAGACTGATATCACCAGTAGTGTGAGGGATGCCGCCACGAATGCCACCATTTGGTCGTTGGAGAAAAAAGTGACTCAGCCTTTGATCTATAAGCTCAAGGAAAAGCCATCCTTTGGACAGGATGTGGACTTCTCAGTGAACATTACGAAAGCTTTTGGTGAAAAGATTGCACTGAATGGCGTTAACGTGATAAAGGGTGTTAGCCACGAAAACGGCACCTCAAACTTTACGCTTTCTCCTAAGGGTAACCACGGTGAGGCAGTTATTGAGCACAGAGTCAATTTTACAATGCAGGAGCCACTTCCAGAACTCAAGTACTCGAGACATGTACTGGCAGATCATGGCGAGATAGTCTATGACACCATCGATGCCGAGGTTCTCACCTGGGAAGACGTGATGGCTCAATTTGAGAATGAGGGCCTCGAGCTTGCTCAGTACGCCGCCCAGGAAATTTCTAAAGACCAAGCTACTGAACAGCAATATTCCGCACCGCAAATGAGGCTGCTCAACAGATACCTCGCTGACTTTTAAGTATTAAATTTTGTTATGGACGATCGAAAAACCGATAATTAATTATTTCCTATTGATGGAAGTCTCGACAGTGGCGCGGACGAACTCGTCATCTTCCAGATCTGTAGGCTTCAGACCTTGGGCTAGATACTGGACCTCGGACCAGAAGTTCTTGTCAGTGACGGCAGTGTTTGGACTTGTGCTGTAGTGCGAGTCAATTTCCTTCACTTCCTCGCTAATACTAGTGCCTGACTTGTACGACTTAGGGCTTCCGCTATCTCCTGAGCCGTAAGAGGAGTAGCTTTCGACCTTCTGCAGATACGTGTTGGAAGCTGAGCTGGAGGACGTTTCATTAACCGCAGTGTTGGCCCACATTGTAGTCAGTGGTAGCGAGATGGCAATAAGAGCGGTACCAACGGCATTCAGTGCCTTATCTGGGCCGGCAGAGCCTTTGACTTCTCTGAAAGACACTAGAACCAAGATCGTCGGGATAATCATGGTTTGGAGAGCCATAATGAAGAGAACATGGAAGATGCTAAACTGTTTCAGCCCCAAAAACTTTCTGGTCCGAATGGCCACAAACAACTTGCAGGACAGTATAACAGAGATAATAAAGGAAGAGCTGGCATAGCAGATCTGCGAAGCGTTCATCACCCACATTGGCACAGAGCTGTTGATGTCGTATAAGGCGATGTTCGACATCACTGCGTAGATGAAGTACAGCACCGTGGAGGCCAAGCCCAAAAGCCCACAGACTGCCACCATGGCAAAGCCCACATTCCTGTAGTGGAAAGAAGGGCCTCGGAACACAATGTGAACTTGGTAGGTTAACGAGGCCTCGGTCAGGCCGATCAGGATCACGTAGATGACGTTTGTGGCTGCACTAAGATCGGAGGCATGTTTGTCGACATATAGGTAGCCTGCAAAATTAAAAGCAAGCGAACGGTACGCCTCGAACATAGTGCAGACTGTCATGATTCCGTGGATGAGCATGGTAGCCATACACACTTCGTTAAGCACAAAGAGCACTGACCTCTTGTTTCTGGTGACAAAGAATATGGCCGGAACAGCTATGGCTGCCAGGCCAATTCTCATGCCAAAGATCGCTGCGACTTCTGCATTGGCCTTGACATAAGAGTCCAGCTGCGCAAAAGTCACCTGAGTGAAGCCGTAAGCAGAAGTGTAATTGAGAGCAATTTGATTGGGGTCCAAACCTGAAGGAAGAGAGTATGACATTGTGAAGATTGTGTAAATAGAGGTGTCGAGCCTTGCACTTTATATGCTGGGAGGGATGAACAGACGAATGTTTGATCTGGCTATCTCAGAAAATTATTTCCTTATCCGGACGTTTAATGAAAAATATAAGATCTATAGCCATTTGCACAGCCTCATGTTTCATAATCTTTGCTGAAAGTAGCCCAATTCTTTAGCTCAATGAGATGACGCATTGTTGGCCTGCCGTGTGGACAGTTCCAAGGCTTGTCGAGTGTTGCCAGATTTCTCACGACGCTGGTCATTGTTTTATGGCTCAGTGGTTTGCCGATCATTATGCTGGTTCTACAGGCTCGCATAGCAAGCATAGCACGGACTTTAGAAGGACGTAATACCCCCCTACCGTGGTGTTCCTTGACGAGATGTACAAGCTCGTCCAAATCGGACAGATCAAATGTGGTGTCTTTTGAATACGGCAGTGAAGTGAGGCTGAGACGTTCGCCAGGCTGGGCATCTTCGTCCACACGGAGCCCAAACCCGTTCTTCTCGAAAATTTCCAGGTTGTTCATGATGGCGAGCTCGTCAATAATGTTGAGACGTAGTTGTTGTGGAATAACAAGCGGCTGGTTGTTAAACACGGTTTCCGTCTGGTAACGCTCAAAGTTATATTTTTCGTCAGACGCATGCTGATCGATGATGAACAGATGTGTTCCTGAACTATCCTGTTTGGTAACTAAGATAAAGCCCAGATTGAACTGGCCAATCACCTGCATTTCCAGAAAATCCTTTTTGGAAACAGAAAGCGTGAGCTTGCGTTCTGCGTCAGACTCATCAGTGATATCATCGATGGCAGCACGGGTGCCTGCACATTTTTCAATATTGGGCTTCTGCTTTTTAAAACTACCAGGACTTGCCTTAATTGGCAATTCAATGTCATGCAACGAGCTATGTGTTCGGGTCAGCGTGGCAGAGGCTGTCCTCTTTTCCGATTTGGGCTCAAAACTCAGTTTTCGCTGTGCTGTGGGATGTGTCTCAATGTATTTGTCACGCACTGTCATCCGCAAGGGCGAGCTAGCTTCTCTTCCGATACGAACGCGTCTATCAAAGCTCACTTCATTTGAGTCACTGGTGTCGGAGGATAATATCTCGTCGTCAACCTTGGAGAATTCCGTAGTATCAGGCTCTGATTCAGGAGCTGACGTGTTGGCCTCTGCATTCTTATCAAATTGCGTTATGAGCATGCTCTGCTCTTGAATGCTAACCGGGGATTTTGTGATAGGCTCGGGTGTCTCATCGATACCAGCAGGTCCAGCCTCACTTTCGCTTTCAGACTCATGCATCGTCACAGTGTCAGTGGACTGGGCCTCCGTTAATCTTTGTGCTCGGCTCTCATTTATGTCAGAAACATCTGCACGACCTTCATCACGCACGTCCTTGGCACGCTCTTCTTCTTCCCAATCTTCCTGCTTCGCGTCGAGATCGCCGCCCGGTCCACGCTGGTTCACCTCCGCAACCACGTCCTTCACCAGCAAGTTGTCCCTGCTCCTCTCCATTGTCAATTGGCTTTTCGGAATACTGATATTCTGGCTAGAGAATATCTCAGTAATACGTTCCTTGAGAGCTTCAATGATGGCGGGCTCGTTGTGCAAAAATATCGTTCTTTTGTCTGGAGTGACGTTCACATCGATAAACTGCGGGTCCAGCTCAAGGTCCAACAAAATTACTGGACACTGAAGATGGTTGAAAGTCTTGTAGACATCGGTGATAGCTTTAGAAAATTGCTGCAGTTTTACAGGCCTGCCGTTCACAAACCAAAATTGCCTGTCGGTAGCTGAGCGTCCCTTTCCAAACGAACAGTTGGATAAATAGCCATGGACGCTCAATAACATGTCACAAGCCTTCAATTTAAACCGTGCTGAAATATTCAATTGGAAATCCACTGGCTCTAGCCCCGCCATACCGTTGGCTCCGAAAACACTCAGCACGTTGCTGCGCAGTTGCTTGGAACCGCTTGTCGCCAGCATAATACCTTTCCTGCCACGCGAATCAACGTGCTGAACAACAAGACGGAGCCCGACTTTAATAAGTGCATAAGATTGCAGCAGAGTCACAGCCTTTTGAAACTCTCGTTTTCCATTCTTGACCAAGTCCGTTTTTCGCACAGGCAGGTTTCTAAATATATCACTGATTAGCACAGTTGTGCCGCAGTTTCGACTCGCTGGCTGCTTGAGTTTGAGCCTACCATGATTATCGTATTCCAGTTTGTATGCCCTGGGCTGGATGCTCTTAGTTGACGTTGTTATGTCCACTCTTGCTACCGCGCACAGCGAGCTCAGAGCTTCTCCACGAAACCCCAAAGTCCTCACATTCGCAACGTCCTCAAATGTCCGCAACTTGGAAGTGTAGTGTTTCATACAAATACCGTCGAAATCCTCTTCGTCGATTCCTGTACCATTGTCGCTCACCTCTATAGAGTCAATCCCGTGATTTTTAAATGTGATGGTGACCTGGGTCGCCCCAGCGTCCAATGAGTTTTCCAACAGTTCCTTCGATGCCGTAGAAAGATCAATAATCACCTGTCCTGAGGTGATATTGTGCACGTCGGCCGTCCCAATTCGTGTTAGGGTCATACGCGTAAAAAATATAAATTTATATGCAACTAAACTTTTCCACTAAATTTTATGATCGATAAGATCATAGAGCTCACACTGGAATTATTGCAATGCATCGTTGAACAAATTTGGTACCATCGTTCAGTTTACCCACCAGAGTCTTTTGAAAATGCTCGTTGCTTTCAACTCCCCGTACACATGTCTCGCCATCCGGATGTCAGACAATATCTGATTGACCTCACTTGTAAAATCAAAAGTCTCCTGGAACGAGGTAAGCTCAACAGAGTTTTTGTTGAGATATACGCGCCAGATTCAGCTGCTAGGATTGAAACTTACGGATTCAGCTTTACGAACTCCCCATTGTTAGAGGCATTGAAAGCCGATGCTGAACTCTCTGACGAGTTCAAGCTTAATGTGCTATACGCCGAGTACCAGGCGTTTTTGTACTCGGTGATCAATCAGCTGGAGACAGCAAGCAAATTGACACCACCTTCATCATTCAAAATCTTGGTCTCAACTGACAACTCTGAATTTAACACGATGCTCTCACAGGACTGGATTCTGCATAGAACTCAGATGGCAACAAGCACGCAGGCTTCAGAATCAGTAACAACGAGAATTCATGATTTCAGACAGGTTTCCCTGCCATATCTAAATATTAAAGGCTACAGAGCCGAACATTTATCATGTTAGCAATACATTCTATTAGTACAACCCACGCTAGTTCAGTTTTGAGGGTGTGTCATCCTTCTTGAACGTGGTGACGTTTTTCAATTGTTTTTTCCAAACGTCCTCCAAAAGCAAGCAGAGCAGCCAAGCGCACAAGAAGTTGAACAGATAATGCAACCAAAATAGGTGGCGTGTGCCGTAAATGAGTGAACATAACGAAAAGTATATGATCACAAACTTGGTAACAAAGACGGTGACCGCAGAAGTTGGCCTGGGGATGATGTTGCCAGCGACGTTGTTCTGCACAAGGAACACGATAGAAATAATGGCCAGGAAATTATGATGCGAAGAAAATGGTGTGGCCCAACGTAGCGAGAAGTTGTGGATCCAGACAATAAGCACCGGAATATTCACCGGTAAAATCCACAGCATTAAAACGAGCAGCGAAAAATTGAAGTTGCGGAAATTCTCCACAGAGACGTGTCTTTGGCCTGAGCTGGCCAAGAACGCACGTATCACGACCGTGCACTGTACCAAACAGCTAACGACATAGGGAAATTGGTAAGGAATGTATAGGGGCACAAGAGCTAAAATCAATGCAGTACCCAATGCACGACGTTTATTGTAATTGCCAGGCATGCCGGGTTTCAGAGCAAAGGGGAAATGCAACTTGCGCATAGCCATAACAATCATCCAAAGCAAAATCTCAAGAAGGTTGTAAAATGCGCATACCAACGACAACGAAATCACAAGTACCACAGGCCCAAAAAACCAGAGTGCTTTTTCTTCTAGACCCAAAAAGTAAAGGTTAACAAAAACGTCCGATTTTGCTATTTCATGCATGAGCGTCTTGTTTCCAAAGTCCACGGGGTCGATGTAACTCAAAAGCCTCTGAAAAAACCTGTGCGAGGCAAACGAAGACAAAACACTCAGTGCAAAAGCCAACGGGAAGAGCATGTGCGGATCACAGAGCATCAATAATCCTTCCCCGAAAGAAGGGAAAACGTCTTCTTTTATGTATCTTCTGAATTGCAGGAAAAACACTAACGTTGTGATAAAAACCGGGAAATTGAAAACTGAAAGCCTGTATTTGAGGACCAGTAATTTTAAGGACTTGAACCAGTTCACGGTCAAATAAATATCCATAATCTGGTCAGAAGCCAAGGAATCACTGAACAGTTGCAATTCTAACGACGATGTATCATCTCTAGTGAAAGGGCAGTATGGAGAAACTCCCTGAATTAATGCAGTTATCGATTTATCTTGATGCAGATTGATATGCCACTTTGTTTCGTCTCTGATTCTCTGGCTGATCATGGGCGAGAATCTTTCCATCTGCGACTGCTGATAGCGTATATCAAAGTTGTATGCAAGTAAACTCGACCAGGCAGAAGGGATTTTGATGCTGATTGACAAAGGCCTGTGAGCAGGCAAAGTGATATCGTATCCTCTACTCAATAGAGTCCATAAGCTGTAATCTCCCAAGACAAGGTCTGTAGACTGAGTGAGCTCCAGGTCTGCAAGAACAAACTCTGGACTTTCCACCGGTACTGGCGACTCAGCAATGACCACAGCATCAAACATCGAGAGCACTCGGGAGTCTAGCTGAATCGAATAGAACGGCTGCTTTTCTCCGCCCAGCGACGACTCACTAGAAGATATGGAGTCGTTGTAGGATCTTGGGATCGCGTGAGCGTCTCGATGAATATCTATGCATTCTAATTGAACTGCCTTACTTGTTGCACCGGTGGTGTAATCAAACTCTTGTTTGAAAGACCGTCCGTCTGGATTCAGAGTTCTGCACAGCAGTATAGATGGCGATGCAATGCCTTCGCCTAAACGAGATATATCCACAGGCTTCAGTGAACTCAGAAAATTGAATTTAAATTTAAGCCCGTCTTTTGGAATGTAAAACAAGTGCATGTCTGGAGATGAGAGCAAGTCCCTTTTCAGCTTAGAGTTAGGAAGTTGCAAACTGCGTTGTCTGGAAGTGTCCTTGAATTGCTTCATGTCAATCTTGAGTTTATACGGCAAATCCAATTTACCTGTGCCGGCTTTGTACGAGTCAAAATCCTGGGTAGCATCAGCTTCAAAGCCAGTGAAGAGGTTTTTGCGCAGGATCTCCATTCTCTTTTGAAGCGGGTACGTCTGCGATACTGATGTTTTGTCAACCAACTGCAGTAGAGAACCAGCTATAACCTTGCGAAGCTGGTCGCACCACACAATAGCGAGGTGATCGATTGGAGTCCAAACTCCAGGGATACCGGTGGTAGCAATCGTGAACCCATTGGTCTCGGGCACTAGTCCTGTCAACGAAGTGTAATCTGCAGGAAGCATGTTGTCAAGAAGTCCACCTGTTATCGACACAAGCGACACGTTCTCCAGTCTTCTTCGTGCAATCTTGCTGAATCCTGAGTCGTCCGAGTCCGGACTGACAAAGCCATGACGCCAGAAATCGTCAGTCGCTGCAAAGACGTGCAACAGCTCCGCATCAAAGGTCGCGGGAGCCGCCACATGGGGGGCAGCTAGTGTGACTATTGTATTGACGGAGTCTTCGACATAATTAGGGAGACTTAGCATCACTCTGGCCACAATCCCTCCCATTGAGTGCCCGACTAGTATCACAGACCGCGCCGGAGTCGGGTTATGTCGATAGAGGCTTAATATAAACCCTATTGCGTCGTTGAGGTACTCAGCCTGGTCCAGCATGGTCCTACCGTGAAATGCTGTAAAATCCTCGTTGAAATCTGCAGCAAAAAAATCGAGGCTGTTCACATTGGGATTAAGTTCTTTGAACTTCTCGAGCTCTGTGTAATACGAATTGGCTGATTGGGAGGCTAAAGACCGCACTTGCTTGTAGCTGCCCGCATTTCCAGGAATAAAGAGCACGGGAGTGCCAGTCAACCTCAGACTCTGGCCGTCATTGTTAGGAAGAGTGTCTCTGCCTTGTTCTCTATAGAGATATAGGGAGTATTTGGAGGCAAACCGTGTATGAGACTCATCAAAGCCATGGACTCGGGCGTAGGCTGGAGACATGTAAACGCTGCGACATCTGGCCGAGTCCGGGCCGTCTAGTTGCTCTAAAAAGCTGAATGCAATGAGCGAGAGAAGGGAGAGGCCACAAAGGGTGAGGATCAAAAGCACGTATCTGGGAGTCACTAGTGTGGGGGGCATGACAAAGTTGAATAAAGCGTACAATAGCAAGTGATGCTAGCAATGGGCAAGGATAGTACAGCCCCACTGGCGGTTGTAACAGCACAGATATTTTTTTGAGCAAAAATAAATATCACACACATCTTTGCACAGAGTATTGGAGATACCCGTGTGCATGATAAACAAGGTGACCAATGTGGAAAACATATTAGCACAGCCCAGATTCTGCCTTTTGGTATGTCCGGCAACATAAAAGCAGAGCACATCGAACGGCAATACCGTGCAATGAGCTTTCCGCATACGGCTGTCTGAGTGGCCCTTTCTGTTCCTCTGCCTTATCCCTAGTTTCCTAATTGGGATTTTTTTTAATGCCAAGAGCAGACGCGTTCCCCCTTATTATTGTCCACCGCGTTCCCTTAAAAAACAATTTCATCCCTCCCAAATTCTCACCAATGTTACGTCTGGGATTTTTGTGTTTGGCGTCGCTGGCGGGAGCTACGCCCTACTCGGGGTTCCCGTTCTCCCAACAGCTACCAGATGTCGCCAGAGTCGGCGAAGAATACGCTTTCACCATCAACAAAGACACCTACAGAAGCGATGAAGGGGCCGTTTCGTACACCGCAGAAAATATGCCTGACTGGCTTACTTTCGACGAGTCTTCCCTCACTTTCTCTGGTATTCCGTCCTCATCTGATGCGACCGACTCGCTATCATTTGATCTAATAGGGACAGACAGCACTGGTACCTTCAACCAGTCTGTGTCGATTGTTGTTTCGAAAGAGGCCGGCCCCGAACTCAAAACGTCTATTTTTTCGCAATTGCAATCTATGGGAAACACCAACGGCTATGACGGCCTTATCATCGAACCCCAGACAGGGTTTGAGGTGCGGTTCTCCAATGACACCTTCCAGATGAGCTCCGGCTCAAGTAATAACATTGTCGCTTACTACGGGAAATCCCTCAACAGAACTTCGCTCCCAAGTTGGTGTTACTTCGACGAGGACACCCTTACGTTTTCTGGAACAGCTCCACCAATCAACTCCGAGATCGCTCCTTCCCAGGAATTCGGCTTTATTTTGATTGCAACCGATTACGAAGGATACACTGGAACATATGGCACGTTCTATCTCCTTGTGGGTGCCCACGAGCTTACAACAAACGTTTCCGGTACTCTGCAGATCAACGCAACAGCCGGACAGTCGTTCAGCGTGGAAGTGCCGCTGCAGGATGTTCAGCTCGATGGTCAAAGCATCTCGTCACAAAACATTTCCAGCGTGAAACTTTACGAAGCTCCTTCGTGGGTTCAGCTAGACTCGAACAACCGACTCACGGGTGACGTGCCCGACGACCAGGACAGCAACCAACTGGTCAATGTGACGGTTACAGACGTGTACGGCAACCAGGTCTTCTTAGACTTCGAGATCGACGTGTACTCCAACATTTTCACTGTTGATGATCTCCCGGACGTGAACGCGACACGTGGAGACTTTTTCGTGTACTCGTTGCCTTCGTCGGCCTTCTCTAACCTCAACGACACGGACATTAAAGCTAGTTTCTCGAACGCTACCTGGCTGACTTACTACTACACCAACCACTCGTTTGCCGGTCTTGTCCCCGACACCTTCAGCAAGCTAGAGGTGACCATTGAAGCTACCATGAACAGTCTTGATGACTCCAGAGAGTTCAACATAAGAGGGGTCGGCACGGTGCGTTCGAGTAGCAGTTCACAGAGCAGCACCTCCACGTCCAGCTCTTCATCGAGCAGCGGATCGCATAGCGGCACCTCTATATCCTCAGTCGTCGCGTCTCCATCTACCACTTCAGGCTCAGGCTCCAGAGAGGGATCTCCCAACAAGAAAAACCTGGCCATTGGATTGGGTGTGGCCCTTCCGCTCGCAGCTCTCTTGGGCGCGCTGCTGATCTTCTTTTGCTGCTGGCGGAGACGCAAGTCTACTGATGACGAAGAAGACGACAACGAGAAGAAGAAGAGCGCGTTCTATATCAACCCTCAAGGAACCGCAGAGACGCTTAAAAACGACTCCGAGGGCGATAACGCCAAACGTCTTTCGGCCCTCAATGTTCTCAAACTGGATGAGTCTGGCGTGCACGATGACTCGTCCTCGCTAACCAATGTCGAAAGCAACCACTCGCGGTCCCATTCCTTATACAACGAGGCCATGAATCACCAGAGCACCGACGAGCTTATTTCCGGCCGCTCGCAGAAAATCACCAAGTCGTGGCGTAACGGCGCCTCGAAATGGAAACCTCGAGATTCTCTTACGTCGCTAGCCACTGTGGCCACGACCGACCTGTTGACAGTCAGAGTTGCGGACGATCCAAACATGCAGCGCAAGTCGCAGAGCATTTTCATGAACAGAAACTCGTCATATGTCTCCTCAGGTTCGGGGAACTATGTGAATTATGACCAATCCTCGTCCAGCGAGTACGTGGATGCGACCGATCGCCCGCGAGACTTGGCGACTCTGAACGAAGAATTTGGTCGTGAGTTTTCTGACTCAACGCTCAGCAAAACCAGCGCAAAGTTCGTGGACGTACAACGTAAGGGATCGGAAGCCGTCAATATTCCGAGAGATGAGCGGTCGTTTGAGGGAGTGATCGAAAACACTTCCAACAGCTCGATGCTATAATTTTCACTGGTGATTTAGTTCTCGCGTACATGTATTAATTGATCAATATATTTTAAGCTTAAAGTGAATAGTATTCAGCAATAAATATATAAATATGGCTAGGCTCTTCTGGAGAGCTTTAGCTGCTGGGCATACGCTGCAGTATCATATGTACGACGACGACCTTCCACATAGTCCATCATCTCTCCATAGGTTTCCGGGATCACCGAGCAGTATCCAGGGTCGTCAAACTCTCCGTTACCGTCACGAGGAACATAGAAAGAATAGACGAAAGTTCCGCTTTCAGTCATCTTGGAATCGCCCAAATTCCGGATCTTGGTCTCGACTTTGACCTGGATCAACGTTCCCGGTACAAAGAAGTACTCCTGCTCATCCGAACTCAGCTCATTAGCACTGGTGTCGTAATCCTTCAAAACCTGCATCATCCGCTTGGCCGACTCAGAAGATTCGTCTTTTTCGTGGATGTGTTCTGTATAGCAAACCTCAGCATCCATATACAGCACAGAACCAACTGGAACGGGAACTTTGAAGGTGGTGTTGTCCAGAGAAATGAACCGTGCATTGGATTTGGAGAACGCACCAGCAGCACAGTAAGCAAGCTCAAAGGTCTGTCTGAGCAAGTAGCCTCCGAAAATGACACCATGACGGTTTCTGTACTGCGGTTGCTGGATCTGCGTGGAAGAAAGCCGTGTGTCCTTCATGAACACGATGTTGCTTGGCTTGCCCTGTTGGGCAAACTTCTTCGACGAAGTGTATAAATTATGAATCATCTTGGATTCCTGCTCTGTTGGGGGCACGTTTTCAAGAGACTCCAGCTTAGCACGTAGCTTTTTGGCGGCGATTCTGCTCTCAGCGCGTTTGAAGTCGACCCACTCCTTCTCTGTTGCGGGAAGCAGCTTGTTGACGGCGTGGGATTTATGAGTAGCTGGGTTTCTTGCAACGAATGTGAAGTTAGCAGAGAGGAAGCAGTCGTTCTTGTATTGCTCGACAAAATCTGGAGTGATTTCCGAGGGAATGTCGTGCTCGAAAGAGAAGCCTTTGATGCAGATCTCCATGGAAGACCTCCCGGTGTAGGTCACATATCCGACGATGACGAAATTGTACTTGTGAATCTCATCAATTTTTCTGGTAACGTAAATTCTGTCAATCGACGCTGTCACATTCATAGGCTCTGCCGGCTTGCAATGCCTGGCAGCAACTCTTCCTGCCAGCGAGTCGCAATCCTGAAAAAGGTTTCCGAATCTCAACCTTCCTGCAACATTGACATAGTTGTCCATGAGGAACGGATCCTGTTTGAATGGTAGCAAAAGATACGAGAACCCATCGGCTCTTGTTCTCTCGAATATTTCTGTGGTTTTCACGTCCTCTAAAGTGAAGGAATCAATGTCCTTCCCCTCTTGAGCCCGCTCCTTCTGCTTCTTCAACAGCTCCCACCAGGTGGCACGATCCTTGCTGTCCATGATACGTTTGTGAAAATCAATTGCCTCGGACAGGATAGTCGCGTTAGCGTCTGCAGAATCCTCCGGGTGATGAGAGTTGTCATTAACTCTGTAGGCAGAGTTGGGCTCAGCGGTGCTCTTGAGACGGGCCGGAACCGCGAAACGTGGATTCCGCGAAATCTCGCCCAAGAAGCGTGGTTTGAAGGCTAGTCTCAACATGATTAAGAGATTAGAAAAACACAACCTTTTTATAGCTTTAGTGTTCAACCAAATTTGCGATATTTTTAATTATATAAACACCAGACGGGGTAAATAAGTTGAATCGGAAATGATAACTTACCTGGTGTGGAACCAGCTTTCCGGGATCGTGCTGTCGGCAATTACGTATGTCACGCTGATCAACCATTCTTTCACCCTGCCCTTCTCCAGCATTGCTGTAGTGTCGCTACTACAGAACGCCTCTAGGACGTGCCATCTCCAGGGAGCGCCTTTTAGCCTTCCTCTTCTTAATCATCTCGTTGGCGGGAAAACCCAGCCTTCCGCAAGGACACTACTGCACACAATTGTGCTTCTTATTATCTGGTTACTTTTCATCCCGTCAAAACAGCTGAGTGGGTGGGCATTTGCGGCCACAGGACTCAAGGCGCTCGAGCTGGCCTCGTGCGAGCTGTTCACGTACCTCGACTCGTCTGTGCTGCTCGAGCTGCTGCTGTTCAAGCAATTAATGGCAGTGTTCTCCACGATTAGATCCATCACCGATCTCCCGGCGGTTTTATCCGAGATATATGCGAGCCCGGAGCTGGAAACAAAGGTGGCACTCTACATTGCAAAGAACTACGCTGTCTCGCTCGTGTACAACTACCTACTCATCAACTACACACCTGCCACCAACTCCATCATCGTCGCCTACATCCAAACATTGGGAATAATTTTGTCAACGAGGATTTTTCCAACCTGGGGCTATTTGCCAGGGACGTTCGTATTTTGAAAACAATTAAACGAGGTAAACGATCGACAGGATATAAAAAATAAACGAAAAAATAAATCGTACTATTTAGCTTTTCGGATCACATCATATATATAAAGCCTGTTGTTAGGACTCACTTGGAATACCTCGTTTCTGATCCTCATTGGCTTGAAAGCTTATTGTCGTGTTTAATTCTCTCATTTAAGTTACCATAGGTTCGTCCGCTACGTCCAGATGGATATTGTGCTAGAGATTTGCGACACCTTCGTGTTCGACAAGGTGTTCGCCACTTTGCTGCCAAGCTCTTTGGCACGCTACATGCCGCAAAAACCCAAGGCTATTGACAACCTGGCTGAATTTATCAACAACGGCACTCAGGCCGCTATTGCCTACTCCGAGGCCGCAAACTTGCCACAGATCTTCAGCTTCAACAAGGAGATCTACGGCGTCAACAACAAGTACCACTTCTTTGACGAGAGCCCTTATGCGCACTTGTCTCTGTTGGGAAGATCCAACATCATCAGGCAGTCGATTTCCTTGTTTATCATCATGACCATTTTTGGTTGGCTGCTCTATTTCAGCGTGGCCGCTTTGTCGTACCATTTTGTGTACGACAAGTCCAACTTCAATCACCCAAGATATTTGAGGAACCAGATGTCTTTGGAGATCAAACAGGCCACCAGTGCCATACCGGTCATGGTGATTCTCACGATTCCTTGGTTTTTGCTCGAGCTACACGGCCACTCAAAACTATACTATGAGGTTAACGAGTCTACTGGTGGATGGTGGGCCCTGGTGTATCAACTACCAACCTTCATCATGTTCACTGACTGTGGTATCTACTTCATCCATAGATGGCTGCACTGGCCGTCAGTGTACAAAGTGCTGCACAAGCCTCACCACAAATGGATTGTCTGCACGCCCTTCGCATCCCACGCCTTCCACCCGGTCGATGGCTATGCGCAGTCGCTGCCATACCACTGGTATCCGTTTTTGTTCCCTCTACACAAGATATCATACCTTTTGCTGTTTACATTTGTGAATTTCTGGACCGTCATGATCCACGATGGTGAGTACATGTCAGACGATCCTGTTGTGAACGGAGCTGCTTGCCACACCATCCATCACATGTACTTTAACTACAACTACGGCCAGTTCACTACTCTTTGGGACAGGCTGGGTGGTTCTTACAGGAAGCCAGATAAAGAGCTGTTCAGCAAACAGACCAAAAAAGATAAAAAATACTGGGCCAAGCAGACTCAGAACACGGACAAGATCCGGTCCGAGCTGGAGGGTGACAAGGACGACAGAGAGTACGGTACAGAGGAGGCCATCCTCAAGAAGAGAACGGGATTAACGAAATGATGAACTAAACCGCTATTGGATAGCATGTATAGCCTTGTGTTAGTTGCTGTGTAAGGATTTCGACTGCTATGGGAATTTGAACGTTGTATGAATAAAAAGATATTTCTATCAATCTCTAATTATTGGCAGCAATTTTTTTGCCAGTGCGATGCATTTCTCCTCCTCGTATCTGCGGCAAACGAGCTGCAGCACGATTGGCATGCCGCGGTAGAACTCCTTGTCATAATATTCCCAACACAATCTGTCCGCCTCCCCTGCGAAATCTGTCCTCTCGAACGGCTCGTCTGAGTCTCTCACGTGAGAAACAGGAAGCGTGATTACAGAATAGTCCAAGACATTGAGGAATCTGGTGTAGATGTTGGCAATCTTGTAGTGTTCGCCGATCTTCCAGGAGGTGCAGGCCCAGCCCGGCAAAATAATGCAGTCCACGGGTTTGCCGTTTTTGGTGTGATGAGCGGTGTCGTTCCAAAATTTGTCGTACGTTTGTTGGTACTGATATTTTTGACCGACTTTGTTGAAAACGTCATTCAGGTCAAAAACCTGGCCATTCAGCTGGAACATCTTGACGAGCAGTTCCGGCAACGGCTCGCCCCCAAGAGCAGCAAATTTCTTGATCTCAGCAAAATCATCGCAGGTATAGATGTCGGTCAAAAAGGTAGCCATCTCGGCGTGGTTAAGAGGAGGCTCGACGTCAAGACAGTCAATACCGTGCTCTTGCAATGATTTCTCTGCGTGTTCCAATGCACGCAGAATTGGTGGGTGTGGCATGACGATCTTGTCCCAGTGCATGAAGCCAACGTTTATGATATCAAGATTGACACTTCTCCATGGAATAGGAGGCACTTTCGCATCCTGGAACCATGGCTGAGCATCAAGCACCACTTTAGAAACATATTCCATGTCCTCCAGGTACCGACACATTGGTCCTGCCACAGAAGGGACAATAGGCTGGTTTGGATACGAATTGGAAGTTCCCAGATACGGGAACCGGTTCGAGCAAGGTCTTAGTCCAAAGAGGCCGCACTGCGTAGAGGGGCCACGAATGGATCCTCCAATGTCAGTTCCCATGCCAATCACCGACCCTTTCCCAGCCAACAAAGCTGCTTCTCCTCCGCTGGAGCCACCAGGACACTTGCGTCTGTCAAACGGGTTCCTGGTAACTCCCAGGTTCGACGATGTTTCGCTGCCAAACATTGCCATCGGCACGGTCGTTTTAACATAGAAAATGGCGCCCGCATCGTACAGAATGCGGGCAAGAAGCGACTCCTCGTCTGGGGTTTTCTGCGAGACAATGCACTCCAACTCTTCAGATATATGCGGAGCCACATATCCCAAGGAGGTGGTGATCCCTTTGAGATTGAACTGGTCTTTTAAGGAAATAGGGATTCCGTGCAGAGGGCCCACAAGCTTGCCGGTTTCCTGGAAGTATGCATCCAGCTCCCTAGCACGTTGCAGGGCTCTGTCGTAGAATATCTCAATCAGACAATCAGTGAGCTGGTGAACAAGGGCAGAACGGTGGCAGAATGCCTCACAGACTTCCAAGGCCGAGAGCTGTCCGGACTTGATGTTCTTCAGGAGCTCCAGAGCAGAGACATTGGTAATCCACAGCTCCTTTGAAGATAGGAGCGGTTCTATGTATGGCTCCACTTCTTGCTGTTCCTCAGGGGAAGGAATGTACTTGAGGCGCCAGTCAGCTGGGATCTTGTCTAGATTGGATGCATGCTTCAGTCTGATGACAGTTCTGTAGTCTGCCGTCATCGCGATGCAACAAATTTTTACTGCGATCCTGCCATGTAACAAATATCGATGCAATCTACTCCTTGCACCATGTCAGGTGTCATTCATCATAACATTAACGCGTATCAACATAAAAGGAATAAAAATGCCAGATTCAGGGCCACCACGGCAATCAGCGACTCGAGATTGAACGGCTGGAATCTGTCGATGGGGTCAGACTCCAACGCGAACGGCGCGGAGACCGTTCTCGTGGCGTCTGCCAGGGTCTGTTTTTTCTGCGAGTATTCGACGTACAGAAGAGTCACCACGACCATCACCACAACATGAACTACCACCACGGGCATTCCTAACCAATTAAACGCATTTATTGAGTTTCCACGTGTTTTGAAACTAGGCATTCGACCAAGCGATATGTGTAATAGTAGACTGCAATCAGGCACGGATCAGGGCAGCCTTGAATCTTTTCTAGAGACCAGTACCGTGTTCTCACTCTTTATAGCAACGTACAATTCACAACCCAGCAGCGTGCGGGTACGCGATCATGATCCTCAGCCGATTTGAAAATTTCAGTCCGGAAACAACAATCCAAGAATTTATTGAAAATCTGCGACCTGTGCATTTTATTTATTGTGTCTAATATACACTACTCAATAAAAGGGTTCTCGGGATCTTTGACCGGGGAGGATGCGATCTCGGGTGTTTTCTCGGGCAGCTGCGACTGTAGTTGTGGTGCTTCGTCCATCGTCGTGGACTCCTGGTTCAACATCGACGAACTAAGTCCATAGTCGTTGGTAGCACCAGAAACGCCGGGCAGCGGTGCTGTCTGGTACGAAAAATCTGCCGTCGTCGAGGCCAGCTCCGACCGGGCAAAATTGAGAGCAATCTCTGTACCCTTTGTGTTGCGCAGCAGTCTACCCCCTGCACCGTACTTTGGAGATTTGGGGAACCGTTGCTCGTCGTCGTCCTCCTTCTGCGGGCTCCGTGAGCCTTTTCGCACTGGCGACAAGTAGGCGGCCGATTTGAGCACTGGTGGCTCCTCGATAGGCGACGAATCGTACTGTGTAGCTATTGATTTTTGCTTTTTCCGCACAGGGCTCAAGGTCTTTTTCTTCGGGCTCTTAGTCAGTTTCCATTGTGTTTCCGGTAGTTGCACCGTTGAGGCGTCAAATATATTACTGGTCGTCAGCTCATCAGGCACATGCAATTGTTTTCCTGCCTGCTCGCGCTCCACGTCATCGGACCGCAGTTGCACAGCTGGCAACAAGCTGCTCGAGTCTTGATCGAATCCTGGTTTCCTATTCGGCGTGGAGCTTGCTAACCGCTTCCGAGTACCTTCTTTCCACAAAGAAACCGTGTCTGTGGCCGTCGTTGACGTCTCATTTTCCGCATTGTCAATGTGCTCTTTGTATCGCTGATTGATCTCGTTGAATTGGGAGTTGTTCGTCGCCGCGAGAGTCGGCTCGATCGCAGGCTCCTGTTCCTGTTGCAAAGCAGTCTTGTTGACCTCCTCCGTGGTGATTTCCACATTTGCGCTGTTCTCAAAAAAGGTCTTCCAGAACTCCACGTTACTCCAGATCTTGCTACTGCTGTGGCGAAACTTTGCTAATCGCGGTATCACGCTCTCGTTGATGATGCTATTCGAAACGCTTAGATTTTTGTCAATTTCTTGCAATGTCAACGTGATCTCCTGCTCGATCTTGCTGAGCTGCTCTAACTCTTGTGACCGCGTGGACGAAGACGACGAGAAATAAAACGATCTCCGAGACATGGTACGCGTACGCGTGGTGATTATTTTCAAATCATTTTTCCAGTCCGGTGCAGCGTCGCCGTCGCCGAGTCGATTTTCACCTAATCCGTTTTTCATATATTTTTTGTTACTATGGGTAATCTGATGTCAACTTCGTTTGCTCCAGAGTGTACGGACCTGAAGCAGAAATACGACGCCTGCTTCAACTATTGGTATACAGAAAAGTTCCTCAAGGGCAAGAGTGTTTACAACGAATGCGAGGATCTCTGGGCCGACTACAAAGAATGCATAGATATCCACCTTCAGAAACAGGGAATCAAACCAATGCTGGACGAGGCACGTGAAGAGGCACCTTTTGAGAACGGTGGGATTCCTGTCGATAAATCCGATGAAAAATAACATCTTTTGTGCTGTACATAGCGAAATATTATTTTTAGTTATATTCGTCGTAATCGTCCTTGAGCTGGACGTCTTCTCCATCCAGATCCACCTCATCATCGCTTGAATCACTCTCTCCCACCGGAGCTAGTCCAGGAGTAAGTCCCGGAACCGAAATAAGTCCCTTCTTGACCTTGGCTTGGAATTGATCTTTCTTGACTTTGCTCTGTCTAACCTTTTTGCGTCTAGAGTTTTCCTTGTTGCGCAGCCTGATAATTTTGAGTTCCAGTTGCCGCAGTTCTCTTGCGTCGCTGTGCTCCCACGACTTGACTCTTCGCACGTTCTCTGCAATGGCATTTTCCACTTCTTCCATGTCACCCGTCTGTAATCTTGCAAGCTTTTCAACCCGAAGTTCTGTTTCCTTAGCTTTTCGAATAGCTGCGTTACGTTTCTTGTCCATTTTCGAGCGCTCGCGAGCGGCAACGTGCCGATTTGCGTCCCAATAGTCCATATTTTTCCGCACTTGTGCGATGGCTGCTGCCCCGCCACGCTTCTTCTCATGAACATCTACTCCTGGAAGATGCTTTGCTAACAGCGCGTTCAGTCCCTGTTCGGCACGCCCCCGTGTCTTGTCAGACACAAATTCTACCATAATGAATAATATACGAAGCTCTAATTTTTTTTTTTTTATCGTAGTGCACATCAACTAAATCTTCCTTGTAGTCTTAAAGTAACTAGTGACTCTCTCCTTATCGTCGTAGTACTGGTCATTTTCCAGCTGTGATAGATCCTCGTACTTTGGTCGAGTTTTATCCTCTGTGCGCTCGCCACGAAGATGAAGGTCCTGTTCGAGCCAGATAAGTGCTAGGGGATATATTGATCTTGATTTTGGCACCTCCACCGCAAGCTCCGTCTCCAGCACTGTGTCTTCGCTGTCCTTGTATTTAACACTGTCCATCGAATGCTTGGCGACAATGCACCCGCCACGGAAATGGATAATTTCGCTCGCCCAGTCGCCCAAACCGTCGAAAATATGTGTGGCGTACACGATGGTGGCTTGTCGTTGTTCAGTTTCCTGGCGCAGAAATGTCAGCAACCGCGACCGCACCAAAACGTCCAGGTCCACGGTAACCTCATCTAGGAGTAGCAGATCCCACGGCTTCAACAGCCCCATACACAGCTGAACTCTGCGACGCTCTCCATCCGAGCATTGGTTCATTCTCCAGGTTATGTCAATGTCCAGCATATTTATTAACAGATCTCTACGTTCTTTGTAGTTGGTTCCTCCAACAGAGTCAATAAGCACTGTGACCGGAATATCTCGCTTTGTAATATCGTTAGACGCCCATTCAGTGCCCAGGTATGTGATGACGCCTGAATTGCCTGCAGAGGCCAGTTTGAACGGGTCTCTGCCATTGAGTAATAGCCTTCCCTGTCTTATGAGTTTTTGGCCTGCTAGGACACGAAGCAGAGTCGACTTTCCGGCCCCATTTGGCCCAACCAGTAAAACACGCGACCCGGGCTTGATGTCAAGGTTGATGTCGTAAAGCCCGACTTTGTTGGATGGGAAGGTGTAGCAAAGATTTTCTGTGTAAATGGACATTTGACAAAAAAAACAATTTTGATATATTTTGTCTAATGAACTCTAACGACATATTCGACGAGGAAATCGACCTAAACGAAGAAGAGGAGGAAGAAGAAGAAGAAGTGGACGAGCCGTCTGTGCCCGAAGATCAGGAGGAAGACGATCAGGACGACGATGAGGAAGGAGATGAGGACGAGGAGGAGGAAGAAGACGGCGAAGGTGATGACGACGAAGTAGAAATGGACGTCGATGAGCAAGAGCCTTTGCAGGAGCAACCCGTTGCTGAGGTTGACGAAAACGGGAAAGAGAAACCTGCGGAAAAACAAATAAAGGAGAAATCAACAGTCAGCGTTCGACAGTCGTTGATAGAGCGTGCGCGCAACCTGAACGTGCTGGAGATCTACCCCATCGTTGCAATTCCGTATTCTTCACCAGTGCACTCAATTGCGCTTACCAAGGGTCCTCGATGGCTTTTCACCGGCGGAGAGGATGGATTTATTCGAAAATTCGACCTGTTTGGGTCGGTGGAAGGAAAGTCGCCGCTCACTTCTGCCCAGAAGCACCAATTGGTGGATTCCATCTCCTACGGAGGAATGCTTTGCTCGTATTGGGAGAACGAGCAGCCATACTACAAGGACGAACTGCTGACGGAGCTGGCTTCGGAGCAGCTGAAAAATTCGAAGACCAAGACAAAAAAACCTGTTAGCACGACAATCACCACGTTTGAGCCACGCATTTCTCCCGTGTACTCGCTGGCAGTACAGTCGGAGTCGCACTGGCTGCTAAGCGGTTTGAAAAGTGGCGGGATCACTCTCCAAAGCGTGCGCTTCAACGAGGGTGCAATCCAGTATTATTTCAAGCACGGCAAGTCCGAGCACTCTCATAGCGACACCGTCTCGTGTTTGCAACTCAACAACGACGAAAAGCGCTTTTTGAGTGGATCCTGGGACATGAAAATCCTCGAATGGGATCTCAACACGGGCAAGACCATCAACCTATTCAACCAGTCCAAAGGACAGATCTCGCACATAGAATATAGACCTGTTGGCGGAGTGGACTTGCCGATAAATCAGGGAGATGACGACATGGACTCGCTTTTTGGAGACGACGAGGAGGATGCCAAGAGGCAGCAGGAAGAACACGGCTCGATTAAACAGGACATTGAGAAGATCCAGCAGGTTGCCACCCAGACGGGTATGGCAACTGAAATCCGGCGGTCTGATCACGTGTTTCTCTCGTCGGCAGTCAACGGCACCGTCAATGTGTGGGACTCGCGGCTGCCAACAGCGTCGAACGACGTGTCGACCATCAGCATACTGCCAGGATCCACGCCGTGGTGCATGTCTGCTGTGTGGTCGAACAACGGCAACTCGATCTACGTGGGCCGACGTAACGCCGTGGTGGAAGAATACGATATTCGGCGAACAGATGAGGTCAAGCAGCAAATCAAGTTCCCACTCGCGTCGGGCCCTATCAGCGTGGTCAAGACGCTACCAAATGATAATTATCTACTCTGCGGCTGTCAAGACAACATTCGACTTTACGACCTGCGGCTCTCTAGTAGCGCGCAGTCAGAGGAGCCTTCAAAGAAGAGGAAAAAAATACCGTTCATGATTGTGCCCGGCCACAACGGCGGCATCTTGAGCGATCTCTATGTCGATCCTACGTGTCGATTCATGGTGAGCTCGAGCGGAAATAGGGGCTGGCAGGGCAAAGCAAGCGACTATGTTTTCATCTATGAGATACTGGGAACCTGAGTCTAGAGCTTTGCCTTAAGGTTCTCGCTAGCAAGGGCCTCTTTGAGCTCACGAGCTGCCAGACCAAGGTAGTAGACCATCTTGTCAGCCTCCAACCCTAGCTGGTTGTTCTTGAACACGGTCACATTCACATGCAGCCAGTCATTGTTCACCATATAGGCAAGGCCAAGACCTTCTGGCACGACTGGTGCCCAACCGTACCCGTTGAACTGTTCCGAACTGAGTTGGGAGGTTGACAGGTACCAGTATGACGAGTACGCAAAGATGGGATCTTTGAAAAAGTCGTGTTTCTCCTCCTCGCACATTTGCGCAAGACCAAACAGATGTCTGTCGACTCCGCGACCGTCGGAGGCAGCAGTGATGTACTCGACATGCGCAGAAGCTGCGTTGCGGAAAGCAGCGATTTTCTGCTCCTTCGTGGCCGAAACGTCCTCCCACGTTCTCACAAAATGTAACGACTCGTTAGAAACTGAACGGCACGTTTCTGTGCGGCCTGCAAAATATTTTCTCGTGGACGCAGACTCATACGTGGGCCTTACAGTGCCCGTGTACTTGTAATAGGCCAACTGGATAAGCATTTGGATGAACGCGTCGGGCGATGCCTTGAACAACTTGATATGCGATTTTCCGAGCCCGTGGAACTGCCACACACGCAGGTCCAATGCGTTGACAGTTTTGTCAAAAGATGCTTTGGCATCCTCAATGGCGGTTTGTGTTTTCGGGGACACGTCAAACTGAAGCTCTCTGAAAAGCGGCGTGCTGTACGTGTCCTCCGGAGGCTGCATTTTTTCCAGCTCACGCACCAGCCAGTCGTTCATCCGGAGAGTCGGAGTGCCGTCCATCTTGGAGTGCTCACCAAGAAACCCTGACGTGCCATTTCGAGAAACAAAAAATTGTACCGGCTTGTCGAACCACCTGTTGGTTCCGTTGCCGTGCCACGCATTGCGAGACTGCTGCTCGATCGTCGTTGGATAGTCGTCGTCGAGACAGAGCACGAACGATGACGCCTGAATTGCCCGCAACGACTGCTTGTTTACCGGGCTCTTCGCAAGCTCTGCATAGTTTGTAGCCCACACATCGCGATTTGTGGACGTGAGCGCACCGACCGCATTCTTCACCGGTGGCAGTGTGTCTGAGTGGGTCCTAATGGCCTGGATGTTGGCAGCGAGATCTGCCAGCCCAACACGCTCTCCGTCCACATGGTGGAGCAGTTTGTAGAATCTGTTGTTTGCAATAACTATCATGTATCTGTTTTGCTCGGGACTAAAGCGTGGATTTGCGTCTCTGTCTGGCTCTGGCACCCTGCAATTGTTAAACATCCACTTAAAGCTTTCCATACAGAACGGGTTATTTTTGATCAGCTCGGGTTCCAGTGTCTCTTTCTCTATGGCCTCCATGAAGTCAAGCGCCTTTGATGCCAGGCATGCGGCCTTGGTGACTTGATCCTTGCCTATTTTGGAATTGAGCTCTTTGTGGTGGAAAAAGTAGGACACAAACGGCGAAACAGGGTCTCTGTAGGTGAGATACGCATAATCGTCCCACCAATGCGACAGCCAGTTGCGTTTATCGGAGGCAAACTGCTCGAGCTTTTGCTGGAGCTTCGGACCCTGTGTTTTCGCAAAATCGTCAATCACAGAGCAGTACCGCAGATACTCAGGGTCGCTCGCTCCGCGCACATAGTACGGCTGGATGGACCTCTTGTACCGTTCGAGCGTCTTGCTAAGAGGCGGCACCGGCAGAGATGGCAGCCGGTCCTGGTGCTCGAAGAGTGAGCCTTTTGAGGTTCCGGACTTGTGTCTCACAGTCATCCGCAGAGTCTTGAGCATTGGCGAAGAAAAACTTATCGTGGGGTATTTATATTTGACAATTGGCATGTGATACATAGATAAGAGAAATACCAGCGGCGCTGTGCTTGAGCACTGCAATTTAGGTTCCTTTATACGCACGAAAAAGGGTCACGTCCCGCATCCTGTATCTATCACACAATAATGCTGATACTGCCGTCCAGGGCCATCTGTGGGGTATCCTCACACCCGAATACGTCATGAAAAAAGATCAAAAATCATGACAGGGTCTAGACCAGAATATATAAAGGTCAGGCCATGCACGCCCTCAAGACACTTAGCAAGTCGTCGTGAGGGAAATTATTGGACTCGTCTTGGAGACCTAAATCGCAGATGTAGCCGAAATTGTTTTTTAATGCTCTTTATATTCCTTCTTCTCGCAGTGGCACAAGCCGTACACTCTCCAGGAGTGTGTGCGATGTACGGCTCCGGGGGCAAGAAATCGCTCTTTGGCGGCAACCTCCCGGCCCCGAACAACTCGGCGGCGCAGCTTCTGAGCGCACAAGACCACTCGTTGCTGGTGTCGATTTGCGGCGACACTTGGGAACAGGAGCAGTATGCCTGTTGTGACAACGACCAGTTAAACGATCTCCAAACAAAGCTCCACAAGGTAGAGCCCCTGATCAGCTCGTGTCCAGCCTGCAAGGACAACTTCTTCCAGCTGTTTTGCCACTTCACCTGTTCCGCAAACCAATCCACGTTTGTCAACGTGACAAGAACAGGCACGTCTCTGTCGGGCTTGCCAATCGTGGCAGAGGTTGATGTGGAGGTGGACGCAGCAATGGCTTTGCAATTCTACGATTCGTGCAAAAACATAAAGTTCAGTGCCACTAATGGATACGCCATGGACCTTATTGGAGGAGGAGCCACAAACTACTCGCAATTTCTCAAGTTCTTAGGAGACGAGAAGCCGATGCTGGGCGGCTCACCATTCCAGATCAATTTCCGCACTCAAAACGACTCCGAGCTGGTGCCGTTGGCGCTGGCGTTCCATGCTTGCGACGACGAAGACGAAAACTTCAGATGTGCCTGTGCAGACTGTCCCGGCTCGTGTCCCTCGCTGCCCGAGCTCACACGACAACAGTCCTGTCGAGTCGGAGTGCTCCCGTGCTTCTCATTTGCGGTTGTCTTGGTGTATTCGCTCGGTCTGGCGTTGTACATGGGGCTATACGCGGTAGCCGTGGCTCGGACGCGTTCTCAAATGCTGTTCCTCAGCCAGCTCGAGTCTCCGGCATTTACAGGCTCCGACACAGAGCTGCTCGAGGGGTCCGATGACCAGTTGGACAACTTCGACCACTACATGGCCAAGGACTCGTATATTGTCAACAATGTGCTGGAGAAATGGTTTGCCAAGTTGGGCCTCAAGTGCTCGCAGAGACCGTGGCTGGTGATTGGTGTGTCGCTTGGCGCGTCGTTGCTGCTATCCTTGTTTGTGTTCATGATCCAGCTCGAGACTGACCCAGTTAACCTCTGGGTCAGCCCAACGTCTACCTCGTACCTCGAACGCAAAGTGTACGACCAGAGTTTCGGTCCGTTTTACAGGACACAGCAGATCTTTCTATCCAATAGCACTGGTGACTCTGTGCTCCAGGACTACAGAGCCATCAAATGGTGGTTTGCAAAGGAGCAGGAGATTCTTGCTTTGACAGCCCAGGTCGATAACACGACTGTCGCATACGATGACCTGTGTTTCAAGCCCCTGGGCGATACCTGTGCAGTGGAGTCCTTCACACAGTACTTTTACGGTGACATCGGTCAGCTGCCCGAGAGCTCGTGGCAGACCAAGATACAGAACTGCGCGGACTCGCCCGTCAACTGTCTGCCGTCGTTCGGCCAGCCACTCAAGCCGCAGCTAGTATTTGGTGGCTTTGCCGACTCTGTGCTGTCTGCCAAAGCGCTCGTGATCACGCTATTGCTCAACAACAACAACGATCCGCACGATCCTCAGGTCAAGAGCTCATTGGCGTGGGAAGCTGTGCTGGAGAAGTATCTGTTCGAGCTGCAAGTTGAGGCACGTGCTCGTGGACTCGAGGTTAGCTTCAGTACCGAGCTCTCTCTCGAAAAAGAACTCAACAAGTCCACCAACAGCGATATCCGCATTGTCGTCATCTCGTACTTGGTGATGTTTGCGTACGCATCGATTGCACTGGGTAGTGGAGGCCAGAAGCACCAGATGAACGTCGAGTCCGGCTCGCCGCTTGCATTTCTAATCCGTACGCGTTTTGGCCTCGGTCTGGTGGGTATCTTCATTGTTCTGCTCTCGGTGGTCGCTTCGGCCGGATTCTGGAGCCTGTTTGGCCTCAAGTCGACGCTCATCATTGCTGAGGTCATTCCGTTCCTCGTGCTGGCCATCGGCGTCGATAATATCTTTCTAATCGCCAACGAACTCCACAACTGCAACCATCTCAACTACAACAACGACAACATCCATGTGCGTATGTCTAAGACGATGGCCAAGATCGGCCCCAGCATCGTTCTCAGCACCTCATGCCAGTTCATATGCTTTCTTCTTGCCAGTTCCGTCGGGATGCCGGCCGTCAAGAACTTTGCGCTGTACTGCGCTCTGGCTGTCGTACTCAACTCGGCGCTGCAGCTTACTGCGTTTGTTTCTGTGCTCTCTTTGGACCAACAACGTGTCGAAGACCTACGCTTGGATTGTTTACCCTTCATCAAGCTGGATGGAAATTACCGCCCGGTCTCGTTGCCTGAGGACACTCCGGACAATCAGGAGGGCCTATCGCAGCTTCTCGAATACTCAAACGACAACATGTTCAATAAATTTGTGCACAACTACTATGCTCCGTTGTTGTTTCACCGCAGGGTGGTTAAATGGAGTCTGGTGTTTTTCGCACTGCTGTTCGGCGTGTCTCTGTCGCTGCTGCCCGGAATTGAGCTTGGATTTGATCAACGCATAGCCATCCCGTCAGACTCATATCTGATTGACTATTTCAACGCCGTCTACGATTATCTTGAAGTGGGACCTCCAATATACCTGGTTGTGTCCTCGTTGGACGTTACAAAGCTGGAAAACCAGCAAAAGCTCTGCGGAAGATTCACTACTTGCGACGAGTACTCTCTGGTGAACGTTATGGAGCAGGAGTACAAGCGCGGGGAGTTGAGCACAGTTAGTGACCCTGTCAGCAGCTGGATAGATGATTTTCTACTATGGCTTAACCCCGATCTCACAGATTGCTGTCGGGTGAAGAAATCGAATGAGTCCGAGTTTTGCACACCGAACTTACCCTCTAGACAATGCGCAGTATGCTACGAGGACAAAGAATGGAGCTTCAAGATGGAAGGGTTCCCTGAGAACGAAGATTTCATGCGTTTTTTCAACGAGTGGATTGAGTCGCCTTCTGATCCGTGCCCGCTGGGAGGAAAAGCTCCATACTCGAGCTCAATTTTGCAGGACGAAAATCGTGCGATAGTGCGGTCCGCATTCCGCACGTCGCATGTCCCGTTGAGGTCGCAAAAGGATTTTATCAACGCATATCACCAGTCCCTACGCATAGTGAAGGAAATTAAAACGCGCATGAACTTGGACGTCTTTGCTTACTCGCCATTCTACATTTTCTTTACCCAGTACGAGACCATCGTTTCACTAACATTCAGACTACTTGTATCTGCGCTGATTCTTGTCTACGTGACCAGTTCGTTCCTCCTCGGCTCGTTCCGAAATTCGATGATTCTTGTGGTGAACATTGTTTCGATCCTTGTCAACATTGGTGGGGCCATGGTTCTCGGTGGTATCTCGTTGAACGCCGTGTCGCTCGTCAACATCCTGATCTGTCTGGGCCTTTCTGTGGAATTCTCCATCCACCTGGTCAAGGCGTTCAATTTCACCGAGGATGATGCCAAATCAGACCCCTTTTCGCGAGCATACAACGCGCTGATTTTCATCGGGGGCTCGACCCTGAGCGGGATTACGCTGACGAAATTTATTGGGATTATGGTTCTAAGTTTCACACGGTCCAAAATATTCCAGATCTACTATTTCCGCATGTGGTTCAGCCTGATCGTGCTAGCATCCATACATTCCCTGGTGCTGCTGCCGCTGCTGCTGAGCATCTTTGGCGGAAAAGGCTACCAGGTCTCGAGCTTCGCCAACTCCAACAGTCCGGAGGTGGTGAGACGTCTACGTCAGGAGGAAAATGTGTCATAGTGTATCATTCGGTGCGTTCCTTAAATGTTCCGGGTATGGTCGGTTCGATATCGCCCATAATATCATTTATCTCGTCATAGTACTCCTTGTTCCACAGGCACTGCTCCTGGGCCCATTGCTGCAGAAGAGGGCCGGTGACGTTTGGTGGCGGATCGCTGATTTTAGTGGTCAAATGGCCCGTTGCTGCTTCTGCCACGCCGTAAACCAGCAGGCCGATAATAGGCAGTCTCAGCAATAGATAGAACATGAGACTGAACCCATAGAGACAGCCTATTCTCGAGAGGTACCACAGCTCGCGCTGCTGAGGGTTGAGAGGCAGACACTTGAAGTACGGTCTCAGCAGAAGCATCATGAGTTGTTTCGAACCAAAAATGGTGTTCAGCAAGAATAAAGAATACGTCTCTGGTAGAAGAAACGTAATAAACACTATTAAAAGTGCGTAGAATGTTCCTATGGACCTGTTGAGGTTCTTGAATGTGGCCACCGGGAACACAAGAGCGCCAACGTAAGGCGTTTTTGCTAAGAAAAACAGTGCTATAGACAATGCAGTGTTGTAGATGTAGGACACCGCAAATTCAGCGAACCCATTGAAGTTCGTTATCTCAGGCATCCAGTTGTTGAAAAATTGGGGTTTCAATGAGTTGATCTGCTGCAACAGATACGAAGGTGTTTGCGGTCTGGGGTCGGGAGCAACTGTCTTCATGTACTTTTCGCAATGCTCTAAGTTTGCTGCGTATGTTATGGGTTTGTCTGGATGTTTTTGAGCATACACTCTGTCTGCAAAACGTAATGATTCGAAATACACGTCGTCCAGGTCGTTAGTGAAAAATCTGAACGACATAATCAGGAACGGATTGATGTTGAGGAGATGCAGCTGGAAGAACTTGAGCTTTTCCAGCACTAACGCAACAGTCTCATGCGATAACAGGAAAAGCTCTAAAAATCGGAGGAAAATAGTGGCTGCAATTAGCGGGATATTGAGTATGACATGGAGTATTATGGACCACTTCATTATGTTGAGAGCTTTGGAGTAGTACTTGGTGTTTAACAGGTTTGGGTTCAATACTGCCCTGTAGGAGCCAATCAGAGACAGTTGGATACCTCGCAGGATTGAGAGAATCGAAAACCCCGGAGGTGGGTGCGAGAAGAACACGGGTGAGGGCATCAAATTAAATAAGATCTATAATGTTCTATAATATTTTTCCAATATTTTTCACTTTCTAATCCATCTCCCTCCGCTGAAAAAACAAATCTGTAGTCCTTCCAGGACCTTTCTGGTCAATGGCCCTATATGAGGAGACACTGGGGAGATAATTCGTTTTCCAGAAGTTTCGCACACCAGAAGTTTTGTCGTGAACAATGGAAGCAACGTAGCTGAGCAGCGTAGCCACGTATGGTTTTGCTCTGAGGTAATGGTGTCGGAGTCAAATGGCGCGTCCAGCGAGAAGGTCTCGGTCGCATTGAGTCCTGGGATGTTGAGTGTAACGGTTTTCTTTGGTGCTAGGGGAGGCTGACCAAGAAACTGTAGATAGTTATTGTACAGAAGTGTGTCGCAATCGTCTAGCTGCGGTTGGTGCGTCGAGATATGATTGACCACGGCATGAGCAAGAATTTTTAGTAGAGTTATGTCAAAGGAGTGCGCTTGGAGGAGGTTCCCCAGCCGCATACCTTGTATCTGTTCGGACAAGTAAAGCTCAGACAGTGCGAGATCCAAGTCGGAAGGAAGTATTGGTGCTAATGGGGTCTCAAATTTAATATTTTTCAGGTTTTCGTAAGGCCAGAGGACGCACAGTTGCTCAATATAAGGCGGACTGTAGTTGATACTCGAGAGATGGAGGGTGACGGGCTTGCTAACAGGAACAATTGCTAGAGAATAGTCTTCCTTGAGCGAGATGTTTCTGGAGTCTATTGTATTTTGCGACCGCTGCGCGTGAATCAGAGCAATAAAGTCTTTGGTGGGGTTGTAGGATAATGCCATTATACGAAACGGCCGAACTTTATTGAGCTCGTTTAACTTGGCAGCAAGCGGATGTTCGTTTTGTATAAAACGCCGATAATCGTACTCATCAAGGTGGATCTTGTTGTTACTCCAGTCTACCACCCCAAAAATCAAATCTTTATGGCTGTTGGAGAGAATAATGAGGTTTTCTTTATGGATTATTGAGGAAATCGACACGACAGAAGAAAGCGGGTGCGAGACTGTCTTACGTGTCGAAAGCTGGACACATTGCAAGATACCTGACGTAATGGTACAATAGGAATTGCCATCAAATGTGGAAAGAGTGAATTGCGAAACAAGGATCGGGGACGGAGGATGGATGCTGAATTGTTCCTTTGCGACAAATTCCTTGTTTTCCTTGTTGTACTCTATTTGCTGGGCTATCAACTCGTTTGTGACCAGCTCAAAAACCACAAACGCCTCCAACGACTTTCCATTCGTAGTCCAGTCGGAGACCTCGCATTTCCGTACTTTGGTATCTGGGAGCTGTATTTCAAGCAATCGCGAGAGAGAAGAACCCATGCGGTAAATCCAGGCACTGTTGTTTTCCGTGCATAAAACAAAGGTGGACGAAACCTCCAGGGGCCACACCGGCGCAGTGAGTAGCGAGCTATGCAGATGGTGAAACCAGCCAATCGACTTCACTCGAAGCCGTTTCAACTGTGAATACTTGACAATTCGCTGCAAATCAATATTCTCATCCTTTTTCAGAACATCTATCACGTTGTGGCGCACTTTCCAGTTGTTCAGTCCATCTTGCTCAAAAATGAACGCGTTTCCGGTATCTGTAACAATGCTCAATACACATTGTTTATTTTCTCCCACCCCTGAAGACGACCAACGTGCTTCTATTACGCTAGTAGTTGTGGGATCTTGCAATTGGCCCACACATATCTCCTCATCGGTACAAACGGTTTCATCAAGGGCATTTGGCAGTTCAGAGATCGAACCTGCTAATCTTGTCAAAGTGAAGACATCCGATATTTCAGAGATCTCATCTGACGTTTTGGGCCTTAGAATGAAAAATTCCTTACGGAAGGGCAGTGAAATGTACCCGTCTGTCGACCAGCAAATCAGATCGCCGGAAGCACCCTGGCAACGGGACAAAACCAAATCGTCGAGCATAGACAAAATAAATAGAAAACAAATGTCAGCTCCAAAAAAGCTGGCTCCCAATTATTCTGAGTTCTGCATCTCCAAGTTGTGTCGACCATTTGGATTTTTTAACAAACCTATGTGAATGAGCTCCTGACAGAGCACAGCATGCTTGGATTGTGCCTACTTGCTCTTCTTCATGCCCATATCCAGCACATTATACCGGTTCAATGATTACGTAAAGGCTTTGGCGAGACAACCTGGGGAAAAAAATATTTACTTCACTGCTACACGAAAAAGCTAATGCTAATTGGCATCACAGGCACATTGTATTCGGGCAAGTCAGAAGTGGCGGCATTTCTGGTTAGCGAATATGGGTTTAAGTATATCACGGTTGACGGATCACCTGCCGAAGTCAATCTTCAAGTATTCAAGAGCTTCGACACTGAGTCGGAACTGATCGACTTTGTCACCAAAAACTGGTACGATAACTTTCTTCTCACATGCATTACCAGCAACAAGTTTCTCCAGGCCCTTTTGAAACGGCCCTTTTTCCTCCATGTGGCTATCGACGCGTCCCTAATCAACCGATTCAAAAGACTTGAAAAAACGAACGCGAACATCACTTTGGAACAATTTGCACTGCGATCAGATGAATATAGATTCGGAAACAATGGCGAGATGTTGCGGATCCTTGACCAGTCGGAGATACGAATCATAAATGATGGGCACACAGTCCAGGAGTTTCACGATAGACTTCGAAGTCTGAACCTTCTGAACCAAGAACGGCTCAGACCCTCCTGGGACGCGTATTTCATGAGGCTGGCAGATCTAGCTGCGCTGAGATCAAACTGCATGAAACGCAGAGTCGGCTGTGTGCTAGTCAGAGACAGTAGGATTTTGGCAACAGGTTACAACGGCACTCCCCGTAACGTCAAGAACTGCAACCAAGGAGGCTGTCCAAGATGCAATGCTGGCGATTCATGTGGAATCGGATTGTCGACCTGTTTGTGTCTGCACGCAGAAGAAAACGCCATATTAGAAGCGGGCAGAGACCGAATAGGAAAAAGCGCTATCCTGTACTGCAATACCTGCCCATGTCTCACATGCTCTATAAAAATTGTTCAGAGCGGCATCGAAGAAGTGGTCTATTCCCAAAGCTATTCCATGGATGAACTGAGTTCTAAGGTTTTCCAAGAAGCAGGTATCAAGCTTCGACAATACATATTGCCGCTTAACGGAGTCGTCATTTTATAGATCAAGCAGGCAATGGATTCTCTGGCTCTTTTTCCTCTGTAGCTTTGGCAGGCAGCTTCAATCTGTTGAACCGTTCGAGGAGCACTGTGTCTGCTTCGGCATCGTCCACGGCTGCCGGCTCTCCGACCTCCTTGTGTGGCTCCGACACTGGCTCTGGCTCTGCTGATTTCTCTTTTTCTTGTTCTGTCTTCTCTTTCTCCTCTTTCTCGAGCAGCTCCAATTCCTCATCAATCGAACTGTCGTCCGCAGTGAATGCACCAAGATGCTCGCTTAGTTGGTCCAATCTGTCCCACTCCTCACGAACCTCTTGCACGACCGAGGCGATGTCCCCAACCTGTTCGTTCATGTTCTTCAAAATCTTGGAGTTAGACTCCAAAGTCTTAACCACCAGCATATTGTTATTGTTCTCCTCAATTTTGTATAGCAGTAGGACTAAGTTCTCAAGTCCCTGAGTGGATTTTTGCAGCTTTGCTGACAAGGCTTTCTGTATTTTGAGCTCAGATTTGGCCCTAATCATTTGGTTCTTCTTCACGTATTCGCGTACACGAGCCTCCAGCTCGTGGACTCTTTTCTCTGTCTCGTCGTTGTACTTGGTCATTTTGTAGATAGAGTATTTCAAAGTTGCGATCGATTCCACTTGCTCGGGTGAGAGTTGCACTTCTTGCTGTGTCTCGTCCAAAACACGCACCACGTCACCTTCTACTGCCAGCTTGCGTTCTCTTTCGAGACATAGTAAACAACATTCGATATCAAAACGCGAAAGACCCAAGTCTTTGGATGCGAGATCAACCAAATGGTCTTTCACCAGCGGAGAGTTGTTGCTCAGATACGACCCTAAGCGTAAACTCCACTTCGATAGCTCCGAGATTATTATAAAGCGCTCACCCTTCCTGAGCTGTCCAGAACTATCGTTGCCGCTCTGGTAGCGTGGGCCAAACACCCACCCCACCACACGTCCTAGCAAACCTTTGTCTTGCTGATACTGCGAAAATGGCACTAGAACTCTCTCCTGTACTAGCTGATCAATGACCTTGTTTAGACCCTTGGGTACCAGTCCCTTTGAGGGTAGTGAAAACTGGTCCACCAGACTATCTGAGTCAAAGGCAACTTTATCTTCGAACTGATCTGGACATTTATTTCTCGCGTCCAGCAGGAGCGACTTCCAAGCTGCCACGTTGGCTTCAAGTCCCTCTGGGTTTTCCTTCAAATGATTGAAGTTTGAATACAAAGACTCTAGTCGCGATTCTTTGAATTGAGGATCTTGTAATATAACTTTCTCAGGAACCATAAATAAAAAATAGTGAAAGTTAATTTCATTTACACACTTTGCTCCATGTCCGCCATCCACCAAATCCTCCAACATTTAGACACTGCAGAGTCTGAACCAGTGGACCACAAGCTGTTTGAACAAGCCAAATTAAAGCTCAAAGATGCTAGCTTGTATGAGTCCACAGAAATCCTTCGGACATTTGGATCAAAGGTGATAAAAGTAGTCAGTTCCAACAATACCAGTGCCGAATGGAAGAACAATGCTATCGACCTGTTCAACGAAATCATTAACCACTATCATTTCGACACTATTGTACAAGAATTTTCGCTGGAGATGCTAATATCGGGTCTACAGGGCCACAACGACAATCTAAAAGTACTGATTATCGATATCGTGGCAAGGGCGACTCCCCCAGATTTGGTGGCCAACACGCCTTTCATTTCTATAATGCTGAACCTCCTGGCAGACCCAAAAACAACTGTAGGAATAGTCAACTCAATCGAAAGAAGTCTTGTGGTACTGGCGAAGGGTGAGCTCGTGCAACGTCGTCTGCTCTCCAAAGAGTGTCTAGACTTGCTTAGAAAAATCAGGGCCGATCCGCAGGTGTTTTCGCGGTGTTTCGATCTCTGCTCTGAACTTCTTCCCGTTGTGAAAGACCTTCCCAATGATCTGTATCTGATGCCAGAAAGCGAGTTTTCCCAAAGCAACGACGTGCTGCTCAATGCGTATGTGGTTTCATTTTACAACAAATTGCTAGACACTATTAGGTTCGACAGATTAGACTTGCTGGACAAACTGGACGAGCAAATTGGGTACATTTGTCGTCTGTACGTGGATCCTACGTTTGTACCTGAGATCAAGAGGCTGTTCAGTCTCGAGCCGATAGTTTTTCTTGCCAATCTGAGCAGACTTGATGCTTCCAAATTTGCCGAGTTCGACCGCAAATATAAGATTATAGACTACGCAATAACGCACAGCGATGAACCCTCCGTGTTTCTACTTTCAAACATGGATCCTCGCTTGCTGGCCTCGAAAACTCAGTTTCTCCAAACGCTTCCTCTCACAGCAACCACGGTTCAGATATTCGAAAACTTGGTCAGCGAGCAGGAGATTTTTACCAAATTGGACATCCCTCCCTCCAAAATTATGAACTTGTCAACAAGCTCCTTTCTGGAGCTTGTCAGGGCTCTATCATTGTATGACCATACGGTGGCCCAGCTAATTCGATGGCCATCCGTCATGAACAGACTTCTGGACGAGTACAAGAATATCAATAACCCAGAAATCTGGAAACTGAAAATGGCGATCTTGGAACAACTGTACAATCGCAATGTAGACGTATGGAAGGAGAAAATTGAGCAAGAGCTCGCTCGGATGAAAGGCCATACAGAGGCCCAGGTCGATATCATGGATATGGCAGCATAAATTTATATTCAATCATCTATAAATACAACGATGCAGCGGAAACAATGTCTCTGTGAATCAACTCAGCCGACGTAGTAAGCTTTTCCTCCAAGGCAACGTTTCCGATGGTTCTGGCAGCATCCACCAACTGCTTGATCAGCTCTTCCAAACGCCTAAAACTTCTGATCAGCGAACCTTCGTAAACGTCTGTCATAATACATATTTGAGTGAACGAGGCGCCCCGACACCAAGCATAAACCACTTCCATCAAATCCGGCTTGAACGACTCCACATAATCTTTCTCAACAATCTCCAGTTTGCACTCTCTGCAAACTTTTGCAATCTTCGAGGCCATCTCCTTCAACGCCTTCAGTGGCTCCGCAAGCTCTGGCTTAAGTCTAGGGGTCGCCTTGGTACGTTCCTGAAAGACGAAGCACGATAATAGGGCTGCACACTGCGATGGATCCAACTCATTGAACGTTCCGTTGAATATCAATTCGGTCAGCAGCAATTCGTCTCCTGTACTAATCTCGCATGCAACACGGCCCTTCATCTCAACAATATCATCTTGAGTCGTAAACCCAAGTCGTCTAAGCACTCTCTTGCGGTGTTTCAGGTCATCCATTTGAATGAGAGACTGCACCTCACTGATCTTCTTTTTTGTCTCGTTGATCTTTACCACAATGCTCATCCGATGCGAATATTGGTCGTATAGTTCCTTGAGCCGTGCAGACTGCGCAAGCGGGTTGGAATGTAATTTGCTTTCCAGAATTTCTATCTTCCGTAACAAAACCTTGAACTCCTCATCTTGAATATGCATTTTGGTGACAGGGTCCAAAATAGGGAGCCCATCTGGGTGTCTCTTCACAATCTCCTTCAGCGCCTTGCGCAGTGTCTTGCGCGCCTGACCATTCTTCATGTCTTTCGGCAGTATTGAACGACAACTGCTTATTTTTTTGATGGAATCCAACGTGATCGGTATTACCTCGCTCCGCGTTTCCTCTCCTTCTTTCGCTGGGCGGATTCCTTCAACCAGCTGCACCTGGAAAGGTTTGATCAGGTTTACTGGAGAGTCCACAAACATAGTGTTCACAAAAACGTTCACCACATAAGACTCATGGTCACTGTATTGCGCCTGGTTGCGCTTGTTGTTGCGCTTCGAGAAATCAATTACAATTGCCCAACCGTAATCCATTCCATTAATGTTCACCTCCACCAAACGACCGCCCTTCAGGTGGGGCAAAATGTTACCTGGATGAGTGACAATCTTGCGCACATCTTCATTATACTGGTCCAGCTGTTTCTGTAGCTCGTAATACTCCTTAATGTTTTCCATGTCGTCAATCTTGATAGAGTCCAGCTCTTGTTCGTACTTGGCAAGTTGTTTCTTCAACTCTGGCTCGGAAATCGAATTTTGGAACTGGAAAAACGAGCTCCCAAGCATAAATTCTGGCGAGATACCTTCCACGCGCATCAGGTTCAAAATCATGTTGTAGCCCAAATGAAATGCGGAGTCCAACCTATCAGCAACACCTTTCACCATGCCCTTGGCAACCTGTGGCTCCATTTTCTCGTCGATCATCATGATCACTATACCGCGGTCATCCAAACCACGACGACCAGCACGACCAGACATCTGAATATACTCTCCTCCAGAAACCCATCTAAATCCATTTCCGTCCCATTTCCGCACGGACGTAAACACAACAGTCTTGGCTGGCATATTCAATCCAATGGAAAAGGTCTCCGTCGCGAACAGAACTTTCAGAAATCCCTCTTGAAATAAAATCTCAATAATTTCCTTCAAAATAGGAAGCAGTCCAGAGTGGTGGATGCCAATACCACGACGCAATAGCGGCAGAATGTGTTTGATCTGCGGTAACTCTTTGTCGTCGTCGGAAAGAATGCTAATCGCATTGTTAAAAATCTTGGTAAGCATCTCGCGCTCCTCATCAGTATTAAAGTCAAGCTTGGACATTTTCATAGCAAGAGCCTCGCAGTCACGCTTGCTAAACGAGAAAACAATGACGGGGTTGTATTTTTTCATCCAAATCATCTTGACGATCTTGTAAATGTCAGACTTTCCTTCTTTGACACCTCCTTTCCAGGATTTGCCATTCTTCGTCTCGATAGCTCCTGGGTCGTCTCCCATTTTGTTTGAAATCGATGCCATGGCCTTCTGGAAGTTCTCCTCTCTAAAAGTTCCTTTTTCATCGACGACCAGATGTATGCCATCCCCGTCAGCAGGGAAAAGGTAATGCTGCAATGGAGTGGGGCGGAAATCTGTGTAGACCACATGACAAGGCTGGTTGTGAACTTTGCATATCCATTCAGCAAACTCCATTGCGTTAGGAATCGTAGCAGATAAGAACACGTGATGGACATTGTCGGGGAGCAGAATGATGGTCTCCTCCCAAACGACACCTCTGCTCTTGTCACGCATGTAGTGAACCTCGTCGAAGATAACCCAGGCAACTTCTCTCATAATCTCAGAACCTCTATAAAGCATGGATCTCAGAATTTCAGTTGTCATCACCAAACACCCAGCATCAGGGTTGATTGTCACATCTCCAGTCATCAACCCCACATCACCAAAATCGGCTTGTAATTCACGGTACTTCTGGTTGCTCAAAGCCTTGATTGGAGAAGTATAGATTACACGTTGTTTGTCTCTAAGCGATTGTGCAATAGCGTATTCTGCAACCACAGTCTTACCAGCAGAGGTGTGAGCACTGACTAGGACGGATTCCTGGCGGTCTATACAGGAAATGGATGTGTCTTGGAAGGGATCAAGTGTGAACGGATATGTACGAGCCTCAGTTTTCCGCTTGTGTTGCCCGATGGGAACGTAGTCGTATCCTGGAGGCACTGCAACCTGGTGTCGCACCTGATGCCGTAACTTGACTTTCGAGGCATCAGTGTCTGTCGATGAGAGCAGTCCACTAGAGGCATCAACCTCTCGAGAAGCTTCAATTTCCAACGTGTCCGCCACGATAGGGGCTACTTTTTCGCCATTTTCCTCTTGTTCCTTTTTTTCCACTTTTGGCTTCTTTTGCGATCCATCCTTGGATCCTGAATTGGTTCTTTTAATTCCTTTTGGTTCATCAGCTTTTGAAAGTTCTTCTGGAACTATGTTTTCCAGGTCTGGATTTTCAAAAGCACCAAAGAGATCCATACTTAACAAGACAAACCTATAATTTTTTTTTTTTGACTTAAATTTTTTTATCAAGCTAAGAGTGGGAGTATTAGGTAATAAATGCAATGTATCTACTATCTACAAAGTATCCTGTATCCAAAGCATCGTACGCAACTAATACAAACACTGCTTGTGGCAGTACCAAAAGGATACAATATAACAACAATCCACGATGCATTTTTAAGCTGGTTTACCGGTTTCCAGGTATCTAGCCAGGTTGCTACCATTTAAAAACATTCCTTGAAGAGAGGTAATGCAGTTGGATCCTCAAATCATTTTCACCGGAGGTGGGTATTCTGCAATAATTCCAAAGCTTCTTGTCGATGTGTAGAATGGCATTATTGACTTTCAGAAACCAAACTGGGAGATGTTTAAAGCTAGTGCCGCAGTCCAGTCTCATAAACGCTATTCTCATAGT